CGGTATGATGGAATGAAGTGATAGAAAGTAAGCGGTATCTAATAGATGCGTGGAACTCGGAGCCTCGAAGGCTCATGGAAGATCAAGGGAGTTAATTATGTATTTACTACGTTGCGATTTTCTTTGTTTAGTCATGGCGATGGACCATCAATAGGCGGAGTCGATGGTGAAAATGCCGATCAAAGATAACAAGGCAAAGCATTCTTACGGAATGGGACCTGTACATTACTATAGACGGAGGGTAACAAATCTTGTCCCTAGAACCAGCCCATATCGTGAAATTGAGTGAGGAATATAGGAACTATCTGAGAAGCCTGGCTGGCGTGTTCATGATACCAAATTGCGAGCACCCTGTCAACAATCACCAATCGCGATTTCCAAAGTCCGGTATGGTGTAGTGGCTAACATTTCGCGCTCTCATAACCTGAGAGATCAGTACCGCGGAGCCCAGGGTTCGATTCCCTGTACCGGAGTTTCTCTTTTGCTGTTTGTGATGTGTCTTGATCTCTTTTTGCTGATGAGAGAGGCTTCTTGATCGTTGTGGATGTGGGAGACTGTATTGTGCGTAGGCAATGAATAATTGGGGCCCGAGCTGCTATATACTAGGTTTCATGAAGCACATGAGTGAGACGAGTGAACAGGTAGTCTGTCTCGGCAAATTATATACCGAAAGTGCGAAATGTGACTGCTCATGAGTCTTTGTCGTAAGATTCGCAGATGAAGAGAAGAGCAAGATACGCAAGCAAGGGCTGACTGAGAACTGGAGGCCCAAACTGAAATACTTGTCTGAAATAAGAGACATGTCCCCCATGGCCTGCTTTGTAGGCAATAAATCGAAGTTATAGTCAAATTAGTAGACAATGAAGAAAGCGGTTTGTGTATGTTATGTTATGGGCACGATATTGGTTTGATGTGTTGTAAAGGTACCCATCGATGAATATGACGATATGGGTAATGCGTATGACTTGAGAGGATTTCCGTATTGTGATATCCAATGATTGCATGTTAACCCTCTTATTGAGTAGGTACTTACTTGATATTTTACATTTAATATGTATTAAAAGCTGGAATGATGGGAAGAAAGGGAGCCGTTCATCTGTATTACTTGATTGGATAAAACCCTCCGGGGTTGCTCCCTCCCCGTACGCACCAGCACATCCCCCACGTCATCCCCTGTCAATCTTACAGTCGACCTCATCTCTTTCCCTTCTCATGACAATTGTATCTAAACACCAAAAACCAACTCTCTATCACATTAAATCACACACTCTTTTATCTCTCTTCCCTTTCTTAACTTCTCTATAACTCACTGCGTCGGGACCAAAACAGCAACAATGGCTCCAAGCGCAACGACGGAGTCATGGAAAGACTTCCCAGAGGAGAAAGCATCTGGCTTTATCACCTATGCGCGTAACTCTGTCGATCGAGTTGTCCCTCCTCCTTCACGACAAAAGGCATATGACAATACTATGGCTTTTGCTTCCTCGCGACCTATTCTCTTTGTAAGTTACCCTTTTCAGCTCCTCTGCGCCAACGTTAGCTAACGACAACAGTCTTTCATTGTGTCACAGCTTCTCCTCTCATTCCTCCCTCTTCTCATCTTTCTCACCTTCTCCCTATCAACCATTCTTTTCGCCTTGGGCGCCGCCATCGTATTTGCGCTCTTCTGGATCGGTGTCGCGCTGTTGATCCTCGTGCCCGCTCTGCTCGTCACTTCGTCTATTGCAGTGCTTGTCTGGGGTTGGGCGGTTGGCAGTTTTGTTGTTGCACGATGGTTGTACAACCACTCTCCTGTCGGCGTGCAGAACGGGGAGGTTGTGAAGAAAGAGAATGGCAACTAGTTTTACGCCTGCACCGTCTGGCAACTTGGCATTGGGGCTGATTGGGATCCTCATGATATGTCTGCGTTTTAGGATCCGTGTATGGGACATGGAGGGTACCGAGGGGAATAATGGTTTATTCAATTTGTGAAAGAACAGGAGTTCTGGGCTTGCTCGCTGAAAGGGCAATGGGATTATCACGCTATCAAACTAATGGTTCGCTCACAATATGATTAAAGTCATGTATGTAACATGACAATGCAATACGCATCACTACACTCTGCACCAAATCCTAGGGCTATTTGCCGACCTAGAATCAATGCCTGCCATAACAATCATGTGTATGAATTTGCTGTTGTTCAACTCTATTCCTCATTAAAAACGACCGAGACCCATCTATCTCTGTCCCAAACGCGCTGGTACATTATAAATACAGACCCTCTGGCTCGCCCTCCTGCTTTGTACGGAGCACTCTCTCACGAGCTGAGCGGAAATCCGCCATTTGCACCCGCATTCTTCGTTCTCGGAGGGCCAAGAGACCAGCCTCAGAGCAGATGGCCTTGATATCGGCACCGGAAAGATCGTCCTTTTGGGATATGAACTCTTCGAGATCGACATCATCGTTGAGGTTCATCTTGGAGGTGTGCAGGGTAAAGATCTTGCGCTTGGTGTTTTGATCGGGGTTCTCAAAGAGAATCTTTCGGTCGATACGTCCAGGTCGAATCAAAGCGGGATCCAGTGTATCGATCTTGTTGGTGGCCATAATGACCTTGACGTCACCACGGTCATCGAAACCGTCTAGCTGGTTGAGAAGCTCCAGCATAGTTCGCTGGACTTCTCGTTCACCGCCTGATGTCGAGTCGTATCGCTTTGTACCAATGGCATCAATTTCGTCGATAAAGACAATAGAGGGTGCGTTTTCGCCAGCAACCTGACAATGTTAGTAAAGGTCGGACCTATCAAAGGAACCTACATACCTGGAAAAGTTGTCGGACAAGTCGAGGTCCGTCACCAAGATACTTCTGAATAAGCTCACTACCCACGATACGCAGGAAAGTAGCAGATGTTTGGTTGGCAACAGCCTTGGCCAGTAGTGTCTTTCCAGTGCCAGGAGCACCGTAGAGGATAACACCCTTGGGAGGCTTGATACCCATCTCCTCGTATAGCTCAGGGTGGAGTAGCGGCAATTCCACTGACTCTCTGACTTCCTGAATCTGTTGTTCCAAACCACCAATATCGGCGTATGATTCGGTTGGCGCCTTGTCAAGCTTCATCACACTGACGATGGGGTCGGCGTCGTCCGTCAAAACACCAACAATGCTGACGCTTTTATGGTGCAGAAGCACGCTGGCACCGGGCTCCAAAAGATCCTTGTCCACGAAGCTCATGATGCTAACGTAGTACTCGGGACCGGTTGTGCTACTAACGATGGCATGGTCATCATCAATGAGCTCTTCCAGGGTTCCGACACCCATGGGGCTTCCTCGCATATCGTCAACACGACCGCGCTCATCTGCTAAACGGTCAACGTCGGCATCGGTGCCAGCGGTTTGGCCCTCCTTGGCTGCCTTGGCCTTTCGCAGACGCTCCTGGTTCTCGACGTATTCCTCCTCAAGCAAGAGATGATCGTGGATTCGCTGCATTCGCAAGAGTCGGAGCTTGCATCGACTAGTAGGGTAGACGGCGGGAAGCTTTTGTGCGGCGCTGGTGCCACCGGCCTTTCTCTTCTTGCGACCAACTCGTGTTGTAGGCCTGGGCGGAGGCTCGTACTTGGGCTTATCCTTCTATAAGACTGTTAGAAAAGGTGAATGGAGGCGGATTCGAATTGCTTACCTTCTTGTCCTTGTCATCACGTCCCCCTTCTCCCATGCCAGATTGACCTTGACCCTAGATAACGTCAGTAGCTGCAACGACGCCAAAACAGCAGCGAAAAACCCACCATCCTGGAGAACTAAGAGCCTGAAGCTCAGTCTATTCTTTATCAATAAATTATGTGTCGGGATTCTCTCTGCGTGAAAGAGAGTAGTGATGGTGGATGTGATTTGATGTGGAGGAGAGGTCGAGGACGAGGCTCCAGAGCTTAGTGATGATGAAAGCGAGCGCCAGGCGCCAGGGAAACACGACAGCAGCTCCAGCCTAGTCACGTGTTGGAGCTCTGACGGTCACGTGAAGCTTGACGACAGCATACGATGCTATAAATGTCTTAAAAAGAAGACCCAATTCATGAGGAATATCGCAGCTAACTAAATTAAGTTTCTAGATGGTGTTTGTATTTTGTGAGTGTTTTAATGATTAACGTGTTTCTGCTGCACCTCTATCCAGTTGGGTAACCTTCTATTACTTATAAGTTAACAAATGCCATATTCGCCGATTTCGGAGGATACGTTGCTGTAGTATAATGTTCAATCCTACGATTTAAAAATGTTAGAGGTTAAAAAAAATATGTTGTAATGTAGAAGATTGGCTGATGAGATGTGGTTGGGAAACCCAACGTTACCGATTCATCATGAGATGCTCATTAAACCTTGGTAGTTGTAGATGTAAGAAATATCAGGACAGGTATGAAGCGTTGACCCACTGTAAGATTCCCATTCAGAGAAAGCAGTTAAAGAAGTCAATTCTTGGGTGAGACAGACATGAAACGTCTTTCTCTCAGCTGTGAGCATAAACACAAGGCGGAATAAGCAGCTGCAGGAGCAAACAGGGGTGTTACACTGTTGTGACATGATGTTTACTTCTGTCGGCTTAAAACATGACTTGTGAATATATCTGACTTGGAATTTTTCTCTCTTTTTACTTAAAACTCCACCTATAAAAAGACCCAAAGACCTTTACTGACCGACCTGGGCAATCGTAGAAAGGCAGTGATCCATTCATTTCCTTCCATGGATCCATCTATTTTTGAACCACGGGCTGCAACCACCCCCACAAGGCGCTAACTCTTAGCAGTCTCCCAGTGGAGTGACGTCGGCTGAACGCTACGCCACAGCCTGACAAAAATCTAGGACCCCTCCTTCCATCGCCGACCCAACCCAACCTACCTGGTCTTTTGCACACGACCATCTACAAAAGCTTACCCCAAAGGTTGCATCTTTGCCTTGTTACATAAACCGACATTCTTTTTAAACAAAAAATAGCTACTACATATTCCAAGACAAGAAACCCGCCACAGTCAACATCATGTCCAGAGATCGCCGTATATTGAAAGAGCTTAAGGATATTGAACTTGATCATGACAACTCGGGTGTAAATGCGACTCTTGCTTCCGACGGGGTCATGACACGCCTCAAAGGGACATTTCCTGCTCCTCCAGACACGCCTTACTCTGGGGGTACCTACACGGTCGACATTCAGATCCCTGATCAATATCCATTCAAGGCACCAAAGATGACGTTTGACACAAAGATTTGGCACCCCAATGTCAGCAGTCAGACGGTAAGTGTAGGATAAAAAGATAAAGAAGATCCGGGCACTTAGGTTGAAAACGAGGACCGGATGGAAAAGAGACAGAACACGATCAGAGAGCAGGTAAATATGCAGTCATTGACCAACCCGTTTCTAGGGCGCTATCTGTCTCGACACACTCAGCTCCAACTGGTCTCCCGTCCAGACCATCAAAACCGCTCTTCTCTCCCTTCGAATGCTTCTCGAATGTCCAAACCCAAAAGATCCCCAAGACGCAGAGGTTGCAAAGATGATGATCGAAAGTCCTGAACGGTTCGCTGTCAAGGCCCACGACTGGGCAGTTCAATACGCTGGAGCTCCACGAAAAGAGGTCGATCTCAGTCAATACAAACAAGAAGGCGCTCCTGAGACTCCCAAAGCTGATCCCGCCCGGTATGTGGACGATGCGGATGAGAAGCAACAAGGGCTAACTTGGAACACAGGTATATGGGATACAATAAGGACCTCGTTGAGAGGTTCGTCAGCATGGGCTTTGCTCTCGACAGTGTCGTTGAGGCCTTCATTGCTATCGGCATTGAGCGTAACGGGGGACGGGACTACGTATTGGAGGAGGCATACATGGGCGACATTGTCGCCAGACTCCTCGGCGAGCAATAATTCATCATCACGTAACGTCTAAAGAGGAGGAACATCGTTTCTGATAAATAACTTTCAGCATGGTATGGGGAGTAAGACTGCGTTCCGGATTTGTTTCGTTCTTTTATTTCTTTTATCCGTTCAACATAGACAAGGCCGCATGATGGAAATTCTGCCAAGTTGAAATGGCAAATGCACTTGGTAGTGCTTAAAGTCGAAATATGGTGTGACATTGTGGTTTGATGCTTGGCGGCTTGTACCATGCATATCTAGGAAACAATTACGACATTTTCACGTGCAACAAACCACATGCTCATCTCATGCATGGGCTCCTGATCAAAGATAGCTTGAAACACTTTTCGACATTAGATAGGTAGTTCATGGTGTAATGTGACATTTTAGCGCATCGCGTGCTGAGGGTTATGTTATGGCACGCACTCGCCTGTAGAAGATCAACACCAAATGGCCCCTTTCCACAATCTAGCCTGCGCGCCAGCCAGACCATCCTTGCTCTATCAGGTACGTACGAAGAAATCATGCAATATGATGCAAATAGCCCTCCATGAGCGAGCCCTCGGTCAAGTATATAAACCGGGCTCTATTGACTCATTTACTTCCCCCAACTCAGACACATATCTCACCTTCTAAAAAGCCGAAACCAGTCAGAAGACGTAGACGTAGTTTAGTTATAAAATTATAGCAGATCGCGGCGGACAAACTCGTTGTAGAGAGCCTTGCCCAGACCAGCGGGGGAGCGCTCGACAATGACACCGGCGTCCTCGAGAGCCTTGATCTTGGTGTCGGCACCACCCTTACCACCGGAGACGATGGCACCGGCGTGACCCATTCGTCGTCCAGGGGGAGCGGAGATACCAGCGATGAAGCTGACAACGGGCTTGCCACCGTTGACGGTGTTGGCCTGCTTGAGGAACTCGGCGGCATCCTCCTCGGCGGAACCTCCAATCTCACCAATCATGATGATACCGTCGGTGTTGGGGTCCTCGGTGAAGACCTTGAGGCAGTCGATGAAGTTGGTACCGGAGAAGGGGTCACCGCCAATACCGACGACGAGAGACTGACCGAGGCCGGCCTGGGTGGTCTGGTTGACAGCCTCGTAGGTCAGGGTACCAGAACGGGAGACGATACCAATGCGACCGCGCTTGTGGATGAAACCAGGCATGATACCAATCTTGCACTGTTCGGGGGCGATGATACCGGGGCAGTTGGGGCCGACGAGACGGGTCTTGTCCTGGGTCTTGAGCATGTCGGTGATGCGAACCATGTCTAAGTGGGCCCTGGGTTAGAAACCTTCGGCGTGAGTCGGACATGAATAAAAAACCTACCATGCTGGGGGATACCCTCAGTGATACAGACAACGAGGGGGATCTCGGCCTCGAGGGCCTCCTCGATACCGGCAGCGGCCAGAGGAGGACTGAAAGATATTGTTAGGGGCGGTTTTGTTCGTTATGTGGTTGAGTAGACGTACGGGACGAAGAGACCAGTAGCGGTAGCACCAGTCTCCTTGACGGCTTCTGAGACGTTCTTGAAGACAGGAAGGCCAAGGTGAGTCTGGCCAGCCTTCTTGGGGTTTGTTCCACCGACAACCTTGGTGCCTATTCAATGGATTATCAGTCTTTGAACCCCTGTCACATGTGTATATATATATCATGATGTATGTGTGTGTCGAGATATAGCGGGAAGACCGTACCGTATTCGATAGCTTGCTCAGCGTGGAAACTACGTCATTTGTTAGTTTTAAATGTTCTTTTGAACAAATTTGACTGTTCGCACTACTCACGTTCCCTGCTTTCCAGTGAATCCCTGGTAGATGACCTTGGTATCGCTGTTGATGCGCAGGTTGTTGATGGTCTTGGCGTACTGCGATGAAGAGTAGGCGCGGCGGCCAACGTTCTTCAGCGCAGAAGCGCGAGCGGCTCTAGTGACGGACTGCATGATGGTATGAGGTTGTGGAAAAGGAGAGAGGAGGAAAAGAGAGGGAAGAAGTAACGCTGCTTATGATTTGCAACGTTTAAAGATTAGAGAGCGATGGGGGGGTTCAATTTCTGGGGACAGGACTGGAGGAGCTAGAAAGGAAAAACGTCGATACAGGAGCTTGTTCTTGTTCGTATCAAGATTATCCCGTGGCCGGGATCTAACGGCCTAAACCAGAACGGGTCGACTCACACATTTTTGTTACCTTTACAGTGTGTCAGTTTTTGGTGCTGAACGTCTGCGCTACGGGTGGTCTCGGAGGAACTGTGCCGAGCGGAACATGAATAATCCGGGATTACAGGTGACGAGAACCACTAAGAAGTGCCCGTGTAGAGGTGAGCGTTTTGGTACACGGTTAATCGCGGGTTCTCGGTGAGAGCGAAAACTAACGGGAAGGTGCGTCATTGGGTGCTGCAAGGGCCCTGGACCCTCTTTTTGTTACGGACTTGTAAGTCCTAATGATTGTTTCGATTAAAATCGCGGACATTGACAACCTGATTGATCCCGTGGGAGTAAATGAGTGAATGTCAGGTAGTATTCTTTGACCATTATCTAAAGAACGAATGTATACTATCTACCCTCTTATCCAATCTTTGCTTCAACCTTTTCTCCCTCTGTGCTGCTAATTGCAACCAAAATATCTCAACCAAATGTTTGAAAGAATGTCAAGAAAGTAACGATATCAAGATACACTTCCGAGGAAGCATCCCGACCAAGTCAGTTAATACTCTGATCCTGGTATGCATGACCGTTGGTATAATTGATCACCGGACCAATCGTAACCATGTCAGCCCTTTGGCTCAATTGAAGATGTGCGCGTCGCATAACATTTCAGTTCAATCGCGCACATCTTCAATAAAGAACAGTCTTAGTAGACGCTCTTCACATTCCAACCGACAGCCATAACCCTCGCAGCGAGGAAACAGGCAAGCGCCAGTACATACGACAACCCATCAAAAACGATGAGAGCCGTCCAGCCTGCATCACCGTTGCCTCCAGCTTCGAGAAGAGCACCGGCGATGGGCAGACTGCTGAGGGTCCCGAAACTCGCTACCATAAAAGCGGTCGAGATGAAGCGTCCGTAGTCGCGCGGATCGCAGAGTTGACCAACGCAGACAGGTGTCAAACCCAGGTTGGAGCCAGAGCCAAAGCCAAATATAACCGCGAAGGCGATGATCATGGCTTGGGAATTACCAGCTGGCAGCCACAGAGCGAAAGCCGAGAGAATGCACAGCCCAAGGGTAAGAAGCATGACATTGAAGCGGCCGATCTTGTCGGCCAGAAGGCCGGGGAGAAAACGACCGAGCAATGAACCAGCGTTGAGAATCGAAATGAGCGTATAAGAGCTATTGGCATCGCCAGAGTATCTACCAGCGTAAGATACGATGTACGTCAATGGTACGAAGAGACCCCATTCCATAAAGAAGATCCCAAACGCAGCAAAGGTAAACTTGAGGTCTTTAAAGATGCTCAAGTCCGGCCAGACAGAAGTTACTTTGTTTTGTCGCGGAAGACGTGATCGCATGAAGAGTGTGGCCGGGACGGTAAGACCCAAGATGATGAAGCCCAAGATACGAGTCGTCCATGCAAAGCCAATTGTGGGAAGGAGCTTTTGCAGCACGACGGGGAATATGATACCGCCAATTGATCCTGCAGTCATTGCACAGCCTGTTGCAAGACCACGGCGGACGTCGAACCAGTGGGCGATGGATGCATAGGAGGGAGAATTGAGCAGGGCGCCTCCTAAACCGCCCACGACCGAGTACGACAGAAGGATCTGGTAGAACTCTGCATAGGTTTATAGTTAGAGATTACTTTGGACGAGCCCACGAAAGATAGAATTACTCACCTTGACAAACACTGAGGATGAACAAACTGGTAGCAATGAGTAAACCACCAGCAAGAACAATAACTCTGGGGCCATATTTGTCAAAGACAGGCCCAACCTGAATGCCCACGATGAAAACAAAAAACAGGTACAGACTAAAGATCCATCCAATCTGGGATGACGAGTAGTCTCGGAGCTGATTCTCGGAAAAGTACGACTCAAAGACAGCAGCGGTGTTAATGAGACCGTATACGGAAAACATGCCGCAAAAGGACCCAAAGACTACAAGCCATGCTTGAAGGCCGCCCTCGGGAAACTCGAGATTAGGCTCATGGTTCTCGGTCGGGCTGGTGGAGGAGGAGGATTCAGTGGCTCCGTACTCAAACCCCGGAGCCGTTACCGGGGCTGATGATGACTTTTCGGGATCTCCGTGCTGGATCGCCGGCGGCGGAGGGGAAGTGGAAGGACTAAAATTGATAGACTCGTCCTGCGCAAGGCAGGCTCGGTGCTGGTTTTTTAGGCAGCTGTCCTCTGCATTGTGTTCGTTGTATGTCATATGGTGGTTAAAAAACCTCTTGATCACAAACGAGTTTCTGGCCTTGTTCAATTGACAGTGAATTTACATGGAGAGAGATTGTTAAGAAGGTAGTTCGTTGAATTGAGAGAAAAGCCAAAGTTCCGAGGAGGGGGGATAGAGAAAGAATTTATATGCCGGGATATGCAGCCGATAGACTCGGTGTATGGGATGATACAATGTTGGTTAGGTTGGGCGCTATCTACAAGTGAGTCCACTGCAACAATTCAGTTTGCTTAGTGCATGGGCGTCGCGTCCGTAGAGGTGCAGGATTTGGCACTAAACCACAGGTTATTCGTTTAAATTGCAGATTCTATGAGTCAGGGGGACCTTATTGTCCTCTATGATGATGAATTGGCTGATCTGATTCATTGACAGATGTCAAGTTACAATTACATGCAGTTAGAGCCCGTTTTGCCCCATCTTTGAAGCTGTCAGGGAGCTAGTAAATTTGGGGCCATCGGATACTCTAGCCGTGATGAATTGAACATCTCCGAACGAATCACATCGGATATATCTGGATACCCGTCGTAATTAATATATACGAGTCCGAATCGTATGATAAACAAACATGCATGGGAATTTAAGCTTATGTTATTGCATATGTTTGCTCAAACTGCATGTAGGAGAAATTGGTCTCGACTCATCGTGGCGCTTACTACCATACAGGGTCTTGACTGAGCGACACCAACAACAACGGTCGCACATGGGAATATTGTTTGGCGCTGATGAGTATCAAAACACCTTCGGTTGGAATATAATCAGTATAGTTCAATGGTTGTGTTGGCAAGCATCTCCCGTAACTCGCAACGAGTAGCTGGCCTCATTTAATCCTTGATCACCAGCCACTGCAAACGGTGATAGTAGACTCGGATTAATCATGGAAAGTTGTCTTTGAACTATATGTGCCATGGAAAATTACCTGCAGCATCCTCCAAGCGTTTGTGATATTAACCTCGGGCGCAGCTGTCGTCAATGTGCATAACTGCAATGCTTTGCAATAACTTCCCTATTCTTCTGAAGCACCTACACGAGCACGTCGTCCATGACGTTGAATTATAGCGTCCATTTAATTACAGAGGAAACATTCCAGCTGCGATTTGCCGTTACTTGCTAGACGGGACGCCTATGTAGGCCCTGAACGTATTGGCACTTTCTTTTCGCTGTCCTTGTCTGGACACATTAAGGTCTCTACGCGGCTTCTCTTGGCTAGACATCAATGATCAGTGACAGGGGACTACTAAAGTACACGAGTAACTTACCTCACCTGACGAATCTAGTAAGTAGCAGGAGATTTGGCCTCCTACGTCCCAGGGTATAAAAATAAATATCTTAAGAAGCATGGTCTAAGTAGCATAAGTTGGCCTAAGAATGACGTCTCTTATGCTTTTGAGGGCAATTTTTCTGATACACTAAGGAGAGGTGAGGTTGAGAGACCTAAAGATACAAACCCCTTCCCTCTCTTCTCGTTTTTCATTGCAAACATACTAAACAAACTGTATACAATTAATGCCATCGTAACAATACTGTGCCATGACCAATGCCTCACTTCAAATGCCGTTGCTCTCACACGAGAACACACCAGACACCTGCCCAGCTTCAAACTGGTCTATGATGCCCTGAACACTGACATACGTTCCCAACGTGAGGTACAAAACACCAGTCAACATAATGATGATGTTCAGAGCCACCGAGAGGAAGTCAAGTACAGGCTGGCGTGTCCTTCCAACTTTCTTATCGGCGCTTCGCATGCGAAAGTAGGCTAGAGCCCAAAAGATGAAACCGAACCAGCAGTTGAACAGAGACGACATGACGGATAATACTAGAGTTTTGATGAGCAATATTCAACAGCAAAGTCGAGGTAACTTACACGAGGAGAAGAAAGGAATGAGTTCAGCGACGAGAAATGCTGCAGCCCAGCTGAGGAACAAAACGAAGCTCCACCAGAACCAGCCTTTGAAGGTATGCGACGTGAGATGTTCTGAATCTTTGAACATGCGAAAGAAAACGAATCTGCCTGTCACGCTGGCGTAGAGACACCCAACAAAGATGATAGTAGGGATCATGAAGGAATACGAGACCTTCTTGTAGAGGTCATTGAGGACACCAAAGGCTGGTGTGACCATGTACTGGTTACCCGTATAGGCGTAAATGACAGCACCAACTATGCTGAAAGTGACGATTTCCGCACATGTGCAAGCCCACAAGGCCTTGGGGAAGTCCCTATAATTGTTAGAAGATTGATAGCTTTATTAATTGACTGCAGCTTACCGAGGATCGCGCATCTCAGCGATGAAGCTAGGAATGGTGGTTTGACCGATAAATGTGTAGCTCATGTTCATAAAGGCCGACATGCCCGTCACAAGGGTGGTGCTACTTGGCGTCCATATCGAGATGATAGGCTCACCCTTGCTAGGATAACCAGCAGGCGTTCCTTGGACCCCAGAAAAAGCGGTTGCTAATACGACTGAGATGAAAGTGAACAGTGTCGACGCAAAGGCGAGCTTTGACAGCATGCTAAAGGTACGTGGGAGTGACCCGATCCAGCTGATGACGGTCACCACTACGGCAAAGGCAACTGTTCTGCAACCCTTGATGTTATCGGCCTCGGTCATGGTGTTTAGGTAAATTGCGCCGACAAGGACGTGGAGAGCTTGGATAAAGGTGTTGTTGAGGACAAACATAGCTGCCGTCCACCACCAAGCCCATCGCCCATTCCACCAGATCATTTGGCCTATATCGCAAACATCGCGAACCTCGGGATGACGCAGACAGAATTCCCATAGAACGAGACTTGTATACAGGACGAGTCCAGCAACAACAGCAGTCAGGATCAATCCAGGTACAAGGCCAAGAAGACTGTAAGACCAAGGAAAGCTCATGATAGAAAGTACAATGTACTCGCTAAAGAGAAGTCCAGCCGTCTTCTGCCAAGAACATGTTCTGTATTGGATGGCATTTCCTGCTTCGGAAGCGACCTGCTTGTTGTGCAGGTCTACGGCCGAGGTGCTGTCTGTTTCGGAGACAAGGTTGGATGCCAAGTGCTCGGCGAGGGGTTCGACGCGGGGGCCAATTGTGACTCTGGAGCCTCCAAAAGCTGATGCGAGCCAAGGCGATCTGTTTGCGGCGCCTGAGCTTGGCGTGCGTTGAGCCTCGTCAAGTGTGGAGGTTTTAGATTCCATGGCTGTGCTATAAATGATATGATGTACTGTATGCGATATGCAGCTCAATTGTAGGGAGGACGAACAGAATATGAAAGACAGCGCCGAGAGATGAAGATGACGATGGAGAAAATGACGAGGGATGCAGTCCATATAGGTAGAAAAATGAAAGAGAGGAAAAGTACCTCATCTATGGAAGGAGCAGCCGAATGAAGGCAGGTATCTTTATGCTGCCTTCCTTACCTATTGCTACCTACTAACCCTCAGCCCAAGCCAAGTCGAGATGAAGGCACGTCGATCTTCTCCAGACTGCCCCAGCCTGCAGTTACAGGAAGGGATTGAATGAACTCCCCGAGACCTTGCATGACGGGGGCGTTGAGGCGTCGGGTTTCAAGGTAAATTGCGATCAATCATTATCACTAATTCCTACAGTGTTTATGCTGATTGGGCTGTCTGCCAGTGTAAAGGTACGAAAATATCGATGATGATGTACTGAAAAGGTTCAATGACACTTAAAGAACCTGTTCAATCACGCAATGATGCTCATTGCTCATAGGTGCGTAGCGTTAGCCTAGTAGAATTGGGTTTTAAGCTTACTTTCCATAAGCTTGTTTTTTGCTCAGCTTCTACTGGTTGCTCAACGGGAATAATATGCAATCCCCGGCAACGCCGAACGCCCGATTATATCCACAACAGAAATGGTTCGCCGTCCTAAGGTTTTTTTTTGATGGATGGAAATAGCAATGGTTACATTTCTGTCATTTCGTCCTACCCAAATGTCATTGGAAAAACCTCCATCCCGTCGGCACATAACTACCTAATAAAGCAATCCAATCTTCTGGCCCCCAACATGATTTGCAAGTTGATACGTAGAACCGACTGATCCACAGTGGGCACCTTCTTATAGAGGATGCTCTGGGGATACAAATGGGTATATATGTCGCGCTGAAATTGGCCAGTCAAAAGTTAACAAGTCATATATAGCCATGGTCAAAGCGAAAATGTAACTCTGATGACTTGGCTCGAGTTGAACTAGCGAATAAGACAATACCAAGGAACAGGCTGTAGTCAACAGGCTATAGTCCATTCCATTTATCAAAGAGTTTTAAAGCCGCCAAAATGGAAGAAGTTGTTTATGGGTCGACTTTCCCTCTCCGTCTCATCTCTTCTTCATCCAAACATGAATTCTCTCACCCCCAGCGAAAACCTCATCGCGGCCGGCCTCGAGGCACGCATCTTGGTACCAGATGATGCCGACTTCACGACTCGTCAGGAATCATACTGGTCCAACAGTGCTAAAATCAAACCCGCATGTATTGTGAAACCCCATACCGCTGACGAGGTTGCCAGTATTGTTAGGGCACTTGTAGCTGCTGGTCAAAAGTTTGCTATTCGTAGCGGTGGCCATACCAATTGGGCGGGATCGAACAACATCGAGGGTGGAGTCACTGTTGACCTCGTTCACTTGAACAATGTATCTTTTGACGCTTCCACCGAGACAGTCGATGTTGGACCTGGCTGCAGGTGGCGAGATGTTTACTCTCAGCTGAGCAAGTATGGCCGTGCTGTGGCTGGAGGCCGCGAGGGAAATCCCGGTGTTGCTGGGCTTCTCCTGGGAGGTGGTAATACCTTCTTTACAGGATTACAGGGCTTCGGATGTGACAATGTCGTTTCCTACCAAGTTATCCTCGCCAGCGGAGACATCGTCACGGCAGATAACAAGACCAACATCGACTTATTCAGAGTTCTTAAGGGTGGCTCCAACAACTTTGGCATCGTTACGAACTTTACCATGAAGGCCATTAAAGTTGATCGCGTATGGGGTGGAATGGTCGTATTCACCAAGCAGGCTATTCCTGGAGTCATCGAAGCCCTCTCTGACTTCACAGATAACGTGGCCAATGATGTTCACAGCAACCTTGTGACTGTCTTTCAATACCTGCCCGACATAAAAGACATCAGTACAGCCGCTGTGTATGCCAACATGGAAGGTATTGAAAAGGCCGCAGCCTACAAAAAGTGGCTCGCCTTGCCTGTAATTTCCAGTAGGGTCAAAGATACCACTGTTTCTGAAATTGCTTCTGATTATAATCTTCCCCCTGATTACTAGTGAGTTGACTCACCTTTAAACAACGTTTTGATGGTACTAACGTCTTGTAGTAATACCTGGTTTACATGCTGCTTCAAAAACGATATCCGAATCGTCACCAAAGCTTCAGAGCTACATAACAAACTAGTGGAGGAACTCAAAGGATTCATTCCTGATGGTAACTTCATCACTCAGTGCATATATCAACCTCTACCAACGGTGTTTGCGCAACGCTCCGTCGAAGCTGGTGGTAATGTCATGGGTGTCGAGCGTCATCAGCACAACGGAATTCTATTCCTCGCCAACGTCATGGTCAAGACCCCTGAACAGGAAGCCTTTGCTCGACCAAAAGTTAGCGATTGGGTTAAAGAACTGCGTGAGTTTGCAGCCACTATCGAGGGAGGAAATCTGGAGTGGACGTATCTGAATTACGCCGACAAGAGCCAGAATCCTCTTGGGAGTTACGGACCTGAAAATATCAGGAAAATGAAGGATGCGGCGGCCAAGTATGATCCTGATCAGGTATTTCAGAAACTGGTACCTGGGGGTTTCAAGATTTCTGATGTGAAAGACGTATGAATGTGATGGAAGTGAACTCGAACTTGAACATGGATATTTTCAGACAAAGCTTGGAATATGATGTATATAAAATAAATCAGAGTATTTGCAACATCATCTACTAGTATCTACTACATAGCGACCAGCAATGTTACCCGCAACCATCATGTCGTAAACTTTCTGAAGCTCCGATAGGCCGACAATTCTGAGACGTCAAGTCAGTGATATGTAATGTCTCGATATGAGAAAGGCTTACTTGTAAGGTGCCTTGATTAGGCCCTGTCTGTAAAACTCGATGGCCTCGGCAGTATCTTGGCGGTTTCCCACGTAACTCCCCTTGATATTGATTTCTCTGTTTTATCCCTTGTTAGTTATTTCGGACAAAAGACATGAGACTTGCTCACCGAACAACTGTGTCAAACACAGGGGCCTTGACGAAAGCATTTGCTGGCAATCCAACACAGACGATCGTGCCTTTGCTCTTGACATATTGGCTAGCCTGCTGGAAAGGCTTCTCACTCGCTGCCAAAAGCAGAACTGCGTCCGGTCCCAAACCCCCAGTGGCACCTTTGATCTCCCCTACAATGTCCGCAGAAGTTTTGAAGTCAACAAAAGTATCAGCACCAAGTTCAGTGCAAACCTTGCGCTTCTCTTCACCACCATCCAGAGCTGTCACACGCAGCCCCATAGCCTTGGCGTACTGGATTGCAAAAACACCAAGACCACCACCTGCGCCAGCAATGACTACGCTCTGTCCAGGGCGAACGTTGGAGGACTTGAGAGCTTTGTAAACGGTTAGTCCGGCGCAGAGGATAGGTGCTACTCCAGCGAGATCGCAGTCCTTAGGAATACGCGCTACATGCGCTGCTTTGCCGACGGCGTATTGCTGAAATGAGCCATCGACTGTGTAGCCGGATAGTGAAGCGTGGGAACAGAGAGATTCGTTGGACTGGCGACATTGCTCACAACTCATGCATGAGCCATGAAGCCACTTGAGACCTACATGGTCACCTATTTCGACGTCTTTGACCAGCTCACCTCGTGCTACTACCACGCCTGCACCTTCATGACCCCCCACTAGAGGGATCTTGGCAGCAAGGGGCCAGTCGCCGTTGACCGCGTGAAGATCTGTATGACAAACACCGCTGTACTTGATGTTGATCAAAACCTCATCTGATCCTGGTGTAGGGACTGGGATCTTTTTATATTGAACAGCTATAATAGTTGGTCAGCCTGAATCAATGAGCGTAAAATGCGTGACTTACCTCCCCCAGTCTTTTCTAAAACCTGTGCCCACTGCTCAGTAGGGATCGGACTTGCTGTAGTGGCATAAGCTGCACCTTTGCGTAGGTTTTTAGCGTTGAAGCTTGTGGTGATGCTACTTGCACTGCCACGACTTTTCGAGCCGTGACGAGCACATGGCTGACACCCAGAAGCTACGCAGCTTGTACAAGGCGTTCTTCTGGTAGATGAAAAGTTTTGGCGACTTGTCTGGATTATTGCTGTTGTTGAGCGTGCGAGAAGTGTTGTGTTTTGAGTGACCAGCCTAACTGGCCGAAGAATGCTAGTTCGCATCATATTACTGGAGGATAGCATATTCAGATTTGTAAAGAGTATATGAAATTGGGTATTTGGTGATGTACAAGTATTCAAATGTATGAGTCAATGTCTTGTAGAAGGGCGACCTCGCTTCAACTTATAATACAAAATCAGATATCAGCCCATTTAAAGAATTCTATGGTGTCATGGAAGAGGAGTCAATTGTTTTTCATCAGATCATGTCAAATCATAAAAACTCCAAGAACCCCGGAATAATGGAACTACAATTGTAAGCTGATGAGTGAGCTATGCTTGAATGTACGTTTATCCGCGGAGATGCGGCAAAGCCAGCTGACCCCGTGGGGTCAATAGTTCATTTTACCCTGGCCAACACAGTCTCGTGCGTGCTTCCACGACAGGCTATGGAAATGATTCGATTTAGGGTATGATGCTGTAATAATGGGTTTCAGTTCCATCACTGGGCCACAAGCTGGCAGACAGACTTTTGCCCCCAAAGAACCAGCCGGTAAGAATATTTGCTACAACAAGAAGGTGACACAGTCCCCCAATTGACCATAACTAGAGATCAATCGTTGCTCTCGGCCTCTTGCAGTGCAGCAAGAGGCAAAGTAATTATCCTTTCGATCCGCACCAATATAAAAACTCTAAACTGGTGATTTAGACGTCATTGGGGTTACAACAGCCCTTTTGAAAGAAGTGTTCAAAATCCAATGCAAATGTTTCAACTGCATGGAACTCTACAATGGTAGCTGAGATATTTCTTCGGTTAGTTTGGAGCCCGGAACTGTGAGTCCGAGAATGGAACAGCCCATCAAACATCACGAGATTTAGGATTCACGTCACGCGAGGTTATTGGCTCAACCAACAAGAACCATAAAATTCCTGATTGACACTCCGAGGATCGGAGATGTAATCTTTGGTGTATTTGGCACCAATGCCATGATTTTGTATATTCCGGTTGCATTGCTACACCAGTATGGCCGAAACAAGGGACTTAATATCGTGGATAATGGAAATTCGCTACTACTTTGGTAAGTATAGAGGAGAACAAGGTCAACAAGATGTTGCTATTTTCTACTTATGATACATTTGCTATCTGAACACGGACAAATAGCCTTAATGATTCGCAGCACAATTCTTTTTCACGAGACGAACTCTGGTTGCTACATTCACACAACCAGCCAGTTTAAGAGTCTAGCTCTAAGCTACGCCGCATGTAGATTCAAAAGAAAAAAAAAACATTCCGATACTCTTGAGCTTTCGTCATGTCAAGGATAAGATTATTGTTCGTTTTTCATACCCCATGCATATTAGGATTATTAATAAACCTGTCTTTTTAAGCTATTGCTGTCCTTGACGATTTTGACTACCTATCATAGCCATAAATGCGCGCAAGCTATAGATTTATTTTGGTTGTACGAACACGAATAAATATCCATTATGATTTTAATAAGTATCTTGAACATCAAACCAAACGTCATCGCTGTAAATAGACTTATCAATCGTGATATAAATAAATCAAATACAGAAGATTGATACTCACAGGATATTAGGAAACGTATGCATTCCAAAATTGGTTAGTCGCTTTCAGAATGTGTTTGTGGTGTCCAAATCGCAGGGGAAAAACACGAAATAGCCCATGTTTGGCTGGATTTTTCAATGCTCATCATTAGGATATTCAAACAAAACCAGGCAGAAATAATTCTTTAGAAACGACTCGTCCAGATGACCGTGGCGCAGCTGCGATGTATACGAAAGCCCCATGTCAAGTGTATAAAAATAGCCGTCTGACTAAGCTATCAACTTACACGGTCTAGGTTCCATCGTCATATCTCTTCAACTTGGACGCGTATCACTTTTTCTTACTCTTGTTATATTTATCAATGATAAGGTATACTTGAGAAATATTGTCATTCATTCTACGGCGTTATGTGTACATCCGCAGATGTAAAGGATGCTGCCTCTCGGCTTGCGGAATTCGCCGATGAAGCGGCCAGATTCTTTCACCAACTTGATCCCTCCAAAAAGGACATTACAAAACGACCAGAACAGTTGGAAAGCTTGTCAAGATTAGCAAGCGATTTTAAACTAGCCCCATCAACCGACATAAGCGACACCGAGAAGCAGCTCGAATTCACAACGCAAATCTTGCTTCACTGCTCTGAGATCATAAGAGACATTCTGACCGAGCTTAACTGGCGTGAACCCACTTTGGTCAAGCCGGAGTCGTTAACAGTATATGAAATCATCAATAGAAAGAGAGGTAGAGACCTTTTCGAAGAACTGGAACGAGAGCAGTTATGTCTTGCGGCTTTCCGAAACGCAGAGTAAGTTATGAACAAGTCTACCAACAGGCAAAGCTAACCATTTGATAGATTTAAATCACTGTCCTGTGTCCCCAACGCTTTACATCAACCAGAGTATTCAAACTCTTTTGAACAACGCGAGAAAGAGCTTTTGCATTATTTGTTTGTCACCGATCCACGACAAGATCTTGCATCCCTCGAAGCAGCAAAGGGCCGTGTTCTCGAAGGAACATGTACCTGGATCACTGAGATTCCCGATTTCCGTTATTGGCTTTTACCTCCCAGCAAATGCAAGGGTATTTTCATCCAAGGAAGTCAAGGTACAGGAAAAACCATGTTGGCCAGTTACATCGCCGGTCAACTCGAACGATTATCCGAACACACGCCTGACAATACCGTGCTATACTTCTTTTGCAGCCAGGGCAACATCTACAAGAACTCCGCTACGGCTGTTCTCCGTGGACTCATATGGCAACTGTGCAAATTGAGACCGCAGCTCATACGACATGGGCTCGAACCTCTTCGAGCTCACGGTAGCGACCGAATAGCTTTAGCAAAAAATGTGGTCGGGACACTTTGGCAAATATTTGTCGCCATGATTCGAGATCCACTCGCAGGAAGTATCACTTGTATCCTCGATGGAATCGACGAGTGCGATGTGGGATCGATCAAGAGCTTAATTGAGCGGTTATCTGAACTAATAACCCCGCCACAATGTCCTCAAAACTTTCGACTCCTCATGACATGTCTCGCGGTACCTCCCCAGATGAAGCACAAGGATACTATTTCGATCTTCTCTCTCGATTCAGGGCTACGAGAGAGCAATGCTCGAGATGTTCAGCTCTACATAAAGACCAACGTCGAGAAGATCGCACAAGACAATGGGTGGTCTTTGCAACTCCACGATCAAGTAGCAACAACTCTCGCATCACGATCCAACCAGTCGTTTCATTGGGCAAGCTTGGTGCTTTCTGACCTCCGATACAAATCTCAACTTCAGATACCATTACACATCAGGTGTCTGAGTAATAGTTTTGAGACTACTTACGGCAACATTCTGCAGGAGATCCCAGTCGAACACAGAGAAAGGATGCGATTATTTCTCAGTTGGTTATTGCTTGTACATCATCCTCTGACTATTGAAGAGCTAAATGCCTTAATGGGAGGCCATAGTTCTGACTCAGAGGCCAGCATTGAAGATCTAAAGGCCTATTTAAAGATTTGCAGATCCCTTCTCGTTATCAGACCAGAGATAAGAAAGTCTGGCTTGGAATATGAGACAGTGCAGACTGTCCAATTATCTCAACGCTCGGTTCGAGACTATTTTCATCGATACATGACAGCTGAGAGGGCTGGCCCGGGATTCTTTCAGATAATTTCCGATAAAGACCATGAGTCTATTGCATCGCGGTGTTTGGACCTGATGGAAGAGTTACTTCCAGCGTGGTCCGAGGGTAAAACAGACGAGAGGTTCGGTTTAGTGATTCCTTATGCAGCCCGATACTGGTTTCGCCATCTCAGAGAGTGCCCTCAGTTACTTGAGGATGACAAACTAGCAACAAAAGCTATGTCATTCCTGACTCAGGACAGCGTCAACCGAGGATTGTGGTTCACATACCTTTCCAAGTTCAGAGATGCACAAGAGTATATCAAAGACCAATGGACTGCAAGAAAGCATGGTCAACATTTTCCTACCATCAACGGACTTGGAGAAATCACCGATGTTATTATTGTCGAGCAACCAAAGGATCTTACTTCAGCAGACAAGCTCAGCGCTTTGCAACTAGCTTCACTGCTTGGTATAATGTCAGTTGTTCGAAAGATCATCGATACCACAAGTCTGGCAAGATATCTGCGGCAGACCAATATTCGATCTTCACTATACAGCTTCTCCCTCTCGCAGCCCAGAAGCGAGGTTCGCATACTGAAAACCCGGGAAGGGCAACCACTGTTAGCCACCGCGGAACTTGTGGCAATGACTCCTCTCGAACTAGCTGTCCTCGAGGGACACAAGAAGGTTGTGTCTCTTTTGTTGGAACGCCATCCACACTCGAGCATGCGACCAGATTCGACTTTTGCTCTGGAGACGGCTATCAGTCGATGTGACAAGGAAATGGTCAAGCTTCTGATTAGTGCTGGAGCCCCAAAATTGAGAGCTTCCAGGAATGCAAATGGACCTGTCGGTAATGCAGTCACCAACAATCGCTTAGACATGGTGGAGTTTCTTTGCAAATCTGATAAGGATATCTGGGTACGGAAAGATTCGAAACAGGATGAGATTACACAGGCTTTATTAAATCTTGCCAACGATGCGACACCATCTCCTCATGATGAACCTAGGTTTGAGGACTACGCAAGAATTCTGATTCACGGAGGTGCTTCGCCAAATGGTACTGTCTCATACCATGAAGGTCACAGTTTAAGGCATTTGAAATATGGACTCCTACAGTTGCTACACAGTCGAGGAATCACTCTTCAAGCCCTTGGACCATTTCCAGACGAACAAACACCCCTGATGCTCGTCATCTCATCAATGCACTTGAACTGCCCTGGAGTTGACCCAACAGAAATCGTACAATTTCTTTTAGATTCAGGCGCCTCCATCAACCAAACAGACCGAAAAGGGTGGAGCGCTTTGCATCACGTCGCTAACCAGATTGCGCTGGGGAGGGCAAAGAAGGCATGGGAGGATATGGAAGATGATGAGGAGCACAAGTTATATGGTATTGCTGGCCTCTTAATCGAAGCTGGTATTAACCAGGATCTAGAGGATAAGGAAAAGCGCAAGGCCACTGACATTCTTGAGGTTGTGGGTGCTCCGGTGTGGAAACAGGACATGTCATGGTACAGACGTTTTATGGGAAGTGAACCTATAAGGAGGATGTCTCTTGAATAGATAGAGTGTAGTATACAGTTATTTCTTAATGTCTAATGCGAAAGCGTCTTTTATCTTGATTCTGCGTTGAGATTCAGCTATCACATCATGGCACTCGCTCGAGAAGTATAATGCATGTCTGCTACTTTTGACTTCGTCATTGACCTTAAAAGAAATCACAGTCACCGATAAAAGGAAAACACAATAAAGTCGATTTGGCAGCGCTGATGTCGATCTGTATTTCCGCTCAGCCTTGAACTGACTTAGCGCCTCGATTGACAGCGGTTGATTCGTGTCTTCAGTCTTAGCGTTCAGGGGTAAACATGCTTGTTTTTTCTATCACTTATCACGATCAACAGAAAACAAGAAAACAAACGTGTTAGCTGCAGCGCCAATTCCAGTAGTCTGTTGTTAGTTTCGTGCTAAGACTCAGCCTAATCAACACTTATTTCAAAAGGATTATCACTGCATGAATCATATGTGTATATATTGAAGAATACTGCCTGTGCTGTGTATCTACCTGCTTGCTCAGAGTTCTAATTGGAGAAGTTTGTCATTCATTTTCGTACATCGCTACATTCGCTACAATGGTTTCATCAAGACTATTCACTGGCTTCATTGCCCTTGCTTCTTTCCATGCTGTCAACGCTGGCGCATGCCGCCCCAGACCCAGCTCTACAGTTGTCTCTGGAATTGACACCACCGTCACAACCGCCGAGACCTCATTCCAAACATCGATCGAGACTGAGACATCCTCAATCACTGCCCAAGACACAACCACCCTCGAAACCACCATCTCGCTCACATCTGCCGAGACATCAGTCGAGACATCTTTCGTAACAGAGGATGATCTGAATACTACACTCGAGACCACACAGAATCTCGACTTCACAACCGACATCACCTCCTTCATCACCCTCCCTGCCGAGACCACAACGAGCGAATCCGCTGCAACTACTTCTGCTTTTGTTCCTGCTGATCTTTTCCCATGTGCTTCGGAAGAGGAATGTCGGACTGTTGAGTTCTGCGACACAGTTAATTGTGGCTGCGTCAACGGCTTCTGCAAGCTTCTCAACGTTGAAATTGATGTTCCTCTCCCACGACGTCTTCACTGATTGAGTCAAGCCCCGACTTCTCCAGGCACACAATCTTCTTGGAATCTGCGCTCGGATACGATAAAATGATAATGTCTGAGTGAGATTATATCACACATACATTTTGCTTTCTTTCGAGTATATAGTGGTTTATCAGAAACAATTAATGTTACTAGCATTGGATGAATATAATGCCATATAGTACTACCAATACCTATTCCATCAATATCCAATTTGTAGATCGCATACATGTTCATCTTCCGCTAACAAACTTTGAAAGCCAGTGATTTGTCCAAGTTCAGGCATACAAGCGCTTCTTTGTCGCCTTAAAGCCTCGTTGGTTTCCATGACCAGGGTCGTCTGCAAGTGTAACGTAACCAATGTCTTCCTCAGATTGGACATCTTAAATCTTCAAGCGTCTGTTCGTCAACAACCTCGCCCGGTCATCACCACAATAGGTGCTTCCGCCTTGAGGGATGTTAGTATAGATAGAGTCTCGTGTCAGAGCAGAGATGTTGGTAAGAAAGTCCGGGGCTCTTGTTGCGAGGCTGAAGGTAACGGTGGCCAAGATACTGGCTCCCATGAGAACAAGAGAAAAGATGTAGATTGCCATCCACGTCTTTTGCACCTCGTACCGCTCCTCACTGGTTATGAAATCCCCAGTCGTGTTTATATACTGGATTGCATAACTCTTGGATATCCGATCATCCATGTCTGTCATATTCACATTACCAAACGCTAGAACAGCAGGTTCCCAGTACGAGACACGCACAGCCGTGTTGATAATGAAAGCTAGTCTCTGAACAAAGACCTTGAGAGGAAGTCTGGTGAACTCAGTCGTGATACCAAAACTGCCTGTCATATCATCTCCTATACTTAACGCTGGATCTGCGAGGTAGTTCTCGAAGGGTGACGTAACTCCAGCATGGAAGGTATGAGTCAGCCATGGTAGAGAAACAATAAATACCGTTGGTGCTGTACTACCATTGGTTGGCATCTTTGTGTCTGGGACAGAGGCCTCAGCCGCATGAATGACGAACACTAACAGCTTGGCAGACCATTTTCTCAAAAGGGTGCGGTCTGTCACATTTGATGTCGACATCAACATAGACGTGGCTCATATCACATATAGTGGAATTGTTCCTCGTACCAAAGACCAAAGTGCCGCGCTTGACTGGTCCTATGCTGTATCTATCTTCGCTGGAGAAGTTAAAGTCACCGTTTATCCTTGGTATGTCCATATAAGTATGTGATTTTCCGCGATTAAGCTCTTTCACCCGCTCTTCAGTGATACTATCATTCATGACTTTGTGTAAGGATAACCCATTGGGGATTCGTGAAAGCCATTCTGAAGTATTGAACCAGGAGGAACACCAATGCTTAGTAATCATCAGTTTGTGGCCTCGCAACAATTATTAAGAGACTCTTACCTGCAGAGCCATATAACTCGCCGATACTTGTAGTGTGAAGTTGCCAGCAGAGTTTGAAGGCATGCCTAGAATAGGAATTCCGATCAAGGACTCGTATGTCACAAGCTGATCAGAGGGTACCTTGATCCAGCTGTAAGGATCTGAAGAATCGTAATCGGGCAACTGGGTGATTTCTGGGGCACGAACATTCCCCCAGAGATCCACCTTTGCATCTTCGATAGCTACGTCCACACCCCCAAGCTGCTGTATCATCGCTTCAAAGCTTTTACTAGATCCATTAAAAGCCTAGGCAAGGGCGTTCAACGCAGAAAGCGCTGCGCCGAACATGGGCTGTATCCTTCCCAACTGGTCGCCCCTTGCAGAAGCGCTCTCCCAAAGACCGTAGTTAAGTGGCAGCCCGATATCTGTTGTTGGAATGTATGAAATCTTGTGTCCCTGTGAACGAGTATGGAATGAAGTGCAAATGGTCCTCAGAACGGCTTGACCGCATAAGCGACTGAATGTCCACAGAACGAAGGGTAACAGTGTCCACACTGACAGCATCCGAAGCACGAAAGCGGTTTTCATGGTACCGACAAGGGTCTGACTTCCTAATAGAACTGCGAGTGTCTTGGTTGCACAACGTCAGTAGAGTAATCAATATGAGTAGCAAGCGTTCTACTTCCACTCACACCAAGTTCTGTGCCTTGCTCGGCTCGAAACAAGGCGACTGTATGGACTAGAGCTCCAAGGACAGCTGCTAAGGCGATGGGCCACAATGTCGATGCAAGTTCAATAGCTTCACGTACCATATCACCGTGTGCAGAAATTGACTGATCGTCCAAGCCGCGAATAAAGAATGCAAGTACTTAATCACTGTCAGTGGCAAGGTAAAAGAGAAAAACATGAAAGAAAATGCTGACTGATGAATGGTACCCATATTAGGACCAACGGAAAGAGACAAAGAGCCTTCCATCCAGAATCAAGAATTTTGGGATGATTTGGCCAATTCAAATTTCCGTCTTTAAGCGTCTCACTGCGAACATCTTGTGCCTGAGCCAGCAGAGACTAAGAAGTTGTATTGCCAGCACTCATGATTGATACGTGCTGCATACTCGTGATTGGCTGCCCATTCCTAAGAGTAATTTGCCCAAGAGGGTGAATGTCCAGTTATTTATCTGTGGCGACTCGCTAACAATCTAAGACGAGATGTGAGCTTAACGATAATACCCTGAAATTGCAACAGTAATCAAACTATTTATAACTGTTCATCCAACATACGGTGAAACATACCATCGTCATAGGAGACCGTTGATGGCTACCAAAAGTGCAGATTTGAAACAACGACAATCCTACAAGTTATCGCACATGCAGCCACCCAAGTTAGTCATCCGACACCGCCACCACAAGCAATCAACTTTCTATATTTAATAGGCTCTGTGATACTCAAGTAGACTCTTAATTAGGCTTTCGGAAACAAGTCCTTGTACTGCAACAAAGCCTCTTTATACGGCTTCGGCTTCCTTCCCGTCAACTTCTCAACACTGTCAGTCGTCTTCGCCATGAACCCCCTTGCAACCATCTCTCCACAGCACAAGAGATCACCGATACAAAGCTTCATAGGCAACTTGGAGAAGTCACCAAAAAAATCAGTGGGCAAGCCGTGATCCAGCCACCATGTCTTGAGTTCCCCATCGGGCATATCGACAATTTCTCCCTTGTACCCGGTCTGTTCGCACATCCATTTGAACACTTCTTCGTTGGTGACTGCTTCTGGACCGCTGATCTCATAAACTGTGTTAGGCTCTCCTCTTCCAAGGAGTAGGGCAGCTAGCACATTTCCGCAGTCTTCTCGTGCGACATAAGCGCCAGCCTGGCCATGTGTGTTGACCAACCAGCGATCACCACAGAACTTCCACGACTGTGCAAACAAAGTCGGAATGTTGTCTACATAGAGATAGTTGCGCTGGATATTCCACTCCAGACCAGAAGCGTAGATGATCTTTTCGATAAAATGATGATCTCGAGGAAGGAAAGGAATATCCTCTTCATTCTCGGCTTCGATACCGGCACCAATGAATGAGGTATAGCAGACCCTCTTAACACCGCAGGCTTTGGCAGCATCGACTACCGTCTGAGCTTGGCGACGGCGACCTTCCCCAAAGAGCCACGTCGAGATCAGTGAAACAGCTTCAGCGCCTTGAAAGGCTACTTTGAGGCTTTCAACGTCGTCGTACGTGGCAGTAACGACTTTTGCACCTTTATCGGTCCACGATTTTTGAAGGTCTTCTGGGATGGCGTCTTGTTTGTAGGTAGTGAAAACAAGTTCATCACCAGGTCTGGCGATCTCCAGGGCGAAGCTAGCTGCAATTCGACCAAGATTACCGTCTGCACCTGTGAGAACGTACTTTGGCATTGTGATTATATGATGATTTGAACTGACAATAAGATTTAGGAATTGTAGCTAACATAAAACTACAATGCTAGACGAGATACTCTACTATTTATACGTTCCCGTTGCCCTGACCGTATTATCATGGTCTGATCGGCATGGTGAGATGTCAATGTTGCACCGGGCGATCCGGGTCTCAATGAGGTCGTGTAATTCCGAGATTCGCTGGCAATATCAGATCTGGATCCAGAGCGGCGGTAATCCCGCCGCTAAAAGTGTCTTGTGGAAGTGTCAGGGGTAGTGTCAGATCATCTTCTATCAACGACATCAGACCCAGTCTCATGATGTCAAGTTACCGGTTTTCTATCGCGTTATTTGTTAGTCACCGGATTAGAAAATTAAATGATTAAGAAGAGCCACAGTGATCTCCAGATGGTAATAAGCGATAGTCTGCCATGACGTACTTATTATATCATTCCACGATGGTATATTCAGCGGATCAGAGTCTAGTAGCAAAGGTACAGTTACTGGTCAAGCCATTGACTTCCCAGTCGTTGTACAGGCGTTGATGACATTATCCTCTGCGCATTCCTTCTGGTCATCAGGATCCCATAACCAAGACCCGTTGGTAGTCAATTCTCAGAGTTCCCGCACCGTTGCAAACATGAGGTTTCCTTGCTCCCTTCACTCCATCAAATCACCAATTTCGATTTCCGGTATGGTGTAGTGGCTAACATTTCGCGCTCTCATAACCTGAGAGATCAGTACCGCGGAGCCCAGGGTTCGATTCCCTGTACCGGAGTTAGCTTTTGCCATTAGTACTATCCACTTGCTTCCTTTTTGCTGGTCATGATGGCATTTAGTAGAGGAGAATGGATAGATATCTTCCACTGGTACGTGCATGTTTCTTTTAGCCATAACCAGTCCTGCACAGCTCATTCACCCCTCGAAGTCAAGCTCTACAGACTCAAGCCACGAATGTTTCCAAATATCAATCTCATGGAGTTGACAATTTTATATAAATGAGCTAGATAATGAACAGAATAGAAAGTGTAATTACACACAGTGTTACAAGACACGATATACTGAGATGTCATAATCAAAGATTATTAATTATATGTTCTATCCATCCATCATAATCGGACAGTCAAGGCTCTTGTTTTCCCTTTTTCCAATATAGTTGAAAAATCAATAACGTACTGATATATATTTCAACATTAACATATCTCGCCTCCGAGTTTGGCTCTCAACTATCTAGATTATATACATCTCTATCTTTTCCGAATCCTGCTCGTGATTCCACCCTTTCGTCATATAATTCGTTATGTATCCCACTCGCTGATATACATTTCCAAATTCTCGGACCTCCTTGGGCAGATCAGACTGCTTGTTGAGCGTTTCGTTATCCACCTTGACCAATACTAAAGCGCCGTCATCGTCCCAGGCATTTCTCGTACTCAGTCTTGTACAGAGTCTCAAGCACAACAAGTCCTTAGTTTTGAGGTTTCGCAAACGAAATAGACTGTCTGGTCTTTCGAATGGTTTCCTGACAGAGTTGCCCGGCTTTTCCAGATACACCGAATTTCCATCCATGATAAAAGTCATTGACATGGCGTGACCCGTGAGAAATATATAGCCACAATCCACCTGTCCGAACTTGTTTTCACCTCTGAGGGGACAGGCTGTTCGATCAAAGTCGACTGTGACGAAGTGATTGTCGTACTCGAAGCTTTCTAGTCCCCATGTTACACCACGGTGAACACTGAGCCAACTCCAGCTCGGTGCAATGTAGCTCAATTCCTTCTCAGAGTCTTTTTCGTCTGGCATCCAGCGTAAACCATTTAGCAGATCCTTCTCCCACAAACCAGCAAGATATCTGCCGGTCAGCTTGTCTGACCACTCTGTAGCCAATCCTGCAACAGCGGGTAGACCATCGGTTCGAAAGGTGATTTGTTTCTGAGAATACTGCACAATCAAATCTCGCCAAAGCTCATGATGTTCTTGGAATTCCTTCACCTCTCCTTCAAGAGGCTTTGATGGTCTAAGAGAAGTTCCCCTATAGCTCTTGGTTCCTGTGATAAACTTATGACCCGTCTTGATAATCCGGCGCGCTGGTACCAAGGGATCATCTTCGTGTCTCTCAAGCGCACCACATTCGCAGTCCATAGACGATAGACAGTCGAATATCATCTCACTCTTGGTGTAGTGAAGGATCCGTGTGGCCAACAATCTCTCCTGGAAGCACCATGCGCGTGTCAACAACGGATGATCTAGGACATCAGACACGCTGGTTCCGCTGAGGGGGTTTGAAGAACCTTTGGCCACATTTCGATCGGTATTCCAGCCAAAGGCAGAATGCTGGGCGACTTTGCGTCCATAAACCTCAAAAGGCTTTCCATCAGGAAAGGTGCCTGAGACCGTTACGTAGGGCTCTCGTGGGAACAAACAACCACCAGATCCATCAACTGATCCTGTAGCTGATAGGACCAACTCAGCACCATTGTAAATAGACGCCATTTTGGCAGCCTCTATTTCCCAATCCTTTGTATCATCCTGGACAATGCAGAGGGAATCTATCCAAATGTATCGAATACCCAGCTCTCGCGAGATGATGATGGCATCCTGGAAGGTTTTGGCAAAACGATCGAATGGAATGTTCTGTTTCCACTGCTCAAGAGTGTCTTTAGTTGACTTGAGATGCTGTGTCTTTCCCCAGCAATGAGAAAGGGCGATGTACTGTTCAACTATCTGTTGCTCAGAGTCATCGTGCGTGAAGATGTGAATTCCATCATTTGTTTCAGGCCCAATATCGACGACTCGCTTAGGTAATTTCGAACTGGACGCAGACTCTGCTTCAGAACAGATGGTATGATTCTCTTTGCACGCTTTTATCCATCTCCTTGCTCTATCGAAAGATGGCTTGGAAGTAGGATCAGGCTCGATATGATTCGCTTGTCCGCCGAATTCGGCATCAAGACTCCAATCAGGCCGTTCGATATTCATGCATGAACCAACGGTTGGCCAAGGGCAGGGGGAATCTAGGTAAATCTCAGATGCCGCTCTTCCATCTTGCTCGGGGGTGCGTAAGGAGTTTCTTACCAGGCAGAGTGTATATCTCATATCGTTCAATAAGATCACCGTCAGAACTATCTCCACCGGAAGAGAACATGTCAAAATCGTCTTCAGGCGGGCTTCCACGAATGAGGTTCAGCCTCAGAGCGTTTCCTTTACAGAACACAATCTCTAGCCAAAGCTCAAGATCGGTACAATCTAATTTGCCCTTGTTGAGCTTCGTCAACATATCTTGAAGAAGCCAGCAAGAGGCACAACCCCCCGCCGCTGAACCAGGGACGTCAGGAAGGTAGACTCTGACCCCCCAAGAAGCATAATCAATACGAGCTTCCCCCGCCCAGGTGGGGGCTGCCTCTAAATTACCAGCTTCGGCAGCTCTGGCGGAGTTGATGGTACCAGAGTTCTCGTGCATGTCTATTCCGGCCAAAGGAAGAGCCGAGGAAGCTGATCCTGGGTAGAGATTCCAGCATACTCGGCACAATTTTGGATCGTTCCTAATCTCTTCATCGGTATTGCCTGTTGGGTAAGGGTGAGTTTTGAGGTTTAGTGAGGCCATACTCGTTTTACCCCGCAGTGAGGAGATGCTTTTGATCACGCAAATGTTGGTAGTGAGGATATACTCAATATCAGAACCAAAACTGGTTTTTTGAAGATGAAAGTCTGTTGGGGCAAGTTAGAATGTCTCAAGTTAGGATAGGATTATTGGAAGTCAGCTGAAGCAACCTCATGATTATATATTACGACCCATTGTCATGTGATACCCTGGCCACACCTGCCAGGGGTCCAATCTGATACTGGATTTTACTTTCGTATCTCTGGGTATTATATTTCCCTCATTGTTACATACAAGTCTATGAATAGGTTCGAGCACTCCTGGGATCTGACATGAATTACCGTCATTATGTTAGTTGTGGACTTACTTCATCTTTGGCTTCTTCAACGTGGATTTATAAACAAAGATTCCATGCTATTTCACGGCCTATGCCCTAGTAAGTAAACATACTCTAATTGGCAAGTACTTCCCATCCAAGACTGATGCTTTCAGTGTTGGAGTCTTCTGCGTTACTTGTTACACCTCAGCAATGATTGCATGCTCTGTGTGTACTGAACATCTATATCGCAGTTGCTCTGGGTTTTGGCGACTAGATCTTTCATTCTCACCTGCAGATCCCTGATGTCCCTGGCGTAATGGGGATTCTCCATAGCGGCTGATTCCATCTTGGCCCATACATCCATCATCGATCCTAACAACCGCTGAAAGGGCCAAATTCTATACGTTTCAAGGATAAGTGTATACTCAGGCCCTGCAGGATCGAATATGAAATCCAATTGAGTCCTCTGCATCATGAGTTTTATCTCTCCCACGGTGCGAGACGTGGTTTTTCGCAAAAGATCTCAGTCAAGTCAGTCTTACTTTCTTTCAAGGTTAGATCTGACGTACCTTCGATATCCGAGGCAACGCTTATTCCGTCCTCAATCCATGCGTTCCCTTCACTGAACTCATCTGCATACAGTATTGCTCTGTAGATGAACACTTTGATGAACTTGGGGCATTTGAAATAGCATGCGGCTGCAATGCAAGTCCCTATCTCTCTTGCCGTGGCCCTGGTGGCCATTCTATAGAGCCACAGGTCAATCCAAGCGCTCAAGATCCCGTCGCAGCAATATTTATCGTAATGTCGTGCCACGGAAAGAATTTTCGGGGGACTCAAAACGTCGTATCTGCTGGGCTCTACCTTGCCGTGTATAATTGAAAAGATAACTCACATAGCTTCTGGGTCATCCCCTAAAAGAGATATCTCGGGCTTTTCGCCTTTCGGGGAGGCAAGACCTCTGGAGCCGGATGTGAAAAGAGCGCGGAAATAAGACATCTGATTCATCAGGATGCTTGAAGATACCATGCATCGTAGAGTAGGCTTTTCATTTTCGTCGTCAGGAATTACGAGTATCGTGTCCCAGTCTGAAGCGAGCTGAAGGATTGTTGATTCCAGCATTTCGTCTAGATTCTCGCCTGCGTCCTTGGTTAAAGACATCTTCACACGGTTTCGAGATCCTAGATGGGGAATGATTGAGTGTAAGGTATGAAAGAAATCCGGCGATACACGACCAGTCTTTTGAAATAAGGAATGATAGTAATCTCAATAGTATGATCCAATAAGGCCTTACGGCTTTAATATGAGAAGGGACGAAGAATACGTTATGATGTGTGGCAAAGCAAACACCTTGCTGTATTGTTATTATGTTGAGATTTGGAGAAGAAGACAAAACGACAACAACTAAAGCTCAGGTATATTTATGATGATTACGTAGACAAAGCCGGCGAGAAAGGCAACTCACATAACGAAATTAATAGAAGGTAACAAAGCCGTCCAAGAGCAGCTTATACAGTTCAGCAAAGGATGCACGTGACCAACTTATTTACCTTTGTGCAACTCCGCATTGGGTGGAAACTCATAACCCCACCAAGATTTTTATCTAAAGCTTCTTTTGGAGGGGCAAAATATCGATCATTGAACTCCTCCCATGTCTGTTTGACACACAAACCCCGGCATTTCAATCACTACTACGAACGACTATCGCAACGTCCAAGTACCAAAGTCTACAAACATCAGTCCCATCGCGAAACCAATTTCGATTACTTCATCCATCATGGCGACCGCCACCATGACTGTGACGGCTGTGCCGACCAAGAAGAAGCCTGACATGGCTCCCGAGAGCGAGCGCTTCCTACGATGTTGCGCCGACGTCGCGAATGCCCTCATTGAGGACCACGAAGCCTCAAAGGCTGGCCGCACAACTCGCGACATCAACCTCAACTCGCTACGAAACAAGCTCGCCAAGAAGCACAAGCTCATGAACATTCCACCTTTGACCGCCATCATCGCCTCCATCCCCGAGCACTACAAGAAGTACATCCTACCAAAGCTTATTGCCAAGCCCATTAGGACGTCCTCGGGTATTGCTGTCGTTGCCGTCATGTGCAAGCCCCATCGATGCCCTCATATCGCTTATACCGGAAACATCTGCGTCTATTGCCCTGGAGGACCCGACTCCGATTTCGAGTACAGTACACAGTCATACACCGGCTACGAACCTACGTCGATGCGAGCCATCCGCGCGCGATACGATCCATTCGAGCAGGCTCGAGGACGTGTTGATCAGCTCAAGTCCCTCGGGCATTCCGTCGACAAGGTCGAGTACATCATCATGGGAGGAACTTTTATGTCTCTATCTGAGTCATACCGAGAGGAATTCATTGCCCAGCTTCACAACGCTCTCAGCGGATATCAAACTACCAATGTCGACGAGGCCGTGGAGGCAGGTGAGATGAGCAACGTCAAATGTGTTGGTATCACAATCGAGACCCGACCCGATTATTGTCTACAGCCCCATCTCTCCGACATGTTGCGATACGGCTGCACTCGACTCGAGGTTGGTGTACAGTCTTTGTACGAGGATGTTGCGCGAGACTCCAATCGAGGACATACCGTCGCCGCTGTCGCCGAGACTTTCTGTCTCGCAAAGGATGCTGGTTACAAGGTCGTTAGTCACATGATGCCTGATTTACCCAATGTTGGCATGGAGCGCGACATCGATCAATTCAGGGAATATTTCGAGAACCCTGCATTCAGAACCGATGGTCTCAAGATTTACCCCACACTGGTCATTCGAGGCACAGGTCTATACGAGTTGTGGCGAACAGGACGATACCAAAACTACACTCCCAACGGATTGATCGATCTCATCGCAAGAATCATGGCTCTGATCCCTCCTTGGACTCGTATCTACCGTGTTCAGCGTGATATTCCCATGCCTTTGGTCACATCTGGTGTCGAGAACGGTAACCTACGTGAGTTGGCTTTGGCCCGAATGAAAGACTTTGGAACGACTTGCCGAGATGTACGAACGCGAGAGGTTGGTGTGAACGAGATCAAGAACAAGATCCGACCTAACCAGATCGAGCTGGTTCGAAGAGATTACGTCGCCAATGGCGGTTGGGAAACTTTCCTCGCCTACGAGGACCCCAAGCAAGATATTCTCGTTGCTCTTCTTCGACTGCGAAAGTGTACCGAGAAGTACACTTACCGAGAGGAGCTTACTGGCCAACCCACCAGTATGGTTCGAGAGCTTCACGTCTACGGTACAGCCGTCCCTGTTCACGCGCGCGATCCACGCAAGTTCCAGCACCAGGGTTTCGGTACGCTGCTGATGGAGGAGGCCGAGAGAATCGCGCTTGAGGAGCACGGAAGTGACAAGATCAGTGTTATCTCTGGTGTTGGTGTGAGAAGCTACTACAAGAAGCTTGGTTTCTGGCTGGATGGACCGTACATGAGCAAGTGGCTGGATGGTCGCGAGCAACCCGAGTAAATAGGAGAACTGCAGAGTACAGGGTAACGAATAGCATGAATAGTGGCATTGGGAATATCTCACGGTTAGGGTTTTGCATTTATAGATGGCGTACATTGGATGGGAATAAAAGGCTAGGACGGTTGACCAATTTGTGTTGCTTATGTTTGACTGTCTATTCTCCTTGTCCCGTGTTGTCATTTTAGGTCACCTGGACCGTTTATACCTAGTGATGCCTCAGATCTTGGAACCCTCATCCGCAGCACTTGATAGGCCCGCTCTGATTAGTCACCCGATCATCATCCTCAGACAGCCCAACCTACCTCATCTTTACAGGCTGCCTCTTGTTCCCGAATCCCTTCTAAAACATGAATCTCTCAACGCCATGAACCCTCGTCAAAATGGGGTTCCAGATTATGGAACCGGTATTCTTCCGGTGATACCTCCAGACGTATCTTTGCCAGACCGTGATCCACGAAGCAATGCTGCTACCGCCGCTTCAGCAGCTGGTGTCCGCGCCTTGAGCACCCAAGTGATCGCTTTTTACTTTCGTGCACCTGCAAAGGCCTTCTTCAGAACACGAGTGGATTATCTTGCCTATGCTAGAAATATCCACCAGGCACAGACGCAGATGCTAATGAAAGCTGCTGCAAACGACGCTTCTGCTTCAGCGGTGACTACGCTTTTACGCCAAAGTTGGCTCCTACTAAGAAGTACGACACCTGGAGTTCTGACTTCAGCTATCAGACACCAAGGATGGGGTATCGTACCGAATCAGATTTTACCGCCTCTTATTGCAAATGTTGGCGTTGGAGCAGTCTTGTATACGAGTTATCTCCAAATTTTAGGACGGCTCCATGAAGAGAGCGGCCAAGCGCGGAAAAGAGTGTATCCACCACCTCATCCAACACATACCTTCACGGCTGGTTTGCTTGCTGGCGGACTCCAGAGCGTTTTAGCAGCACCTTTGGATGCCCTTCAAGCGCGGTATGACCACACCGATCTCATGCCTAACGACGGCAGCGGAAAACCCAGGAGTATGTGGAAATTCGGATGGGAAAAACTTCGTGAAATCGGTCTCAGGGGTATTTTTGCAGGATGGGGGTTGTCCCTCGCAAAGGATAGTCTTGGAAGTGCTATATTCTTTAGCACATTCGAATACGTCAAGGCCCAAGGTTACTACCGCTTCGTTACGTGGTACTATGGTGGCCTGGCAGAGGACATTGTCGACGTGCTAGCTATGAAGCGTCCCGCACACCAACATCGTCAAGAAGAAGGCATTAGGCTCATCCGACCGCATTACGCTCTCGAGCCAATGTTTCTTCTACTCGGAGGCTTAGGTGCCTCATTCACACAGCAAATTCTCCTCCACCCCTTGACACATTTTCAGGTCAAGCACTGGGATCATCTCGAAGACCTCGACGCCAAAGCCGCCAAACTGCGCGCGTCCAAAGTGGTCAATCCAGAAAAACCCCATCGGCGGTGGAGGATGCTACGAGCTTACTACCATGCTTATCAAGAATCACTAGCTGTCTGCAGAACAGAGGCGGCGGCTGAAGGGCTGAGCCTAACGAAATGGCTCTACCGCGGGTTTTGGTGGAACGCAATCCGTCAAGTGCCTAGCACGAGTGCGGGATTGATCATTTTTGAGCTGATACGGCGCAAGTACGGACTTGGACAGGAAGAAGTAAGGATCACAAAGGATGGGTATGACATTCTACTTCACTAGATTTAGATTCGTTGTGACGGCGTTGGTGATGTATGATAGACGTTCTCCTCTTTTCCAACTATTACATATATAGACTATTTGTTCATTTGTTTTCCATTTCCCGCTGTAAAATATATGCCTTCCCACCCACTCCCAACATTTTAATGACCTCTATCTAATGTATAATTCTTATACACTCTTCGCCTACTAGCGGGCTAATTGGGTAGACAGTTAAACCTAGGGGTTAGTTATTGAAACAGCCTGGGAGTTTTGGTTGAGGTTTTTTTTAGCAGCGGCCCAGGCGCAAGCGCAAGCGTCACTAACATCAACTTGTGACCCGATCCAAGAAAGAATCCCATTTGTCTGAAGCTGCAGTGTACAAACACGTATCCCCGTAGGTATTGTACAGTGCAAGCCGATACATGAGCTCCCAGTGCTTCTGGGGGTCTGGCATAGCCGCATAGATCGCAGAAAGTTGGTTGATATTATCGGCCAGCTGTATGAACGCCCGCATGGACTCAGCATGGCCGATTATTTTGCGCCGGTATTGTAACACCCATCTATCAAGGTCTCTGCCAGGAGGTATGGGATTGAATGGGAATCTGTGGACGCTGAACGCGACGACGGCCATGCCTATATTGCTAGGATCAATGTACTTAATAAGGAACTGGTAGGGATCTATTGTAGGGTCAATCTTTACTTTAACCACCAGCGATTCCAAGTCTTTGTCGATATACTTGGTCCTTGTACGTCGTTGGATAATGGACTTGGTAATAACTTTGATAGAAGGAGGAGGGTGGATAGTAAAACGATCCATGTTGCTTGATGATGAGAAACGAACTTGTTCGATAAGTTCTGAGTGTAAGCTTATGGGAGTGACCTTGGTATATAGAGTACTCAAGGGATATTTCTTTGTAATAGTACAAAGCAGTTGGTGTTGGGAATTGAGAAGTGGTTGCGATGACTTGATGAACACTGGTTGATCGTGGGGAAAGAATATGGCAACTGAAACTAGGAGGTGAATTGGCTTTATAAATAGTCTGTCTACTACAAAGTTCTCCCAAAGATTCAAAGGTTCAGGTTTATACTTCCCCTATCATCCCCATCTGAGCGAGTTGCTGGAGTTTAAAAAATGCCCTCATGCCACGCCCCATCTCAGATGTGCCGCGTAAGTACTTAGACAATGGACTCAAACCTGGCAGAACGCAGTCGGGAAATGTATAAACGGATTGACTTCATGACTGCATAAATCTGCTTGTTACTTGTCGTGTATAACATCAAATTGTATTCTTTTGAGGCATTGCGTGCTCTCGCCTTTCCTATATGTCTGTCTGTGGTTAAAGGGTGACTTCAGTGTTTCTGAAACTCGGTTCTTACACTTACTTCAAAGTAAAACATATACAAACGTATTTGGGTGGTTGTGCCCGGATCTTACAGAGTAACAGGCACAAAATTTTCGAGCACTTGCCAAGAAGAAAAGGGTCGCCTGCAGCAGCGCAGAAAAAGAATCCCGACAAAATAAATACGTGAACGTTGACATATTATAGCCACGTACATGCTCATTGACAGAAAGTCGGTCGTTGCGAGACAGCTTTATTTTTACAATTTATGAAGTTTCAGTTTGTACAGACAGACAGATCAACCTTGAGGGGTGAGAATACCTAGAGTATATCGAGAAGGTTTAGGCATCAATTAATAGATAAAAAAGCATAAGTTACAGACTGAAGTATAAGTTAATTAACTGCTTCAAACTCACTTACGAATCCACATGAGGATTAACTTTTGCTCACACAAAGACCGATGTCCCCTTGTAGTTTATACGTGGCCCACAAGCTGTAGTCAGAAACTCTCCATATCATCATCAGAACATACAATATGTTGGCAGAAAAGACCACATTGTCTACATATACCTCAAAGGGTGAAAGTGTTGATCTCGCTTTCTCAGGGCATATCTGCATAGAACAGATAGTTATGTTCATACTCTGCGCAACCCACCAAGTCAAGTCACAAGGACAAAAATGAGCCAACATAACAGCCACACTTTGTTGTTGAGATCATTACGTAGATACAACTAAGTACACCTACAATTACATCACACATGACAAGAGATATTGGTTTGAAGGTGCAAAACATTGAATCAATTCCTACAAATCACCTCCGAGCCGCCCCCCTTTATCTTCGCTCTCTGTATACATACCGCTGGACACATCAACCCCTCCCATCCGTCCCCCCATCCCCAAGAACCGTGCAAGATCCTTAAAACTCCATGACGCAAAAACCAAAAATAACTACATCCAGATGTACGTATAAACGTGCTCCCCGTAAAGGAAAGACAAGAAACCAGTCCTATCACCGCCGCTTCTAGCTGCGTGATCCAGGACCAAAGTCGGGTTCGCGTTCGGGAAGGTGCTTTTTTTCTTTACGCCCCTTGATCACAAACTCAGACATAATCTGAATATGATCGGCGGGGAAATGCCAGTTGGGGAAAGCGGGAACCCGCTTGAGATATTCAGGATCAGGGGGTCCCAGCAGATCTACTACTTCCAGCGTGTTGGTCGAGTACCAGATGTAGTCAATCACATCTGCGAACCCGGGTGTGTAGTTTGTGAATGGCATATCGTCGGCAGTTTGTTTGAGGTGGGCGTAGGCATCCCTCAGGCTGAAGGGGTGTTCAATACCGTCACGTGTGAAGCTACCGTACTGGAAGCTGCTCAAGTCGAGATGGTCCGGAGGCACACGTCCCATAGACATCAGCTCGTACACGGACGAGTCTTCTGTTGAGTTGAAATCACCACAGACAAGTAGAGGGATCTCAGTATTTGTGCGGTATTCTTGGCTGGGGCCTGGCTCAGCCTGAGGCACGGGAACCTCATCCTCGCCCATGGGTAGTACAATCATCTTTTTGTCCTTAACTGCGGGCCACCTAGCGTATTTCTCCGCAAGTTTGGTAACATGCTCCATCAGAATACCGGTCTGGATAACCTTGACATCAGCTAGAGCAGAATCCCATGTAAGATGGGCGTTGACCAGGATAATTCGAGCTCCAGTAAGGCGAGACTCAAAGAAACATATAACGGCAATGTTGTCCTTGGGCATGACACGATTGAAGACATCGTGTTGGTTCTTCATGTCTGGTCGGTTAATGGCAATAGTGGCGAACTCGATTAGCTGCTTGTCGAGAAGAATAAACTTGCTCTGCTTGTAAAAAACGGCGCAACCGTCCACAGATTGGGCATCCTTCTCAGACATGGTCTTGGCTCGCGATTTGGGCCAGTGAACACCCTTGTAATCCAGTTGTGCCAGGTCGGGGCTAAGGTCTTCCTTGAACGCATCCGTAGACACCTCTTGAAGGGCAAGGAAGTCTGCGTCCCTGATTTCGAGTTCTTCCAGGATGCAGCTTCTGCGATAGTCCCAGTTGAGAGCGTTTGTTGGTGTATATCCGTAGGTCTGGGGTGTCGCGTATTTGTCGCAGAGAATGTTCCATGAAAAGACTTTGATCCTTTCCAGATTGGGGGATACGTCATCTTGAATGACAACGAGTTTCCGAGGAGAGGGAGGAGGAGGGCCTGTAGAAATTGTTAGCACAATTAACCAAGGTACAAGTTTTAATTAACGTACAAGGAGCATTTTCTTTTAGGTAAGTGATCAGACTCTTTGTCCCCTTCTCCATGATTTCGTGTTTGATCTCTGGGTCCAGAGGGTTACCTTCAATCCCAAGCATTTCAAGAAGGTGAAGCGATCCCAGTTCATTGGGCAAAGTTCGAATATTGTTGTTGAAAAGGTGCAAGTTCTTGAGGTAGGTGCACATTCCGATCTCCGGGGGGATTTCTTCGATCTGGTTAAAAGAGGCGTCGAGGTGGCGTAGTGCTCGTAGTTCTCCAATTGCGTTGGGTAGTATTTTGAGCTTGTTCGAGGCGATGAAGAGCTCGTTCAAGAAGCTATACTTGAATAGTTCCGGTGCTAGGTTTCGCAAGCCTTGTCCACTCATATCCATGTTGTGCCAGTCTTGCCGTCTCGTTTCCTTCTCCACAGTTAGGGGTCGTCTTCTATCGACACCATCGTTCTCGTCGTCCGGCTGAGCACGTAAACTACTCGGTGGTGGGCCGCCAATGCCTCTATTTTCCGACGCCTTGAGCCTAGCATAGTAGTGCGGTTGTTGTTGATCGGTCATGGCGGCGTGCGCTCGTTCAGACTCCTTGGCCATCCTCAATTGCTCCTGCCACATCTCGTTTGGGGGCGCCTGGCCGCGGCCAGCTGAGTGGCCATTCTGAAGCGCATTCGGAGCGAAGGGACTCGAGTTCGAAAGGCCGGCAGGAGTGAATGTCGAGTGGTGGCCCATGCCGTTGGGCATCCCATGGTCGTGTTGAAGTCCTTGGTGGTGTTGTGTCTGAGATGGGTGTTGATGTGAGGGATGTTGGTAGTTGTACATCATGCCCGGTAAGCCTCGGCCGGCACCGTTCATCCGACCATGTTGACTTTGCCCGGAGTGTTGAGGGTACATTCCGGCAGGTGTCTGTGAAGTGATTATGATGGTTATAGGTTGTAGGGTGGTGGGTTAGGGGGTTGCGCCGGCAAGCAGCACGGCAGCAGATATCGTTGGTCGGGAGTCGTTCTTAGGGGGGGTGAGTAGAGCAAGTCGCTGGAGCAGCTCATCGGCCGTCGAGTAAAATCGCTGGATGAATTGGGTTGAAGAGCTCGCGTAACCGCGCGGGGTGATTTTGATGAGTGACGAATGGCTCGACACTTTCACCCAATGTTCAAAAAAAGAGAGAGGAAGATTGACTCGCGTTGACGCATTGGCCTTTAGCAGCCAGTTCGTGGGGAAGTATGTTGTGCCTTTGTGGCTCGATTGGAGAAGGTTGATTCGTCGGTAGGTCAAGAGCTCATGAGAGTTGTTCGCGACAATTTCGTTAGGTCCCTATTTGTGATGGTGGGTAAACCAATGTTGGTTAATCACTGTCGAGCAAACGGAAGCAACAGAGCTATTGTAGTGAAGATCAAGTGCAGAGCATGCGTGTCAAGAAATGCTGCAAGGATAGTGGTCAGTCAGAGCTTGTTTGAAAGAAGGGCATCATAGGTAGTTAGGAGGAGGGGGATCCGAGCTTTCGCGAACACGTTGCGGTGTCTGTTTTAGCTCGTGCGGGGCCACGCACATGTAAGAAGCGAGCGCAACAATGCAGATATTGGTTTAAAAAATCAACTGATACTTGGAGAGCAGAAGAGCAGTTAATGGTACAGAAAGCACGGCTTAGATATGACTGTGATGCTGGTCGAGACTGCGACGAAGGGACTGAGGCCCAAGGAGCGACGTTCAATCACGTGCACTTGCTCCGCATTCTGATGGCTCGTGCGAGTATCCAGATCACGTGCACTCTCAGCCGTTCTCCAGGACGTCTGAGACCATTGCACTCAGCCTTGCTTGACAGTAACGGATGCTTCAAGTCAACCAAGATGCATCACATGCCATGTTGTTGACTGAAGCAGAATTCGCTAATCACTAATATCTATCGTTGTTCAATGACGAACTCAAACTTGGCAATCTCATTAAACTCACAAACCATAGGATATTTGCAGCATCAGATGCTGATATTCACGGGAACCCACGCAAGCGTATGCAATGACAGGGAACTACTAATTAACCGTATGGTTCGAGCTTACCCCAGACTTATATTCTGCAAACGTGAATTTTGCAATCACCTACCATCTAGAAAAACACACTACAGGGAACCATATGCTACATCTATAGTATCGAGAAATATTCTTCATTACCTCAATTGCACAGGTAAAGTTATGAAAGTGACGCCACTACTGCAATCCCTCGCACAATGGCACTACGTCCTCTGTCATTACCACTGAAAAGATACATTTGTACGGTGACTTAGCTACATGTTTATCATATAGTTATGGTGTGCAATAATACCCCAATGGGCTCTTTTTAAAGCTGCACGAATCAACATAAACTTTGACTGCGGACTCGCAAGGGGAAGGACTGGCAACTCACAAAATTAATGGTTCGATCCGCTAACACGGACCGCTTGCTTGGGAGCAGGAGCCAAGAAACACTGTACTGATTCGTCCGCAACAACGTCGCCCAATCATTCTTGTATATTTTTCATGTCACGGAGCCTCGAGCCGCAATGGCACAACTCCAGCAGACAACACTGCCATTCAGCCGAGAATAGCACCGTTGGACATGATTCACTTTTATGTAGTGTAGGACTCTCTTCCATGTCACTATCGCGGGGGAACAAGATCGCCTCAAGCACAAGCTCCGGAGGAAAAGCTGGGGTCTGCGCTCCCTTCGGCTATTATTCATGCAAGCGACCCGCTCGAATACCCAAACCCTGGAAAGATTGTCAGCCGTGAACATGGCAAAAATGTATCTACACTGTCAGATTCGGGTCACTACAGCTGCAGCTGAAATTACATGTTTGATCCTTCGCAATGTACCCTTCGTACCTGGCCGCGACCTGCAGCAATCACAAGTTCTTGACAGTAATTATCCCCTGTCTAACCAACCAGAAAGACCTCGGAACGCCAGGGCTGGAGAGGAAGCTGCTAACACGATACGCGTCAATAAAACATCAGGCAAAGAGTCTAATGTGCGGGGGACAGCCAACCGAAGTGCAGCGCTCCACACCTCATACATTCTTGAACTGGGGAAACAGCATCGCTTGGATCCGAGCAAGCGTGAAGCCTGGGGGATGTATCCTGTTGCGAGAAGCCAGTTGCCGTATATAGAATGTGACCTCTGCCGCCATCTCTGGCCTGTTTGCTTATCTGCTTGCTTGCTTGTCCAACCTGAAACCACAGTACTACTACTGCATAGGACATGCGGTTTGCTGCAGTATCATCGTCCTTCCTTACACTCGCACTCGCACTCGATCTCGACGCAGCTACACGTCCCGTTGTTTAACGCCAAAGTTCATCATGGAGACTTGAACCAATACGCACATACACATGTATCTGCGGCATTTCCCGCAATCTTTGTTCAGGACAAACAAACAAACACCGCCCACACCAGAGACACGGCTTGCTGGCCAACCAGTAACGTCCGTCGTCAATCATTAGCCTACGTTGGTTCCGCCATCTATTCCAAGGTTGCGACATCATAACACGGGAAGAGAAGACAGGGAAAACGACGGCACTGCTGCTAACAACGGTCGATGTCCCTCTTTGGGCAACCAGGACAGGAGCAGCAAAGAAGGTCGACACCTGGCACTGGATAATTCTAGGTGCGATCAGCGGTCGACATTTTAACTTTGCAAATTGCGGGAATTCTTCGTTTTCAACACCACGCTGAACCGAAACCCTGGCACAAGCGATTTAGGCGACCGACACCTTTGAATCAGTGTCAAGCATTCACGAAAGAGCCCAAGCCAAGGGTTAACTATCGGTTCCTTCAGTGCCCCTGCATGATCCGGGAGGCAATCCGGCGACCACCCGGATTTGGAAGTCCAATTACGCGGGCCAAAGAAGAGTTCTAGAAGGGCTAAAAAGTCTGCAACCAGCCCCAGGGGGTCGGGAGAGTACCGTTTTCTACAGTGCCTGCCGGTAGGTACTGAGGTACCCAACTTACCTACACCCAAGTTGCCTCCCATCTCAAATCTCGGTGCAGTGCAGTACCCGGGCGGCTTCAGCTCAAGCCGCCAGTGTTTGCTAGCGGCGGTGAAACTACATCACCAGATTGATCAACCCATAGCAATTACACCTGCAGCTGCACCTACACCTGCACTGTACTCCGTACAAACGGTAAACTATTAGCCCACCCCTGTCTAGTCCAGGCAAACCACCCCATCCCCTAATCCACGGGCATCCACATCCACATCCCCATCCCTATCCCTATTCATCGGCAAGCTTGCGCCAAAGAGTATAGTTTAGTCCAAGCCCAGGACGACAATGTCGGAATGGAGCGGATTTTACTACGCTTCTGCCAACCCCTTACCCACCTTTGCTCGAAAGACAAAGGCTGAAAAGGAGTGGCATCGCCCTGAAACTCCCCCGCGGTCCCTTTCAGCTTCCCACGACATCAAGCCCAACAACACAAGACGTCCCTTTCAGCATACGAGGACCTCTAGTGGGAGTCAGCGTAGCGGTAGTCGCTCGTCGCACGAGTCGTCTCTCGTGCATTCCAGCTCCAGCCCCGTCGCCAAAAGCGGCCCCTCCTTGGGGGAAGACAATTCTCATTACTCGCACTCAAAAGTCCTATCATCTGACTCGCGCCGACAATCTTCAACGTCGACGTCAACATCACATAAACATCGTATTAACCCAACTTCTACCACCGCCGTAACAGCACCTTTATCCTCTCCTATTATCTTCAATCGCCCCGTCGTTATCGACAAATCTCGAGAACGCGAACTTCTTTCTCGTCACTCAGGCGCGATTACTCCAACTTACGGCTCTATTGATCTGAAAAATGTCACCATGTACTCCCAGCTGGAAGCAGGCAACAAACCCATGTCGGGGACAACGAAGCAATTAAACCTCGGTTTCCCTCGAACAGAGTCCGTATCTTCCACGAGCGGACAGACGACCGCCTCAAACCACACAATGACTTCGACAGACCCCTCCAACTCGTCCGACCCTGCGATGAAACCATTTATCGTAAAAAATGGCCGCACCTACTTCAATGATCCTACATCGTCATATCCTCTCCCTACCGATCTTACAGAGCTTCATCGACAAAGCTTGCGAACGCTTCTCATGATTCAGGTTTATGGCGCACCCGTTTATACACCATTCATTCAAAACAACCCTCCACAGCGTGTGTTAGAAGTTGGATGTGGCACAGGTTTTTGGAGTATGATGTGCCATCGATACTACAAGGATCGAGGCCACACCGGCATACACTTCACAGGCATTGACATCGCGCCTCTGGCACCTGGCAGTCCAGGATCCCCAGCCGAGCTTTGCAAACCAGACAAGGATATGAAATGGCGATTTGTTCAGCATGATCTTCGTCAGAGACCATGGCCCTTTGGCGATGAAGAGTTTGACTTGATCATGGTCAAAGACGCATGCCTCATGGTTCCAAGTCACGTTTACCAACTCTTTGTTGAAGAATACCTCCGCCTACTCAAACCTGGTGGAGTTTTGGAAATTTGGGACAGTGATCCAACATTTCGCATGTTGCGACCACATGTCCCAAGCGCAATGCCAGGTTCGGAAGAGGCAGAAGAGCATGAAGCCGCACTTGACCTAGGCGCTTTCCTCATGACATCAAAAACGCCACTGTCTGCGCCATTGAACTCATTCCTGGTTGAATACAATACATATTTGTCGCGAACTCTCGAAGGCCGACAACTGTCGCCTGTGCCGTGCTCTCTCATCAGCGCATTCCTCCTTCAAGAGGCAGAAGATCTGATGGATATCAAGTCGAAGCGTCTAGCAATCCCTTTGAGCGAAGTCCGATGGGAGCGCGAAGGTGTCGGCGGTGTGGTCACAAAGGACGGCAAGTCGTATGTGGAGATGAAAGCCAAGTCAGCACCAAACCAAAAGGTTGAAAAGAAAACCCTGACACCTGGACAGTCTGCACTGCGCAAAACGGCGCTCTTGACAGTTGCGCAGCAAGTATCGGCACTGGAGCCTATTCTTCGAGATGCGAGCGGCAAGAGCCAAGATGAGTGGGATGCTTGGGTAGCCAAGATGATGGCGGATTTGATGAGTGAGACTGGAACAAGCTGGGGAGAGTGCTTAGAATTGGGAGTATGGTCAGCGAGGAAGAGGCTGCGTAAGGGCGAATCTTGAGGTCGTCACGGGAGTTGAAGCACAAAAGCAAAATGGTGTCTCGAGGTGAACTTTAGTGGACGCCTTGGCGCATCAATGTCTCATGATAGATGACACCGCTGGAATGTTTACCATGTGACGCAAGGCCTACATACATGGGGGGACCTCAACGTCTCAGGTCGAGTCCCCACAGCCTCGCCAACATCTTTTCTCGTACTTCTTCCCATTTACACGTCGGCGTCATAACGTTTTCTCAATGTGCGATACCTTTTCAGATAGTACCTATACCCATATGATTAGTAAAAAAGCAGGTTATTGGATAGGAGGACGGGATTTTAGGATAATGGAACTTCAGGGACAATTGAATTCTTTTTGGCATTGGATGAGTTGACTTGACCTTGATTTGATCTTGTGATTGGGTTGTGACAAAGTTTGGAGCTGGGTAACATCCAACGACGGAGAATCATTCGAATTGACAGATGTGACATGAAGGCAAGCCATTTTCATAAACGATTGCATGTGTTTTGACACGTTGGTAAATGTTTTGGGAGTAGACTTACAAAGCTTCGATCTCTGCGTCTCGTGTCAGTAAGTACTGGCAAAACGGCCACGTTCAAACATACCCTTCTTAACATACTCAGCCTGCGCAATTCCCTGACGAATCTTATCCTCGTCGCGCTCTCCAGCTTTGGAAATGAAGGCCTTGTGCAACCGAGGTCGGAAGTAATCAAAGCCAAGAGGATATTCTCTCCCCAGATATAGGAGCTCTATTGTACGTATCAGTGTGCGGCTTTAGTCCTAGAAAAGGTAATCACGCACCCTTGTAGATGTTTATAACTTGGCGTCTTAGTTGCGGGTTGGAACTCATTGTGGTTTATATGTTTGTGTATTGTCGAGAATCTCATCGCATTACCTGGAGCTGCATACCAATGGTCTATGATGATACCGCGGTACTTCCCCAGACCGTGGCGCAGTATCCACCGTCCCAATCAGAAATATTTAGCCTCGCTATCATTCAGCCACAAATACTTTCATCTCAACAAGCGTCTGATGGCACAATCGCCAAAAGCTTCAATCTATTCCATATTACGATACCCTGGATTATAGTCTTGCGCCAGTGTAGCTACTGGTCAAGATATCAACCTCCATGTTGCCCAACAGGATAGGATCTTTGCATATCCTAAAACCACTCTCCAAATGCCCAAGTCTCGTTCGCTTCAAAAACTATAAAGGCGATCTTGCTGAAGACCGATGGCCAACAGGATTAACACCGGAAGCCAGGCCATTTCGCAGTACATGGAGACACCCAGACAAGAACTACTCTGTGCCATTTACAGTGTACAATGTTCCAAACAATTCCGAGGCATTTGTCAGATGGCCAACACTCAGGAATTTCATGCCAGCACTGAATCCGCGAGCATGGAGAACAGTCAAAGCCGGGGGATCCATTGGTTCTAAACTCGAAACAGTCCAACCTGGGTCAACCCGTGATGCCAGATTAGAGAAACAACTAGCATTGATGCCTTACATGTATAATGACCTTGGTGTGTTGGTTTACGATGGTCCAACTGAGAAACAGTTGCAGACCATAGGCTATATGCTCAAGAGAATCGTGAAACATGAGGGCAGACTGCAGATCCGTGCATGGCACGCGACTGAGAAAAAAGTGCGCTTCGATAAATGGAACGTATACCGGTTGTCGGTAAATGAGAGGGATCATCTTGACAGACTTTGGAAGAAGGTGCGTTGGTAGATGTCCCTTGGGAAGAATGAGGATACGACGCTGATTTTGCTACAGAGAGGTTTCTTGCTCCCGAGTGGCCTCGATGAGCTTACTGACGTGGCGCTAAATAAATGGCGAGATGACTGGAAGGTTCGAAGGGAGGCCGAAGGGAAAGGCGGTCGTTTACCAGTCAGGTTTTCTAAATACAGCAAGGAGATGTGGCTCCTGAATAGCAAAGACGGCATGGGCTTGATTAATGTAGGTTTTCCTTGTTACTCGGTCCAATCCCTGATGTTCTAATAAACCTCGCAGGAAACCATCAACGGACCCCGTCTCACTTCAGTCGATGCCTACGTCGCCACAGCAGTTTATAAAAGCCGCATTCATATGAACATCGAGCTTCACGCTGTAGGTACAAAGCGTTTCCTCGGCTGTGCAAGCCTCCTACTTGAGCCCAGCGTCGACAACGATGTCCGAGAAAAGAGATCGGAGGAGGCCAAGGAAATGGACAATGCCAGCCCCGATGATACCAAATCACAAATGCAAACGCGCAAGCAAGAAAGGGAAGATGTGCGTCGTAATCTGCAGAAGATTTACTATATCGAGGCACCAAGCTCGATGGAGCGACAGGAGCCTATCGTTCAGGACATGACCAGGAAGCTGTGGAGGCTTGAGCGATTGATTTGGAAGGATAGAGAAGATGCTATGAGGAAGGAGATGAACGAGAAGAAGAGGCGTGAATGGGAAGCACAAAAGGCTTTGAGGAAGTCTATCAGGGCCCAGGTGAAGGCAGACATGGAAGGAAATGAAATGCCTTCGGAGAAGAAAGAGAAATCTGAAGAACAGAGCCAGAGAGACGACGATGTCGCTGAGGGTTTGCGTGGCGAAAAGTCTACTTGAAGAGACAGCCATATTCTAGAGGCTCATTTGGCCATTGAAGGGCATTATACCTCTTCACTATATACTTCAATCATCCTAGGACTCTAGCGACGTAAAGGTAGAAAAGCATACACTCACCACTTCACATCGGCCATTTTGTCGAAAACTTTGGAACAATACCTAGGGCATTGACGAAGTCTCAAAGGCAATCCAACGAAACGCTTACATGGACTGAGGATGATATTATTTCTGGCCTGCAGTTGACTGCAGTACTCATCGGTATTCAACTCAGATGGCCTCGGAACGTGTTAGTCTTGATATGGGCAATATTCACCTATCTCCATCCAGCGCCTAATTTAGGACTGGCGTTTAGACCGCCACGCGTAACACGTGCATTGAATACAATCGGCAGCAGCGGAATGAAAGGCCTCCAAGTCAACAAAGACATCAAAGAATGAAACCTAGAACAAGTTCAGTGTCACTAGCTAACGTCAAAACACTATGTACTGAGCTTGTACTTGAGACATCCAGACATCGGGTTGCCTAATTAGGCAGCAGTTCAAGTCATGCCATCCAAAGCAAGACGTTGACATCTTCATCTCCGAGAACACATGGACAATTTCCGGATCACTCTGAAGAGAGAACGACGCAGCGGGAGCACAACCGAAAAGTGTGATATCTTCCGATATCACAGCATATCATGTCATGTAACGCTTCTGTCCATCCAGACAGGGCTGGCTCAAGTGGCGTTCATATGCAGCAGCACGGGGCATCCCGCATAGCATATTGGAAGCTCCAACGTTCCCCCGCCCAGAACAGGGTCTCAAGTACCGGAGCTCACCAGTTGGCTATTGCATAGATAGCTTCGATGCTATTTGATTCAGGCCAAGAACTCAAGAAACGACGCAATATTTTATAGACGTTGCTAGAGCACTTGCCCTTAACACCATCATTATTTCTTATCCGCAGAGGCCGGTCCGTTGTCCGCTCACCGTCACTTGACACCACCTCATGGCCTAGCACACGAAACAAAGTGCACAGGAAGCTGATGCAGGGTTGTAAGCTCAGTTTTGATAGGGCAAGTTAAACAGACAAGTGCGAGAAGTGCCGACGAGGGGTGGCAGCCAAACAGATCGCCCCCATCGATAGGGATCAAGCCAAGACCTAAGCTTAGTGCTGCGATTTGCTACATAGCAGGGCAGTAGCGATTATCGCGCTCCATCATGATGTTGTTCGTTTGTAGTAACGAGATCGTGGGGTTGATGCTCGTTGAGACAACCGGCGTTGATAAATAGCCACAACCTCATCAACGGCCTCGTGGTCGGCCTCGAAAAGCCTGAATGAAAACGAGGACGATATAAATAACTACGTTGTACTTGTCTCGTACAGAGCAAACATTTTGAGGTTGGCCTCGTTGAAGGCCATTCTCAGTTTCTGAATGGACGAGAGTCAGCAGTGGGCTCGCATAAGCAAGCACGGCCGTTTGAGTCGTGGCAGCAGATCACAGTGCGGTGATCTCTTCGTAAACAAACCTATGTGGGTTGGATGATCAGCGTTTTTAGTCGTCAACTGACGACACATGGAAGAGGGGTTTTGTGATGTTGATGTGTACAACCAGTGACTGTCAACCACTGATAAAGAGGAGTTTTGAACTTCCTGAACAGTGTGTCAGAAATAGGCAGGCAATGCCTAAGCACAAATTTCAGCAAGTTCAACTGCGTATTCTCTTGTCCCCTGTGCTGTTAGCGGACCGACAGCTTCATTCTGCGCAAGTGGGGTATATAAGAGTTGTGTGCATCTGCCAGGGAATGGCCTGCAAATCTTTCAATGTAACCAAGCTCAAAATTGTTGCCCTTGTTGATCGGCTTTTGTCCATATCGAGACGAAGTTCGTTCTTGATCGTTGCAAAAGGACATGATAAAAAGCGGGACATTAAATTAGACCAAAAAATGGGCCAAGAAAAACTACCGAAAGTAAATCCTGGACTGAGTCTAATGACTCAAGTACCGTCCTGGGGAGTTGATCATTATCGGTGAGTCGGGAAATAATTGTTAGTTGTTGCTTAAGTTGGGAGATTCCGATAAACTCGATGAGGGTCTTGCAGAATGATTTGCAGCTTGTGGATTGCTGTGGTATCGAAGCTGTAGAGCCTCCTGTGGTATAAAGGTTGAGCTTTGAGTACAGAAGCCGCTCCCTTTGTCGTTTCATAGTGTTTTCTACTTCCATGGCCATGTCCGTTCATGTTTGTGTCCACGTCGTGCCCTTGTCGTGCAGTTTAGCGACCCTTGGAAAGAGTTGACCAATCCGTGTTGCTCTAAAATCTTTCCCCTTGAGCCAGCTCAGGGCCTTTCCCACAATGGGCAGCCCGTGGCGCCCACGACGTCAGTGAATTCTCTCGCGTCGCTTCCAAGGTATCGGCCGTCGTTCCAAAATTAAGAGGGAGACAGCTAGCTAGCTTAGAGATTAACCTTTGGGGGGCGTTTCGCTGGCTCATTCGTCCAGCTTGGTTCGACATGTGTCGGAGTCTACCGAGGCAAGAGTTTCTAGCTTTGTTGATGACACTGTACATTGTTAGTGATGATGTTAACCATGAGATGAGGCTGCAATTGGTGATGTCCTTTTTCTTGCATTGCGGAGAAGCCCTATAGTAGGAGCACGGCAGAGCCGGGGTGCACCCTGGCTAATACTTGCTTGTTTACAGAGCTTGTAAGCGATGGCGTGCGCGCGCGATGTGTTGCATTTGTTCTTTAATGTCGATGTATTATCGAGATATTGGAAGGCCAGGCCAAGCACTTCAATTCAAGCCATCATGTCGCATTTCTGTCAAAGCAAATGCTTCGTGACGAATGTGGACAAAGACTTTGATTTCTGCCAATAATTTACCTTCTTTCGCCTCAACTCATCTCTGCTAAAAAGCAGGGTTCACACAGTAAGACGCACGGAGTGTTTCATGGTGGAGCATGTGACTCCTCTTCAATCGTCTGGTTTTACTTGAGAAAAACTACTGCACAAAGCCAAGACGGCGTAGTTTTCCAACGGATATCGTTGCATGGGATGGCATTCAACTCCAAACTCAATCATTAATCTGATGGATTAGTAGGTAGATCATGAGCTTGTTGTATGTAGACCAGCCAGCTATGCAGTCCAGCGTAGCGCCTCATCTTAACCAACACAACCTTGTTCCTGGTTACCTGATCTGTTGGCATTCAAGACGCCAAAAACCACCCAGAAGCGGAATCTTAACGTTGCCGATCCACATGGAGGATACATCCCTTTATTGAAGTTATTCATTGTCCTAATTCTAGTCATCATTGACACCTTTCAGCTCTCATCAGCACAACTCTCCAATTCAGCCAAAGACTCCACTGATATCCTCTTTAACGCGCCTTTAGCGCGTATCTTGGAATAGACTGCCTGCCCACTGCCCCAATTGCGCCCCATCTCATGCGTCCCAAAACCCGGGCATCCATTGGCGACTGGAGCCCTGTAATCATGCGAGCCACTAAGACTATAGTGGATTCCAGCACTCAAAGAGCGCCAGAAACAGCCGCGTAGGGTACAGTGCGAGTCTTCGCACCCCGCTATTCCCGTTCCCGTCCATCCTTCCATTATCCTTTTTGCGTTCGGCCACTCCATTCCTTTCTGTTTCCTTTCCAATACCTCGATTCTTCCACAAGCACGAGCCTGGCTTTGACAGCCAAAAAAATCTCCTACCTCCACAACCAACAACAACCACTACCTTGCATTACTTTTTTCTTTTTAACCGTCCAATATTCTATATCAAAATTCTACTGTAAAACCACGTCGTAACCAGTCAAATCTCGTTGCAACAATACCTGCTTTCTGCGGCCCCTCGGCCGATCTTAGCAGGTTTTGCTTGTTGAAGTTGACTTGACTTGACGGTAGTTCCCCTCTTCTGTCGTTGCCCTTATCGTTTGATCTTAGCATCGCCTCGTGTCTTGTTCCGTTACGACCGTTTACAATTCGAATGCATATGCCGGCCTCGAACTCTCTTTTCGCAACGGTCCGCCTCCCAACTCTACCTTCTATCTGCCCGAGATCCCATCTTCTGCCTGCCGTACCGTGTTAAAAACGGCCGAGACACCATATCGTTCGAGTCGCCGACTTCCAGTTCCAAGCCCTTGACTTTGAAAGGCTTGTCCCGGCTGCCGGTCCTGTTCCCACGTGGTTCTCAGGTTCGACAGACTGTGGCAGCAAGGCAAGTCGTTGCGCATGCCTCGCGCTCCAGGTTCGAGTAAGCGACAGCAAGGCGCCGCCAGTCACCGCGACAATCGCCATGAGAATGGGCTTGTAGGTCCTGCCAAGCGTTCCAACGACAAAAAGGGCTCAGGACAGCTCGACAACTCTGCCCGACGATCTGACCAAGGTGCTTCCGGCGCCCCTGGACAGTCAACGCCCGTCAACGGTCACGCCAGCAGCCCGTACAAGCAGTGTGTCTATGATGCAACCAACGACACCCCTAACGACGACCACCGACGCTCCTCTCTTGACGCTGTCTCCGAGATGTCCTCCGATTCATCCACCACCACTGGCCCCAGTGGTGTCGACTCTAGCCACCGCCAGATCGACGTCAATGCCATGAAGAACGCTGATGTCCATCGTGACTCGGGCCCGTTTGACCTCGCAACCACTGTCCTAAAGTCGCTTCCTATGCAGGACACGCTCGCTATTCTCATCATTCTTATGCATGTTCCATCGCTCTCACTTACCGTTATTTACACCATCTTTACATTCCTTACCTTTGTCCCTCCTGTCACGACCAGTTCCGGCATGAACATTAACTTGGCCGAGATTTTTGATGGCAACTCGACTATGCCCTCTCTTGTGACAGTTTTATGCGTCGACTTTTTTTTCCTTCTGATATGGCTCTTTCTGTGGGGTCCAATCCAGGACGCTATCTTGGATTTTGCTAAGCCAGTCATTGCTATTACTTTGGGAGGGGGAACGAGCGCAAGAGACGGGACTTCCAGGGGACTCACCACATGCTTCACGTGGGTTATAGGCCATCATCTGCTCCGAGGGACCAAAAACCATTGGGGTCGTGTGGCTCGCCATATACCTGAGCACTGGCGGGTGCCCAATATTTTCAGCAGTTCACTCGAAGCTACCTCCAGCACATATGATAAAATGAGTGCCTATGGATGGGTCAGAAGTGTTCTAGCTATACATATCCTGACCCAAGGCATCGTACGATACATCCGGGAATGGTATTTAAGGCGTGAAAAGGCCAATTCTTCCGTTGGTGCCAGTGATCCGGAGGCCGGAAAGCCACCCAGTGTGGCTGGCGACACGACCAATGAAGGGGGGTTTTCAACGCCTGATACCGAAATAGGGACATCGTCGACGTCCACGGCACCTACAACCAAAAAAAGAAGAAAGCAAAGCACTCAAGTTCGTCTTCAGCAACCGCTATGGGCAGCATTGGCGAGCACCAAGATTGTGGTGGTGAAGGAGTATGAGTTGTCCCATGCAGCTTCAGAGTCAGCTGGGACAAATGCTACCGACATTCACAATCTTGGCAATGCCCCATTCAACAACCAACCCAATCAAATTTGGATTTCCTATATTGGTAGCGATGAAGTATGTTTTAACACCAGCTATTTTCCCGAAATCGACGACGACGAGACACGCTCGGTTGAATCCTCCGGCGAGGACTCAAGACCCGCCAACATCGACACCTCAAAGCCATTCTACGTCAGAGTCAACAACGCTGTTTGGCAGCCCACACGCATGTTTCCAATCGAGGAGTCTCCTGAGGATTCTCACGAAGGCATGCGCTGGACAGGCGATATCTATGGGCTCAGGCCCGCATCCAAATATGTCTGTGAATTTCTTGATAGCCAAACTGATGAGGTTCTGTTCTCAACCAGTATCAGAACTATACAGGCCACTCAACGCGAGACGGATGGCGTCCCGCCTCCTGTGACTAATGCCCAGCGCTCTCTTCATCCAGACTCGCCTGCCACGACATTGAGAACATCGATTGCCGCGGTCGAGGCTAAGCTCAGTGAAGAGAAGTCCCGCCTCAAGACTCTGCGAAAGGAATACAAGAACCGCGCCAACGCCCTGCGAAAGGACAATGAGTTGACGGACAATCAGCTCTCCTCGGCTGGAAACCATGACGAAAAGTATCGACAAAAGATTCGTCAGCAAGAAACCCAGAAAGCCCAAGCAGAACGTGACACCCAGCAACTTACTGAACAACTCAAGAACTTTGACACCGCTCCTGAACTCGCCGAACGAAAAAAGAAGGTTGAGAAGCAGTTCAGCAGTGAGAAGAAGGTTTTCGAGGCAGCGCAAAAGGCCTTCAAGGAGTACAAGGCTGGACTGGAGAAGGAAATCAAAGCCAAGGAAGTTGAGAAGTCAAACCTCAACACCCGTCGAAATAAGGTCGCCACGCGTATTGCCAAGGTTGAGAACGAACTTGCCAACATCAATGATGCGAACAACCGTGGTCTGGACGAGGCGGAACGGCGTAACCAACAGCGTTCTCACTGGCAAGGTCATGTCGCCGGCATCGAAGCTAACTACAACGAGCGACTGGCCCACGTCCGTGCCGACAATGCTGGTAAGAGCGAGGAGATCCGGCACTTTCAAATGCAGTTGATGAGTATGCACGAGTTTATGACCTCGGGTAATGGCATGTCATACGAAATGATGCCGCCTCTCGACGCTGGCCACTCACAGCTTGGACCGCCTTTCCAGCCTGCGACTTCGAGTACCTGGAATCCTGATCCTACGGTTCCTCCTCACTACCCAACCGGTCTCTGGTCCGCTTCTGACAACATGCTTCCTTCGGCATCGGCTCCCACGCTTCCGTCCCTGTCCCCTTGGCAGCCTCCCCCAACTGCCCCACCATTTGAGCCGCGCATGAACCGCTCGCGTGGACGCAGTTCAAGTATGCTCAGTAACATTAGCGGCTTCACGCAGTCGAGCGGCGAGGAATATGCATCACCCCCCATGGACTCTTACCGGGTCAAGCACATCTGGGCGAGTCGAACCAAAGCCAGCGGTGGCGGTAGCAGCGGCAGCGGCAGCAATGGTGACCCGACAAGCCCCAGATGAGCACAAGATGAGCATTTTCCGTGTTTGGGTTGAGGATTTGGCTATGTAGCATTGGGTGATGTATGGCTGCGGTAGAAGTCAGCGGGTGGTTAGTTCGATTTCGGCAGGCTGCTGTTGGATAGTGCTTGCGGCGAATAAAAGTAGTGCCTTTGTTATATTGATTGCTCATTGATTGGTGATGTCTTTGTTGTGGTGGTCTGCAGTGTTTACGTCAAAGCCTTGAAATTGAAGATAAGTCTCAGTTGTATGCAATCATAACTGCCAGGATGTCGAAAAAGGACCAAATCAATTATCTAATGCTCAAAAGGTCCATCGAATTGCTGTCCAAAACCGAGGCGACATCCAAGACCTTAACCCGAAGCATGAAGAATTTCCCCAGGCTGTAGCTCCAAGTTACTCGCCCGAGAACCTAGCATTTATCTTAGGATTTATTGTCCAAACCCGTAACATTCAAAGCCAGGTATCAATACTGGGGCTTTTTACAGTATGTGCTTCCAGCTCGGATGCAAGAAAAGGGAATAAGGGAAGTGCAGTCGAGGTTGTATGAGAAAGAAAATGCAGGCATACCTGATCAAAATGCGGGTTCCGCTATCTTCATACCCATGTAGCCTTATGCTACTCGGTTATCCTCAGCTTCGGAGTAGAGAGTGTCTGTGTTGTATCACTAGACTGCTTTCTCGCTTGCAGTTGAAGCATCAGGCTGTTTTTTAAAGAGTGAAGAAAACATGCTGCAGTGTACAATACCGCAATGTACAATACCACAACACTCCATGCCAAACATGCTTGCGCGATACGCCAGCGTCTTTCTTCCTTTTCTAGATTATTCATTAGTGACTGGCTGTTTAGAAGTAGTAAGAGACTTACCAGCATATTTCCGATCTTGGACCAGATTGTATATCGTTCTGGTATGGAGCTCATGTATGCACATGGGATGGGATATGGGAACAGTCTTCTATGGCTCTTTGTTTATCCAGACAACAACTCGGCATCGCCCTGTGTCACTTCTAGGGTTGCATCGTGGCACTGCTCTCGGTATCATTCGAATGTGGCCATGATGAAGCTGTAGCCAGCGTGCTTTGAATACGTGTCGGACCATGCTGGCCAGCCTCTAGGGAAGAGTAATGAATACGATGAGGAGAGTGGACGGGGATATAAAGAGAAAAGCAGGTGATGAAGTGATTATGAACCTAGAGAAAAGGCAGATGCTTCTACACGCAACTTAAGATTACCATTTCACCTTTCAATGATTAGCAGTGTGATAGTTGTCATTTAACCTTTTGTCGCCAACCTAAGACTCATCATTAGACTCGTCAATGTAAATGTTGCGTAGATGAGCACCAGCTCAAACGAACATCATTATCCGTGACATATTCGTAGGGCATCGCCGTATAAAATTCATTGAGCCTTGCGAGATCTAATATGAACACTAGGTACCGACAAGCCTATACCAACCACCAAAGGAAGAATTTTTGTTTCTCAACTGACACCTGTTGGCTCGGCGGCGGGCAAACTTAAAGCGAGTGTGGCTCAACCTGAATATTCGTACAAACAGCTGATTGACGATATATCCCAAGGTAAGAGTATGGAAGAGCTTATGTGCTGAAACTCATAAGCATTGATTAATTATGAAATGGAATCATAATTAAGACTTAACTTATCCCGGTCTTGCATACTACTAAACAGCTATGTCGCCTTTTCTAATCCCGTCGAGTTGTCCCTTACCACGGAAATTGTTTTATAAGTCATTCCACTTCAATTACCTAAATTCAATTTGGCTCAAGAACTGCATGATACATTCACTATCTTTGCGACAACAGTCTGCTCTTATTGTTATGAATACCTCATTCAGCCAGAAACTATTGTAATAACATCAACGATAAAGAGTACAAAATAAAATAATTAATTGCTTATGTTCTACAGTCAACTATCTTCACCTCAGGACTTGTACATCGAAAAGGGGTCGCAACCCCCTACCCTGAACGATCAGCCACACCCCTATAGAGCCACAATCCAACGCCACATGTCCACTCAGTCGTCCATCGACCCAGGAGACGACAGCTCTCAACACAACAAATTGAAGTAACCTGCGCAGTGCCGTTATGTGGTCAAGGTGACCTTATTGTCCTAGATATAGTCGCCGGGAGATGCATCCAATATCGCCATGGATTTCGTGAGTGCCTCATCAACAGCCACTACCGCAGCCAAGACCTTCAGCTAATTGTCCTTCATAGTGGTCGCGCTTATTGAGCCCTCTTTCATCTGGGGGCTCCCGCAAGGACCTCGGACAGGATCCCGCGAAACGACTGCAGCGATTCGAGAAACAGTACAGCCGCTTATTAGTGAGGCACCAGTCGAAGCCCTCCGTACCCGACAAGTACTAACCACTGCAGAACGCCTGGAGAGCGTCATCCAACCTGTCTCGCGATAGCGACGCTGCAGAAACCCTGGAGATCCGCCTCCAAGAGCTCACCAACATCCTCAGCGACGAGAGTCGACGACCGCTACCGCATCCGTGTATTCAATACTGCTCGATCAAGCAAATCTACGTTCCCATCGGCAAGATCGCCACGACCTCATATAACGAATGGATCATTAAGGAGGCTGTCCTTTTCTTTGCGACTTTGATCGAAAGTGAGGAGGAAGCCTTTGTCGAGAACCAGACCTTCTCCTCTAGTCTGACAAACCTCCTCGTACGAATCACTGGGTTAAATAGTGTGCGACTGGGCCTCGATACTGAGTCGCGCGTCGTCGAGCTTGCCTTCAATATCACCACCAAGATCCGGCTGGACCCAAGTATCCTCCCAGCATGGTTCAAAACTCATCGCGGTGTGGCGCTCCAGAACAGGGAGAAGGACGACAGAAACCGCGACACCTTTGTTGGAAGGACCCAAAAGGCCGACTTTCCTCTTTTCTATATCCTCATGGACTATATTCATCATGAGGGAAAAGTAGGCGACTTTGCGCGGACAGGATTGCTCTACATTATCGAAGCAGCGTCAAGTTCAGGACCTCTGGAACAATGGATTGTCGAAAGCGACTTGTCGACGTTGATGGCGACAGGTCTTGGCGCCTTGTACAGCCAGCTGAGTCGCAAACTGGTCGTTGACCATCTCCCTCATAACCTGCCCCCTATTCTCGCATTTTCTGATTACGAACACCCTACATCCAACTACGAAGTCATTAGCTCATGCTCCCCCGAGTTTCAATCTCACCTTGAAGTTTTCCTATCTCACCTATTGTTCTGGCAAGATGTCTTGAACCACTGTCGATCGGTTGAGGTCAAGTCGACTCTGTTGGAGCACTTTCAAGTTATTTTCTTGCAACAGTTATTGTAAGTTACCTTATCCTTCTACGTGGACCTTACTGACAGTCCAGATACCCATCGCTGCTTGAATCCTCTGATATTGACGGAGGTTCGTCAGTAGCTGTTTTGACTTATCTCCGCCGTATCCTAGAATCACTTGACCACCCTGACATGATCAACCTTATCCTCCACTACCTCTTGGCACTACCTGATAATATCGCCTCTGATGGACCTGGCTCTAGCTCGTCTGTCAGTAAGGCTCGCAAACGAAAGTCAATGGATCTGGCCACAATGTTGGCGGAGAGGGCAGAACCAGCTGCAACCCCTCTGCTCTTCAACCTGGTCGATCTTATTCTCGCATGTTTGAGATCACGGAACCAACAAACGATTCATGTTACGTTGCAATTGGTGTCGGCTATTCTCAAGCGACATCATCGTTACGCCATTGTCACTCTTCTGAGGACTGATAATGTTCCGGTTCAAAATGCTACCCGAACTGTCGGTGCTCAAGAGCAAGAAGTAGAATTTTTCATGTCGTTAGCAGGGACAATAGGTGGCGAGGATGATTTTGATGAAGTGTATCAGCTTGTCCTTCGAGATACTATGACTAAACTTGAAGCTCATCCTTGTTCGCTGAAGCTTGTCGCACCCAGGGCGTCTACGAGTAACCAAAGGCTGCCTGACAGTCTTCCTGGAGCACCCAAGGATGTTGGGGATCATACCCTTCGTCCAGACGACCCTCTTCTCAATTCGCTATTGGATCTCCTGGAGACGTTCTTCGTTAATCAAGTGGAGACAAATCTTTCTGTGACAGAGACGCTCGTTGACTTGGCTGTCTGTGGTTTTATGAAGATTGAGGGATGGTTGACTCGCAATCCGAGCTCTTATATATATGATGATGCCGTGAAGGAGACACATACAGCTGAAGGAGAAGAAGAAGCTACAGAGAGTGACGATGACGACGACTTGGGAGATCTGCCATCTCCGACAGCAGAACAAAAACAATTCCGAGCTATGGAACAATGCCGCCAACGACCGCAGTGGTCTCAAGCTTCGTTACCACGTGTTTTCAGTGTTCTCAGACGATTGGAAGAACAAGTAGCTTCCTACAAGAGAAGCATTCCCCACTTTGACGAGCTGGTGCAACAAAGACGAGATGCATTCAGAACTGCGGATGCAATGCTACACCATGCGGGTCCCACGCCAAGGCCTACCCCCATCAGTGAAGACCCCCCTGACCGACGCAGCTTTGAAGAGCCGTCACGCAGCACTTCTCCTTCCCGGCCGTCGGCACTGGAAGGCCTAGCGCACCGTCTCCTGTCCGAACTGGGAACCCCAAGCCGCGCCAGCAGCCCGCGAGGACGTAAGGAGCTTGGCCGTGCGCCTGGCAGTGGAAATGCGACCCCCGGAAAATCTGGTCTGAGTTCTTCAAAGGAGGCGTCTCTTAGCCGGGGACGAGGCACTCCGGTGCTGAGCCACTCTCCGGAGAGGATACAGGGCACTATCGACCCAACGCAGAAGGCCAGGGAGGAGGTGCTTTCTCGACAGACGGCTGAGTTTGCAACTATGGGCCAAACTATCCTTTCTAAGAAGGTGGGATTACCGCAAGTCGAGGTTGAGCCTGTTTCTGTCAAGTCTGATGTTCCTGTTGAGTCTGGTAAAGAGCCGGTGCCAGAACCGACCGCAACTGTAGATGGACCAGAGCCTATTGAAGAGGCTCCCGCTGAACAGGATGATGCAAAGAAGGATGAGCCAGAGCACACTGCTGAGGTGCCCAGTGAACTGGATGATAAGAAGAAATATGAAACAGACGATTCTGTGATGGAAACCGCAGAGCAGCCCCCTGCCGAAGTTAAAGAGGATGGGGAAACAATGCCTGAAGGTGTCGAGACCGAGACTGAAGTTCAACCTTCAGAGGCCGAACCTGCTGAGGCTGTGCCTGAACCGGCTGAGCTGCTTAAGTCTACTGAGACTCACGATAAAGATCCTAAGACAACTGAGGCTCCTGAGGAAAACGAGCCTATCAAGGAGCCTGAAAATGAGGAACCAGTGGACAAAGAGCCGGAGGTCAATGAACCTGAGACCAGTGAATCGGAGGTCAAGGAGCCAGAGGTCAAGGAGTCAGAGACCAAGGAGTTGGGCGATGAGGAGACAAAGGCCGAGCAGTCAGAGATCAAGGAGTCTGAGACAGAGGAGCCTACATCAAAGGATCCCGGAGCCGAAGAGGAAACCGAGGCACAGCAACAACCTGAGGCTAATGACACTGAAATCGAGAGCCATGAAGCTGAGGAGCCTAGTGATGAGCCTAGGCCTGAGACTCCTCGACCAAAATCCCGACAGCAAACTCTAGAGCCAGAAACTCCGCAGCCACGAGTGCAAAAAGAGAACACAACGACTGTATCAGTCTCTCACGTTGTCACTAACGTGATCATCCTGCAATCTTTTCTCTTTGAGCTTGCTGCTCTCATCCAAGTCAGGGCAGGTCTATTCGACGAGGTACGATTTGTGTAACGGTGGAAATTGAGCTAGAAGGTGCATTATTCGGGCGAGATTCACAAGATCCTCACGATTCATGAGCAGATGGCATTGGTGCGATTGTTTGATACACAGGAAGGGAAATGAAGGAAAGGAAAGGAAAGGAATATTTATATAATGCATACCGAGACCGTAGATCCGGATCTGGTTGAACGTAACATTCACTTTTGACTCGTGGTAGTGTATCGTGACTTTGTGTATTGAAATGAACCCAACGCCGGCTAGAAATGCGTACATATGTTACATGGTTCCCAAACTTATGGGTTAATTTCATCCCATTCTATCCACCTTCTGATGATATCATCGACAGCTTTGATGCCGTCTCTTGTGGCTTCTACCTCGAACCACTCGCGATGTTCTCTACCACAAGCGGCACACTTGCCCGCATCCGCCTTGAAACCCAATCCTGAAAGCTCTAGGTGCACCAGACGCTCTACACGGTGTACGTGCGGCGTCATGTGTGGGACCACGCCGGACGATTCATGTGAACCAGGAATATAGGGATAGTATCGTAGAAGCTCAACTTCGCGACCACATTGGCGCTGCCACTCGTTCAGTCGGCGCTGCACATTAGATGCGCGGCCGATCTTGAGAAGCATAGTGCTTTTAGAGTTGGCTGGATCTGAAGCTGCAAAGCTGCGCACAGCGTTGCTTGCACTTCGTGAGCGCGATTGGTTGTTTGGTGATGGAGGTGCTAGGAGAGAGCGTGCTGCATCAACGGGCGCGGCAGATTTGGACTGAGATGTGGGAGTGAGCCAGAACATGTAGATGAAGCCAGGCTCTTCTCCACTGCCGAACGGACGGGACATCTCGGCCATTAGCGCCGAGGCAGTGGTGGTGTCTAGAGAGTCGGGGATGAAATCTTTGATGGTTGCTGTCCGGGAGCCCGTTGATTTACGTGATTTGCGGGAAGATTTGCCGCCGGACATGTTTTGTGATGGGCTCAGTCCTTGGTTGGACGCGGATGTGTGCTGAACAGGGCGTGGTTGTGGACGTTCTGGTTCCTCATCGTCTTCATAAGGAACCGAAAAGCAAAAGCAGCACAACAGAGACGACTTTTTCGATTGTGGTTTCGAACCATTCAGTCTCCCGTTCCCATGTTTCTTTTCGTTCAGGTCCACCAATCCCAATCTATCCGTCAACGTATCCAAGCTCGTACGACCTTCCAAGATTGGTGTCGCATTGGGTCGCGGGCCAGGGCTAGATTGTGCTGAGATGTTGGCTTGTTCACGATGCTGCCAGCAGTAGAGACTCTCATCGCGTGGATCAGGCGTCACGGGACGTCTGCGCCTGTCGGTCTTTGGTGCGGGGTTCTGCTGAACGACTGGGCGGCGACATGGTTTTCCGTTGGATGTCAAACCACGGCATGTTCCTTCAGTGAGTTTTGAATCGGATCGACCGAGATAAGACTCGGGAGTATTTGCGACAAAAGGCATTGTTTCGTGTTTACAAAGAGCGGTGGGAACTCAATGAATGGCGTATTTCGAGGAAGGAAGAACTGCGGAGAGGGAGAGATAGTTGTATATATAGGTGGGATGAGGAAGCAGGATGAATATGATTCAGGGATGTTTGAAGGGATGACGAAGTGTTCAAGACCAACCAAGGCGTGTCCGGAAGCTGGTTTGTTTGTTCCCGTTCCCCATCTTGGCTTGGCTTGTGTAGTCGCGACCAAGTCCAACCATGGCGGCGGCTAGGCAAGGGGAGGGATCCGTGATGGAGAATGAGTTTGCAGCTAAGTGGAGAGTAGGTTTGAGTTGGCAGACAGTATGTGGCTGTGCGTGGCTGTGCATGAGCCGTAGGCTGAATTGAACCCTACATATGAAGTGGTGGCAGTCTTTATGTGGCCAACAACTCAGCTCGGATGCTGTAGGAATTGACGATGAGTTGTTTAGGCTTTGCTTTGTTTTATCGATGCTTGGTGAGTTGTTGAACGACAGGACATATGTTGGTGTTGGTTACTACGTGTTGTTGATCAGTGCACTCTATTTTTACAAAATGAAACGTCATCCCCAATGACGGTTAATCCCTGACAGATAAACCGGGGTCTTTCCTGAATAAGAGATTTTGGTTTGCCTTGGATACGGCAGTTGTGAATCTTCATGATTCGGTGCCTGAATTGATTCTTTGTGATGGTTGAACAGGTGGAATAAGCCCCAGGTGAACCAGGAACGAGAGAGAATAATGGGATATAATTCGAGAAAACTATGGGGTAACAAATAGTAAAGAAGCAAACAATCAATTGTATGCAGTTGATTAAACGCCGAGCCGAACGAACCCATGCTGGGGATCCATGATATGATGTTAGAACCAGATTCCTTGCCGCTCGCAGACCGTGGGTGAATGACAACTTATAACGCCCGCCAATAAGAACCTTGATGAAGCAAAGACACAAAACCCTTTGACCATAAACTTAATTCGCACCCGGTGCGCTTCTCAACAACCTTGATGGTCCTGACCTGTCCGCCAAGGTACTCTTCTAGAGCGATGGTGAAGGAGATGATGGGCAGGACGATTCTTCCGATAATTCCTGACTCATGAAATTGAAGCCGACGATACCTTCTGCAATAATTTTATTCTGGCCTGTTTCAAGACGTGAATAGACAGAAACACGACGTCCAATGATTCCATCGCCCCCAACTTCAAGTGATAGTGGTCCCTGGAGTTGTGATTCGACAAAGTCGTTGGATGTTGGAGGTTTTTGGAGAGAGAATTGACGAAATAGACCACATTCGCTTGCGTTTCTGGTCAAATCACCACTCGAACTTTTTATCGTTAATATAGACTGATGGTCTGGTGGAAGTGAAGGGAACTCACTGTATAATGACATGTAAATCAGAGAAATTATGTATACTGCATTCCTCACTTGGAGTGAGTCTTGCATGTGTCGCGCTTGAAGTTGATGGACTTCCGGGAGTGTGAAAGGCGAGATCACCAGAGATTCTGGAAGGAGAGTTTGTGGGAGAGTTGAGGGAGACGAGAGCACCTCCTCGAGGACGGTTGGTGTTTTCAGGGCCGCACATTATGATGAGTAGAATGTTTAGGATGATTATAAAGTATGTTGATGATGAATTATAGAGGAATATAGTAGATATAATAGTAGATATAATTATTTGGCCTGTTTTAGCATTCTTCTCATAGTCTCTCACGGCTCCTCCCGTCAAACCTGCTCACACAAAACTGACCAATCAGAGATCAGCAAGACCTAGCGTGTTCCCGAATCGGGTAACTTTTGGGTTGAGCAAGTTTGAGGGGAAATGCTCTCGAAACAACAACATCAACTCGAGTACCTTGATGAACACTAACAGCACTCACTACTCACTATCTACTGGGTATCTATCACTATAACAGACATATTACTAACTAGACTCTGACGCAATCTCTCTTCCATCATGTTCTCCCTCCTACCCCTCCTCCTTCTCACATCACCTCTATCTTCTCTCTCAGTTAACGCTGAGCCTGACCTTGCTTCTGAGACTGTTCAACTCTCCGATAACATAAACTCTTATTCAGCCATGTCTGTTGGAATCTACTCTCTTCCGGCGTTGCCGTACGCCTATGATGTGAGCTGGTCCCCTCTAATCATCAAGAACAGCCAAGCTAACAACAAAAGGCCCTTGAACCTAGCATCTCTGCTCAAATCATGGAACTTCACCACTCCAAGCATCACCAAGCCTATGTGACAAATCTCAACGCCGCACTCAAGAACTACGCCACCGCTACTTCGTCCAACGACATCGCCGGCCAGATCGCCCTGCAGTCCGCCATCAAGTTCAACGGCGGCGGCCACATCAACCACTCCCTCTTCTGGGAGAACCTCAGTCCCTCTAGCTCTCCAGACTCCAAGCCCGAAAGCGCCCCCACGCTCGGTGCTGAAATCTCCAAGACGTGGGGCAGCATCGAGGCTTTCCAAGAGACTTTCAAGAAGACTCTGCTGGGTCTGCAGGGCAGCGGCTGGGGGTGGCTGGTCAAGGACGCCCAGGGCTTGCGTGTCGTTACCACCAAGGACCAGGACCCTGTCGTGGGAGGAGAAGTGCCCATTTTCGGTGTCGATATGTGGGAGCATGCCTACTATCTGCAGGTACGTTACAGTTACAGTGTTACAGACAATTCAGAACTAATATGGGTGTGCAACTAGTACCTCAATGGAAAGGCTGCTTATGTTGATAACATTTGGAATGTCATCAACTGGAAGACGGCCGAGGCTCGTTTCACCGGCTCCCGTGAGGATGCTTTCAAGGTCCTGCGAGCTTCTATCTAGACGGAGTTGACATAATGAAGAACGAGTTATGACGCCACACGACTCCTTCATACCATAGTACCATCTCATCTATTTTGAGATTGCACAAATAAAAAACACCCAACCTCAAGCTTTAACAATCATGCAGTGAAACTATACAGACTCCCTAGCAACGTGCTCAACATCCGACACTCAGTCTCGGCTAGCTACCCAAGACCGTGGCCTCCGTTTGACTCGCGCAGCAGCATGCCGTGCACCAGTATCTATCTTGCTTGACCGCCAAGTTTTCATTGTCCCTCTGTCAATTGCGCCTCCGAATGGCCCGTGAAGTGCTCTGATCTTCTCCTCCTTGTTTCTCCCCTTTCGCTTTTATTATGCGGCCACATGCATGCTCCCGTCTACACGCGGGTTTGGCAACGCCACGTATCTAAATATGCATACACATCATCCAACAATGACTGGCCTGAGACCTCGGTCCTAAGTCTTGTATCACCGTACTTTTATTAGCTTGTACATGTGAATCATGTGTCTGTGCTCGTGTAACTCGCCTACATAGAACAGACGCAAGGCACGGCTTCACGATTGCGCACAATGGGAAATTGAAAAAGAAAGAAAAAAGAAACGTCAACGAGTCTTGACTAAGGCTATAGAAAGTGCTAGACCAAAAAAAAAGGAATAAGTCAACCTTCGCAAGTGACTCGATGTAACTGTGAGACGTTATACTGACTCTCAAGTGCCAGCTCTCAGCGTATCCAATTTCTCGCTATGTTGACATTAGGTACTCTGCAAACAGACATGAATATGGAAGCGTATTATCCGTATGAAGTGCAGGCTCTCTCGGCCTAAAGCATTAGCTGTAACGAAGCTACCCGTCGACAGGCTTCCCGTTGACAAAACAAGCATTAGTATCAGGACATTGCCGGAAGCCGAAGGGAAGGGTAACTTGACGGAAGGATTATTATATTAACTTTACGGCAAGACGAAACGTGCAACGCGGACTGACACATACTTCTCATACCCTTCCATTATACCTCGCTCACGGTCTCTCCGGTATCACCGCATGATGCATCGATAGGGGTTACATGACAACGGACTCGTGAGAGGCCTCGTAAGAGGAAGAATAGGTATAAAGAGGGGATGACGAGCTTTCAAGAAAAACATCAAAGGTCAAGTCTTGCTTACCCAGAACTAAGACCAGACTCACTCTTTTTCGTCATTCGTTTTGTTCCCTAATCTTTACACTCACCACTTTCGCTTCTCTCCAGAGGGACCCAAACATGTCTCTCCTCGCTCGCTTCGCCCTCGTCGGGCTTTGGTAAGTGTTTCTCATTCTTGTTCAATGTAATTTAAACTAACTAGTACAGGGCGTCAGCTGCTTATGCGCAGCGCGACACTGTGACTGTCACCGAGACTGTCACAGAGTGTGCAGCGTCCTGTTACTCTGTCGTATCGCAGTGTACCTCGACCGAGTACATCGATACATCCACCATCATCAAGCTTCCGACTGAATCCTCGGTTGTCGTGTCTGAGACTTCTCTCATCGAGACCACAGAGGTTGTCTCCCTGCCCACTGTTTCTGTTACCTCGGAGTTCTCCAAGCTTGCCAACACCAGCGCTGTCACGGGCTCTTACACTTCTACCCCTACTGTCTCTGACTCTGAGACTACGATTCCTATTTCTGAGTCGTCTGGCGTCTCGGTTGACTCGAGTGCTCTTGCGGGTGAGACTTCGGAGTCTGAGTCTGAGTCTAGTCTGTACGGACACTCTACCAGTACTCTGATCTTGACAGAGGCAACCACCGAGACTTTCACAGACGTTGAGACCATGCCAACTATTGTCCCGAGTGTTGAATCCTCTGCTCTTGCATCCGGTACTACTCAGCTGTCAGAGACAAGTAAGTCCAGCATCGTCACTCAGGGTTTTACCGGACAGTCTTCAGAGTCCGCTCTCAGCACTGAATTTGTGTCTACTGAGAGTACTACCATCGATAAGATTGTTCCTCAGCAGAGTAAATCTACTCTGATCGAAAGCACTGATGCATCTTCAGCCACTGAAGGAGTCTCCACCGCTACTCTGACCTCGGTTCTCACCAGCCAGGTCACCTTCACTGAGACTATCTCTACTGTTTACTCCAGCTCCGCTGAGCAAGGCTTTACCTCAGAGGAAAGCACCGAACTCCTGGTTACATCTTCTCAGGTTGAGGAGTCCAGCAGCGGAACTGAGCAAGGCTCTGCGACAACTGAAGTTGTCACTTCTGAAGTTACTGGTGTTACCCAGTTTACATCTTCCTTCACTTTTACACGCACCGAGACCGTATCTGTGTCTGTGTCGGAGTCCACCGCTTCCTCAGGAGGAACCACCGAAGGCTCTATCTCCGAGTCCTCCAGCACATACGCCTCTACTGATTCAGAGACCGCGGTCGAAACTGTCACCTCAATCGAGACCGTCACCGCAGAGACCTCATCTTCTCAGACCGATTCAACTGCCAGTGATTCCAGCCCCGAGTCCACAAGCGCTGGCATTTCCACTGGCACAACCGAGGTTGAGGAATCGGCAACTACTCCCTGCACATCAACCAGACACACTCACATCTATGAGAACACGACTATTATTCATAGTACCGCTGATGTGAGCGTCGATTCGTCTGCTCTGGCTGGGTCGTTCACGTCAACCTTTTCCGAGGGAAGTGATACCTCTGTTACTTCAGGTGTGGTCGAGAAAACTACAGCTCCCACCGCAGAGACTGAGACCGGAGTGACTACCGGTGGCACAGCTGCTGGAGCTGAGACAAGCGATTCAGTTTCCATTGAGTCAACCGCCTCCCAGTCCACCACATCCGCCGCCACGACACCCGTCTCTCTTCCCTTCGAACCAACCTACCCTCCTCACAATTATGACTTTGGTGCTCAAAGCTCCGCAAACAACGGCTGGCCAACATTCTCCGTTGACTCCAGCGCCGATGCAGCAACTGGTTTCTCGTCTTTCACCACTTTCCTCACTACAAGCAAGGCCACCGATACTGCTTCTGCTTCTACTTCCACTGGTATCAAGGAGCCTGACTACGAGCCACCTGCCTACGAGCCTCCTTCGTACCGTGAGCCTGCATATATCCGTAAGCGATGGGGTTTCGGATGGTAGGCGATTTCGTTTAGTACAAAGGACGCGGGTGTACTTGCTTGATTCTTGTCTTTTTTACTTTCTTGTGAATGACTTGATGTCTTTCTCCCTACTTTGATTGATTTAATCTTGTTTTTTTTTGTATCTGGGATACGTTGTTATTTGGAGGTAGATAATTGATAGAAAATAAATTGTGGTTGCTTGACTTTAGAGGTTAATGGCAAACGTGGTTAGTTTGCAGCATGATATTGAATTTGCATTTATGTTGGCGTCTATTTCTTCTAGTCCAACTAGAACAACCCATATCTACCCTCTCAAGTTATTGTGATGCTAACCAATATCATCTGACTAGCTTACACTCTCCCATTCCATAGGATCAACCATCCAATCCCATTCATCATCCACAGCCATGCCCATCTCATCATCATAGTCATCAGCCCACGACCGCCCCTGGTTGTCCTTCTCAACCTTTTTAGCACCAATACTGTAGCCAACTTCCAAACCAGCCAGGATCTGTCCCACGAGCCAGGTTAGGTCATACATCTTGAGAGGTGGCGTCTCTTTCCCTTCGCCAGCATCCTTCCACCTATTCCTCAGCTCTTTAGCTTTCCGTAGCGCCATGTTCACTTCTCCACTTCCTAGTGCCTTGTATAGGGGACAAGACACCTCTTCCAAGGCGTTGATAACTTCCTCGTGATATCGGTGCTGCTGTTTCCTTCCGCCGGCAAACCTTTGATGCGGAATTTCAATATCGAAGACGAGGAGGAGAAGGACGATCGCTTGCTCAATCCACACGTAGAACTCATGAAAGTCCACCTTGAAGTTCCTCTCAGCGTCGCCCACCGTGAATCCAAACTTTTCCGGATGCAGTGCACGCTCGTACGAGTTCTTCAGATCAACGAATCTCCATCGCAGCCTCTGGCAGGCCTGTTCAAAGCGATGGAAAGCTTGTGACGATGTTAAGCGTGTCGAACTTGGAATTGAGCTCGGCAAAGGTGTCGTGGCTGAAATCGAGCCCTTCAAGGGCGCTGGTGGTGAAATTGAGTCAGATAAGGGCGCTGGAGTTGAAACAGAGCTTGGTAAAGGTGCTGAGGCAGATGGTGGCGGGGGCGTTGGTCGCGATGAAGGTTGCGACGAGGCGCGTGCTGAGGGAACAGAGTTTTGAAGGCGAGAACGACCTCCCGTCGCCCAGATAGAGCCTTTGAGACCTGTCGCGCCTGACATGATGCTATTGAATGAGTTGAACGAGTTGAGATGACGTGTAACTTGAGAGAATGCGAAAAGGTCCGTGAGTGATTGAAAGGGCAGACTTTGTTGCTGGCCAACCTCGGCTCAGGATCAGGTTTAGTTTGCAAGCCTATTTGCTTTTTTGTTTTATCTCATATACTTCAATTGGCCAACCTCCTTTGTTTCCGTGGCTTAGATGCCTTGAAGCCTGGCTGAAGCAGCACAAACTGACTTGTTTCACGTCTATTTATGCTTGCGGCGGCCTGGTTCCTAAAGCGGAGTCAACGTGCACTAGCAATGCCTTTACCCATGAGCTCAAGCTGAGATAGATGATAAAATAGTGATAATGTTAAGTTGTAACCGAAACAATATCTCGTGGTGATGAACAAAGAGAGATGTTCAAAGGAATGAAAGAACGAAAGTGAGTGAGTGAATAGGTCGACTCAATTAACGATTGACAGCCACGGATTTTTAGTGCCCGTTGATGGCTTATTCATCGGCGGTAATTGGCTTTGACTCTAACTTAACTTGGCTGTGTGAACATCAATTCCCACTAGAACTGCATCAATGAATTCACTCTCATAAACATGAGAACAATTCATTACCAATCTCTAACATTGATTATATCGAGAAAGAAACAAGATCAATACACATGATAAGTATTTACCATATCAATATATACAATGTTCGTTCACTATAGACAGCGCAGACGCAGCAAGCCTCAGTAGGTTGGCTACCCAACTCATGTCCAGAAATCAATCAATCAATCAATCAATCAATCAATCATGTTTACTTGCTCGCCTGACACAAACACATCATAAACTGGCCGTAGGCGACAGCTCTTAACCATATATGCTCCTCAACTCCTGCAATTCAGACATCTCAGCTTCTGGACGCCATGTTCAACGCTATCCTGATGACCCAACTCAAAAGCAACAAAAACACACAACTCCATTATTCGCATCTTCTTGACAGTTCCAATCGATAGTCTGTCTATAGGCCGGCCTATGTTGAATCGCGCACCTTTTTGGTCGCCTTGGCCGTACCAATATGAGTGTTGTGCACCTGTTCTTGTTAGCTTTGTAATAACCGATACATGGGAACAAGCATACCTTTGTCGCAAATCGAAGACTTGTCAATGTTTCCTTCAGATGTGTCTCGAGTGGCGAAACCATAACAAACATCAGAGTCTTGCTGTTACCTCCCAGGCTGTATTGCAGCAAGTGGGTCAACTTGGAATTGCGGTACGGGATGTGACCTGATCCTCGTCCGAGTGCCTCGATGACATCGCCCAAGCAGCTGAGACTCTTGTTGATGTTTTGGGTTTCCTTCATACGGTCGCCCTCAGCCTGTGAGTGCTTGAGACGCTCGGAACCCGCCAAATCAACAAGGTTCAATGTGCCCTCGCATCGCTCCCCGGTGGCAGAATTCTCTCCGATCAGCTTGAGGATAAAGATACTGTGGGATCGGGACGACCGCTCGTTGGCCTTGGTGGCTGCTACGGATCGGTTGTTCTGTGCCTCCTCAAGCATCATTTCTACACTGGATGGACTGTCAAGACGTACTGACTGGCAGTTCGTGATTGTTGTCTGCTTGCGAATTTCGTCATGACGAATCTCCAACTTTCTTGCTGCAGCTCGATCATTGGGCGTCAACAAGTCGTTGAGCTCTTCGTTGTACACCTCAACAAACGAACCCTCCATGGTGTACTCCCAGGACTTTTCCTTGAGCTTGGTGATGGTGTCGTAGATCATGTGGGTGGCACGTGGGATCATACCATCGATAGAAGACATGGTATGTGTCTTTCCAGAGCCTGTTTGGCCATAACAGAAGATGCACACATTGTAGCCATCGAGTGCGCTCTGAACTAACTGAGAGATCTCGCCGAAGATCTCTTCGTTCTGAGTACCGGGAACAAAGACACGATCGAACTCGAACGGGTAGTTCTTCCGTGTGATTTGTCCCAAGCTGCTCTTTTCCTCAGGGCCAGCTAGAACGATCTCGGAAGATGTTTTGTCATCAGGGAACGACATCTTAGCCTCCTCTCCCTCTCCATTACCCAGGGGCGGTCGAACACGGCACATGACTCGAATGTTGCCCTTGAGCTCTTGGTACTTGTTGAAAAGAACTCGTCGCTCGGTCTCCTCCTTGATGAGCTTGGTCTGGGCTTCTTCGGCTACACGGAGGGCTTCTTGTAGACGTGCCTCCATGTTGGCGAATGAGTCCGACTGGGCCTTGTTGTCTGATTCAAGGAATTCGACGTGTGACTTGAGCGAGTTGATCTTGGCCTCTAGTGTCGTGTTGGCTGCCGAAAGTTCGGCGATGCTCGTTTGAAGAGTGCTCTTCAAGGTGCGTTCCCGCTGGAGATCCCCTCTAAGATTTTCCACCATGGAGTTGGCTTCTTGGAGTTCACGGTCCTTTCTTTGTATAGCAACGCCCATATCCTGGTGCTCGTTGCCCATCCGGGTTCGTAGTTCTTGGATCTCGCGGTCCTTCTTTTGTCGCTCTTCCGACAATTCCTGATGGTAGAGCCTTGTCAAGCTTTCGACCTTTTGCTCGTGGTCCTTTGTCTGTTCCTCCTTTAGTCGGTCCAATTCTCGCTTGAGCTCTTCGGTTGCTGTTCTATGTTGCCGTGATATGTCGTCAATCTTTTCTCTATGCTTTCGTTCCTGGTCGTCCATTTGTCGTTCGAATTCCCACTTTTTCTTGTCCATTTCGTGTCGGATCTGGCGTCCTTCCTCTCTTGCCGAGTCGAGATCTGATTTCAAGGCGTCGTTCCTCATGTCGAGCTTCTCCTTATCACTCTCCAACTCTTTCACTGTAGAAGGTTTAGTAATTTCCCTGATTTTGGTCAGAAATGCCCACCTCGCTTCTTGGCTAGTTCAAGAGCATCATCATGCCCCTTTCGCTCAATAAGAGTAGTGTTGACCATCTCCTTTAGTTCTTTGAATTGGGACTCCATGTCCACGACTCGACCGTCAACGTCCCATGCTACATATGATGTCAGATTAGAATCTTTGTTTAAAAACGCTTTGCTGGGGGAAGGTGCTTTGGCAGGGGATTGGAATGTTTTGACGGGCGAAAGAGCCAGTGACTCTTCGAATTGCGCAAGCTTTCGTTTCACTTCCTCAGTTCTTGGTGCTTTCGGAGGAGCTCCCTATGCCCACTCTGAAGACGCCAGTTGAGAGGTAGCGATCTTGTCATTCTGGCCAACTCTGCCACGTCGTTTACAAGGAATATTGGATATATGCGATGCAATTGAAGATTGTGATAATCGACGTGTTGGGGGGCGGGAGATCGCTTGAGTCCCGGGGATATCTTGATCTTCGAGGCTTAAACCATTGAACTTTGTGGTTAGAGAACTATCTCTGATTGTTGGTAGGGCTGGAAAGGCTTGTGATGTTCTTGTCTTGTTGCGGGGGAGCGGGACGTGCGATTGTGAACAGAATAGCTGAATTCCTATCGTACCAGTATTTGCTGGAGGCTCTTGTCGTTCTTCTTCGCGGATAGCATGCGCTGTTCGTGGACGGGGTGCTTGGCTTTTCGATCGGGTATGCGTAGGGCGTCCATTGACTCCATTAGGTCCGTTAATTCGTGTAGTCGTTGTCGTTGTCGTGCCATATCGTCCGTTTTGGGTGGCCTTGTTAAAGCCCATCGATGTAGCTGCGCCGAGTCGTGACTGAGTGGTTGAGGGTTGCTTGAGCTAAACACAAGGAGTTAGCAGCTGCAAAGTTATATTAATACCGTGACCATATGCCCTGTGATCTAGTACAAGTTGATATGCAGGGAGGACAAAGTGGATGCGGTTCGGGCTCAGGAGCAAAGTCTTGTCTCTAGACTGCTTTCGTGACGTCGGTTTAAAAATGTCGAGTCGGTGCGGTCGAAGGGTGATTTTGGTGCGCCAAACTGGTGCAAGATCAGAGAATTTGTGACTTACCCCGGAAGACATGCCCGCTAGACTCTGAGGCCGCACACCTGATCGTGCAGCCGCTGCGCCGGAGGCATAAGATGTAGGTTTGGAAGAATACTCGAGAGCGCGTTCGGAAAGCGGCTTGCGCTTAGGATCAGATTGCGCGGCTATACGATGTCAGATAGAGCTGCGATATCCCTGAAGTTAGATTTACCTGGTTGAGGGATCTCGCGCTTCAGGTTCTTGAGGGCCGATAGTGAGCTCGCAGTAGACGCAATGCGAGCATTGTGTTGCGACTCGCTCCATTCCGTAAGGCCTCCCCCTCCTATCGACATGGACATCGAAGAAGGTGCGGGGAGTCGACTCATCTTGGAGGTTCGAAATGACTGTGAAGGTTGATGATAAGTGTCTGTCTCAGGTTTTTGACGCGAATTAACAACGTACTGAGGTGTCCTCCATGGTGAAAACAGTGCGCCCGCAATTCAGAGACAAAAGCAGGAGGCACGGACAACAAGCAGCAACGAAGCACTTGTTGTAGACCGCAGTAGCAAAAGTAAGTAGTGTGAATATACGAAAGCTAACAAAGAGTGAAAAGCAGTGGTAACAAAAGTGGTACACGCTCGGTGCTCAACTCATGGATGGAGCTACTATTATGGTTGACTTGGAACGATCCTCATGCGGGATAGTTTCGCTTGGAGATTGGCGATGTGGAAGCGTTGATTGTTTACGTCAAGGCGTTGCTGGGGCGATGGACCGAATCCGTTTTTGGAGACACCCCACCACGGAAAGGGGACTTCCAAGTTGACATCACTGTTTGTATGTACAAATATAGCCTGAAATATAACCTCTCGATAAAAAGAATCTCGATGACCTGGTCAGCTAGGTCTTGTATGATTGTTTTTCTAATCGGGTTTCCTGCAGTGCAAACCGCCGTTGTCAAGTGCAACGCCGTACCAGCAAAGCGTTAAAGCTTCAGCTCTCAAAGCTATGCAACCTTCAAGTCTTGTCATGTGGAATAGAACACTTGACATGGCTGTTACTGCTAGGCCAGGCAGTGACTTCCAAGCTATTGCATATGCCTGGTGATTCCAAGAACACACTGTGAATCGAAACATTGTATCACCATGTTACCTCATATTCGACTCTTGCCCATGTAGCCCACCCGACCCAACTTTTACTGATCTATTCTTATGCTCCAATGGACTAACTGGAGCCCGTTGTACCACTAAACTTTCTACAATATACCACCAAGTAACTATCTACAAAGTCGACCTTAAAGTGCTACAAGGTTGAACCTCTATGACAGCTACCCCAGTCTAGGCCAAAAACATCACCAACGTTCGGCTGACTCAGCCAGCACCGTTGACAAGTCCCAACGTGGGGCGACAATTCACACACAAATTCACATGTCACTCTTGTCCGTCCATCTTATGACATGACGCTTGATAGCATGCGCTGTCGTAGAATCTGACTTCGCAACGCCGTCTCATTTGTTCTCGTCATCCGTAGCCGAGTCGCCTTTTTTCCCTCAGACAACGACTAGCAAACATAAAAGCGAAAGGCTTCTCATGTCTCGATAGCTAACCCCTCCGCTTGTCCTCTTCTTTTGTCTTACACCACGCGATCACCAGCAACATGGAAAAGTACAGCCAATTTCGCGATCGAGGTAATTTACCTTCAGAAACTTGGTGTTATTCACATGCTAATGTTGATAGCAACGGGTATTGCGCCCTTTCTCCCTGTCTCGACACCCATTTCAGCGGTCGCGATATTCACCCACGCCGCACTCTTCCTCTTCCGCCTCCCATTCTTCATCGCCTATTTCGCCGGCTACTTTCTCTTCTTCCACTTCCTCCCGTTGCCCGTCATCTTTAGAAAAGTTGCTCTTTGGGGGTTGATGGCCATACCGGGAATATGGTGGATTGATCTACAGCTCGACGGCGTCAAACGTGGCACTTTGGCGGACCAGCCCCGCGAGCGCTTCCCTCACCCCGGTTCAGTTATTGCTGTCAACTTCTCGAGTCCCATTGATGCGATCTACCTCGCCGCCATCTTCGACCCCATCTTTACAATCTCGTATCCTGATACTCGTCGTGTGCAGCGTGTTAGCTTGCTGGGCGCTGTTCTGGCAGCTCTTTCGCCCGTACGAACTGCTCCTCCTCCGAACGCCAAACTTGTCGAAATCAAGGACATTTTGGCTAGCAACCCAGGACAAATTGTGGCCGTTTTCCCTGAGTGCGGAACTACCAACGGAAAGGCCATTCTGCCTTTTAGCCCGAGCATCCTTCAAACGCCAGCTGATGTCCACATTTTCCCCGTGAGCATTCGATATACACCCTCCGATGTCACGACTCCCGTGCCTGGCAAGTGGTTCCGATTCCTGTGGGATCTCCTTTCTCGACCAACAACATGTATCCGTGTGCGCATCGCTGAGGGCCAGATCAACACATCTGCCGCAAAGGTCAATGGTGTCTCACATTCTGCCCCCACTGAGCTGCGCCAACGTAACGATGTGAGCGCCGGCGTCTCCGCGGATGAACAGCGTGTTCTCGACCGCGTGGGTGAGGCTTTGGCTAGACTCAGCCGTGTCAAGCGAGTCGGCCTCACGATGAAGGACAAGGCATCCTTTGTTGACGCACTGAACAGTAAGAAATGATTACGATAACAAAAGATGAAAGAGCCAACACGGAGATGTTGGTTGGTTGGTTCGAGAAATGATTTGTGGAAAAGGAGTTGCCGCATTGCAAGGAGCTTGGAGGTTTTTTGTTCAGTCAGCCAAATACCTACGATCATTCGTAGGACCGTGTTTTCTGCCTTGGTCTTTATATTTAATTTGATACGTTCTATGTTGTAGCCTGTTGAGTAGAGTCGTCAAGCCCCGAGCACTTCTTATATCACCAATCACGATGAATAATCTGGCAAGGTATTTAATACAAAAAATATTTGGATATAAGTTCTGACCCGAAAAATCTAAATTCGCCTTTTCCGACCCCATTAAAATGAATTACATCGTGACATATAACAGTTTTGCTTGGCTTTCATGAGCCTTTTAGTTCTTGAGTCCGCTGTCGGTGACACAGCCCTCACTGGCGTCCCTGACCAGCTGAGCGTACTTGCTGAGAGTACCCTTGGTGTACCGGGGAGGAGGGGCCTTCCAAGCCTTGCGGCGGCGAGCGACCTCCTCCTCGGGAACAACAAGGTCGATAGCACGAGACTCGGCATCGATGACGATGCTATCACCGTCCTCGACAAGGGCAATAGGACCACCCTCCATGGCCTCAGGGACAATGTGGCCAATAATGAAACCGTGGGAACCACCAGAGAAGCGACCGTCAGTGAGAAGGGCGACATCCTGACCAAGACCAGCACCCATGATGGCAGAAGAAGGCTTCAGCATCTCAGGCATGCCAGGACCACCCTTGGGTCCGTCGTATCGGATGATGACGACAGTCTTCTCACCCTTCTTGATCTCACCAGCCTCAAGGCTAGAGATGAAGGCGGGCTCGGAGTCGTAGACACGAGCCTTACCCTCGAATCGGAGACCCTCCTTGCCAGTAATCTTACCAACACAGCCACCAGGGGCCAGCGACCCGCGAAGAATCTGGATGTGGCCGGTAGGCTTGATAGGGTTGCTCAGGGGGCGAATAATGGTTTGGTCCTCGGGGAATCCAGGCAAGTCCTCGACGTTCTGCTTCATGGTTTTACCAGTGACAGTAATACCAGAGCCGTCAATAATGCCCTCCTTCAGGAGGAACTTGAGAAGAGCAGGAGTACCACCAATCTTGTGCATATCGGCCATGACCCACTTTCCGGAGGGCTTCAGGTCGGCAAGGAAAGGAGTGCGGTCGGAAACCTTTTGGAAGTCCTCAATGTCGAGTTTGATACCGACAGAGTCAGCAATGGCGATAAGGTGCAGGACAGCGTTGGTGCTGCCACCAAGGATGGTGGTGACGATCATGGCATTCTCAAAGGCTTGACGAGTCATGATGTCACGAGGTCGGATATCCTCCTTGAGAATGTTGCGGATAGCAGGTCCAACAGCCTCACACTCGGCGACCTTACTGGGGTCCTCAGCAGGGCTGCTGCTGCTACCAGGAAGGGTAAGTCCCAAAGTCTCAATGGCAGTAGCCATGGTGTTGGCAGTGTACATGCCACCACAAGCACCACCACCAGGGCAGGCATTTCGGATAATATCGAATCGCTGCTCCTCAGTAATCTCGCCGGTGATGTATTGGCCGTAGGCCTGGAAAGCAGAGACGATATCGATAGACTCGCCTTGCTTGGTGCATCCGGGCTTGATGGTTCCACCATAAACCATGATGCTGGGACGGTTGACACGACCCATGGCAATGGCAACACCGGGCATGTTCTTGTCGCAGCCGGGCAAGCTGACGTTGGCATCGTACCATTGACCATTCATGACGGTCTCGATACTATCGGCGATAATCTCTCGGCTCTGGAGGGAGTATCGCATACCGGTGGTACCCATGGAGATACCATCAGAGACACCGATGGTGTTGAATCGGTAGGGAATGAGACCGGCCTTGGCAACAGACTCCTTGACGTGGGCAGAGAGGTCCATAAGGTGCATGTTGCAAGGGTTTCCCTCGTACCATACGGACGAGATACCAACCTGAGCCTTGTTCATGTCATCCTCAGAGAGGCCGGTGGCGTAGAGCATAGCCTGGGAGGCACCCTGGGCCTTGGGCTGGGTGATGTTGGAGGAGATCTTGTTGAGCTTGTCATCGGCGCGGATGGCTGTGGTAGACAGGAAGCGGCTGCATTGGAAGAGTGATTAGTATTTACATATGAATTGACCTTGTGTAGGAAATTCTTGATCGTTGGCAATGGATCGTGATGAACATACCCATGGCTCCTGGAGGAGAGGGGGAAAGCTCCCACAGCTCTGGAGCGCAGTAGTGACCGGGAAAGCATGATGACGACTTGAGGCTGTTTACAAGAGCCAATTGAAGCTTTTCACGACAAACTCAAAAGGTCACAGCGTGCGTGGGATGGTCAATCGCCCAGAGATGCCAGAAATAAAACGGTGGTAAGTTTGTGGAATTTCTTAAGCTGGGGTTCAGCTGCGATGTCGGCTGCCCTTTTGACCAAAATTTCCCAGTTCAGGTTCCCTGTGATCTTCCCTCTGACTTTTGGTGCTCCTCCCCCGTTGAGTGCTCCCCGCATGACAATTCGAGCATTGCCATTGGTTGGAAGGAGTATTGCCAAGTTCCTCCGGGGGAAGTGCTTCTACTCCGGCGGGGCTTTCAGCGCATTGTCCACTTTGCCCACTCAAATCATGTCATAGGAGCTACCAATACAACTTGCATACTATTCTGCCGAGCTTCCGGGCTTATGACAGCTTATGACACTAGGTATACCAAGTGCATTGTTTATCACGAGTGAGAGTGTGAGTTTCAGTAGTTGTGAGAGACATAATTGTTAAAATCATCCTTGCCAAGAAACTATGAGCGACACCGGCGGTCTTTATTGAACTGCTAATGCTACCTAGGTAGGTACTATGTAAGAAGCAACCAGCGTTGATACTCTATATTTCTTTATATCCTATGTCTCCCATCTCACAATTTGTCTTAGTGAAAGACCTAGGTCATAGTAACCTGCTCACTTTTAGTCTCCAGTACGTCCAACGAATGAAGAAGTAACTTACCATATCATATATGTCTAAGAATGGCATGTACTATTTCTACCAGTGACAAGACACAGTCCCCATTCCCTAAGACTTATTCATTCAGCTTCGGGAGGCACGTTCCAAACCATTCAGCGAATCCTTCATCTTTTCAGAAATGTCCTCAATGAACTTGAAAGCAAACACTTCAAAATGATGACCATTAATATCCACCACTTCGGAAAATAGATTCTTGTCATACAAATCCCACCCAAGATTTCGCTCCTCGCGACTCATGTCCACAAGATCTTTCTCACCATCCTTCACTGGCAAGGCCTCTTTAGCTCGGAGCAGAGAGATTCGTGGCCTTTCTCCTATAGAGTCCTCGTGCCAAACTGGAGGATCCCAAGACTGAAGCATACGGCGAGCATCAGCCATGGAAAGGTCGGCAAGAATCTGGTTCTTGTTTCTGCCTTTTTCTGATCCTTCGCCGGGTCTCTTGCGGTTATTACTCGAGTACTTGTGCGGGTAGATTGTGTCAACCATAAGAATACCGATAACTCTGATTTCGGTATCCTCAGGGTTGAGCTGCTTGGCGATCTCAAGACTCAAGTGGCCACCCAAGCTCCATCCTCCGAGAAGTATTTGGATCTTTCCATCCGAATTGTATCGCCTGGGGAAGTCGGGCTTCTCGACAGTCTCAATAATCCAATGTGTGTAAAGCTTAGCCATGTCTTTGAGTCCCCCGTCGAAGGGTTCCCCGCTGTGAAAGTTGGGATTGTAGATCCCGTAAACAGGACGGTTAAGAGGTTCCAAACAGTGATATGAGAATGTTGTGCCGCCGCCATCGTGGATGAGGAAGACTGGTACAGCTTGACCGGCCTGCCAGTCTGCAGGCTGAATGCATTCAGGATTGTTGTCCATGGCTGCGTGGATTTGAGTTGCAATGGTTTCTATGCAGGGACCTTTCTAGATCGACGTGAATTTGAGATGTTTGGGCTGGGTCTTCTCCCAATGTCGATGTGATATATCGTTTGATTCGGTTTTGTAGACGCTCAGTGAGAAGAACAAAAATCGCTCAAATAACTTGCAACACTGTATTTCGCTTTCAACTCTGTCGAAAGCAAACGTTGTGAAACTTGGAAGCAATAAACAATGAACAAACGAATGGTTACAATCCTCTATTGCCATGGCCATCATAAAAAAAAACGGAACCGCTCTATCGGCGTGTGTCGGCCATGACAGCTGGCCGTCGGTAGATGTGGGGCCGTAATTGAAACCGACCGGAGTGAACGGGATGTAGCACATGTACAAAATCCCTGTCTTGCTTATTATCATGGTGTCTTTCTATTTTACAATTCCACTAATATTGCCTTGGCTCAATGAGCTCTGCCTGCGGCTCTGCCAAATATCCTTGCAGCCTCCAAAGGAGTAGAAACAAGCTTCGCATGCTTTCACTTCTGTGATTCTTCAATATCATCAGTTCCTGGCCTTGGAACTCTTTCGCCTCTGTTCTCAATCGCTCAACCTCTGACTCGCCAAGTAGAAATACCAAGTCGTGCACTGCGATCTTCCCACCGTAATTGGCATTCTGCACATCAAGAGTGGCGTAATTATTCATGTCTTCCATTGGTTCTGTTGGTATGTAGAGCACGGCCCCGCCAGCAACAGATTGTGCTGCTTCTTCCCAACTCCCGACCGGCATGATAAATTTATAGGGTTCTTTTCCGTCGCGCTTACTCGAGCTTCGTGCGATGAGGGCGTCGACAGCTTGGCGTCGCATCATCTTGAGCAGCAAGTCGCTCATATCAGGTCGGAAGACTCTTTTTCCAACAGGAGGGATGCCGTATGTTCCCATACCATTGCGTTGAGCTGCCATTCTAGCTTGCAGTGATCTGTTGTTTGCAATTTTATCGATCACGTTCTTTCGTGAGAGAGCGTAAATGACGAAACGTCCGGGCCGGTGGGAATCTTCCCTGATTTCTCCATCGAGGCTGTGTTTTTCCTGTCCTTCCAGAATATCATCCTCGACTTTTGTTGTTTCCTTTCCTTGTAACGACTCCCCGCTGTTGGCGGATGCCTCTCTTTGCAATGTTGTGTCAAGGGCCTCATATTTCTCAGGCTCCATTTCTTGTGTTTGTACATTAGTGTTGCTCTTGTTATCCTCTCCCGGCCTCTGAAGACTCCATGGCATGACGTTCGCGAGAGCCAGTGGGCCTGGGGCATACCACGCTTCCGTTTGAGTGGAATCCGGATGCCTAACCAGCTCGAAATCCTGCAAGAAATGTCTAGGTAGAATTGCATTCGTATTCTTGCACCATCTCATCGGGGTCATCAATGCCTCGGCTATAGTGACACTTAGCCATGATATATATATATATAAATACGGACGACATACCGTATGGGTTATTTGAAAGGTGCTTGCGAAATTGTCCTGATACTTTCCCCGCCTCTGGTTTGCGCGACCGTCTCCTTGAAGCGATCCATTCCGCATCAAGAATTGGGGATAGTGGCAATTCTCCTGATTCTGTCTCGATTGTCTTTTTCTCCAGGTCTATCGGATCGTCCCGGTTTTCTATTCTCGTAATTTCCGCTTGTATTTGCCTAAGAATTTGTTCTCGAGAATGTTTTGATCTATCGTAGGAAATCCATTGTTTTTGGCCGTCAATTGTCAATCGCAGGCTCCGGAGCTGATCGACGCAGACCTTTGTACATCTGTTCATCGTTTCTCGAGGTATCATGATCGGTTCATCGTAATTGGTATCGTGCTTGTTCAATGGCGAATTCGGTCATGAGGGAAGCAAGCTAAATTTCAGCAGGGGTCAGTCGCATCGTTATCGATAACGCGCCGCTGAGCTACGTGAAGCTTCCCCCCACCACTTCCGCCGTCCGGCCCCAGTCTATCAACATCATCATACCTACCACTCGTTATCGCGATAATGTTTCTAAGACCGAGGACGTTGCGCGTGTTGCGCGGCGTGTCGCAGCAGCAAGTGAGGGCATTTGGATTCTCTAGCTCCTCTGGCCAGGGACCAACAGCACCAATGGCTAACATCCCCATGCCGTACATTGAAGAGTCGTCTGTAGGTTACCTCTTGTTCTGAGTCAATGCGCCCAACTAACATACCCAGGCTGCTGGAAGAAAGACATGTCCGTTTAAGGCTGTTATTTGGATGTTGTCAACAAGCTGATGGGTTATAGGGGATATATTTTCCAAGCTTTTACAGGTACGTACAATTTATTCATGTTGTGAACACAGTTCTAACGGCGCCAGGAACGCATCATCTGCCTTAATGGCGAAGTCAACGACTACATGTCCGCCTCGATCGTCGCGCAGCTTCTTTGGCTCGAGTCCGATACCCCGGAAAAACCGATCACGATGTACATCAACTCTCCTGGTGGCTCTGTCACTTCAGGTACTTCCACCGTCAATCATGTCTCTCTTCAATACTCATAGCAGGTTTAGGAATGGCCATTTACGATACCATGACATACATCAAGTCACCAGTTTCGACAGTATGTATAGGAGGCGCTGCGTCAATGGCAGCTATTCTTCTCGCAGGAGGTGAAGCCGGCAAGAGATTCTCGCTCCCTCATAGCTCAATTATGATCCATCAACCTCTTGGTGGGACTAGAGGTCAAGCATCGGACATTATGATTTACGCGAATCAGATCCAAAAGACACGAGAGCAGTCCAACAGGATAATGCAATACCACCTCAACAAAGCCAAAGGTCATGAGAAGTACTCGCTGGAGGAGATCAACGATTTGATGGAGCGAGACAAGTACCTAAGTCCAGAAGAAGCCCTAGATTTGGGCGTTATCGACGAGATCCTAACCAAAAGGCCGGAAACGGAGTCGGAAAAGAAAGAGGGGCAATCCGACGCACCCAAGACGAGCTAGGATTACAAGCTTACCATAAATCCAATGGGTATTAAATATAACAGAGACTGATGTTTCACGCATTTCTCGATCAAGCTCGTTGTTCATACTCGGTAGAGAGTTGGTTCAAAGCATGGTTTGTATAATAATTGTTGAGGAGAGTATATTCATTGACTACACAATCGAGCCAGACTCTTCTACTCTTGACTTGTTAACGAGGTCAACGACTTGAAACTTAATGTTTGACTTAGGCCTTAACAATCTATCTTTGTGCATATTGATTGCATCACTCATAATACCATGATTCTTACCTAAGCTCACAGGACTCTTGTAGGGCAGACTAATATTGCTACAAACTATCGACACTAGATGGTTACAAATGAAATCCAGTGAACAAAATACTGGCGAAAAGAAAGAAGAGAAAAGTTATTTACAAGTGTTCATAATCTTCCACTAGTTGTCGATTCGGAAAACAGCAATGTCATGCTTCTCCAACTTGGCCTGAACAGTCTTGCCCCTGCCCTTGGCGCCAGTCAAAAGCTCCGTCCATGAGTAATCCTGGTCCTTGAGTCCGGGAACTTGTGAGAGGCTCAGCTTTGTGTCGATGTTGCCCTTGCTAGCGACAATGGCAACAACGGTTCCGGACGATAGAGGTCCTGACCAGTAAGGGTAGATCTCGTTGTTGGCTTTGGCAGGGGTTCCGGGAGGGGTGAAAGGCACAGCAGGCTTTGACAGTGAGTCTTGGTTGATCGCAAGGAGGCCCTTGACGGGTATGATTAGTTTATGTCTACAGTATAAGATGTGACTTTAGGTACCTTGTTTGTGATGAGCTTAATCTCTTGGCTGTTGATCTTGGTCATGTCCGTTCCGAGGATGATGGGGGACTTGGTGATGGCCCAAATTGCAAAGTGAGTTCGCTCCTCAGCTGGTGTCAAAGCACCGTTGGCAAGAATCTAAATCTCTGTTAGTCCTCACATTTTTTGCCATTAAGCATAGGCAGTTTATAACCTACCATCATATCGAGGTCATTGTAGCGACCAGGTTGGGTATACTTGAGAATAGGTGCGGCCTGGTTGGCAATTCGCACAACATCTTCCCATTTACCCCAGTTATCGACACTCATACGCCACATGTGGCCAACCTGGGCACCCCAAGTCCAGACCTCATCCCAACCCCAGTTGCAGAGGGAGTAGAGGATATCCTTTCCTGTGTTGCGGAGCATGTCTCTCATCAACTCGTATCCGGGTCTGGAGCTGGGACCCTGGCCGATAGGGCAGGTCTGGATGTCGGCTTGGTTGCCGTTGTAGCATGGCGTGTAACAGTTGTCGTACTTCCAGTAGTCAACACCCCAGCTGGCAAGCAAGTCGGCATCTTGCTTCTCGTGGCCTTGGCTTCCAGGAAAGCCAGCGCAAGTCTTGACACCTCTGTCACCGTAGAGACCAAATTTAAGACCCATTTTATGGATCTCGTCGGCGACGGGCTTGATGCCTCTTGGCCACTTGTTGGGATCGGGTACAAGGTTGCCCTTCGAGTCACGCTGTTTCGTAGACCAACAATCGTCTATGTTGATGTATTGGTATCCGGCGTCCTTTAGACCCATATCAATGAAGGTCTTGGCTGTAGCCAAAGCAACTTTCTCGCTGGCCGCATTGCATTGTCCCTGGTTCTGTTGACGATGTCAGTAATCAGGCAGGGCTTTCGGGTTTCCATGATTAACTTACCCAGCCATTCCATCCCAAAGCTGGGAGTCTTCCAACTTCTCGGGTTGCGAGAGTCTTTCGCTCCGGAAGAGCAGTGGTTAATGTGGCAAGGGCCACGACCCCAATGGACTGAGAAAAAAGCATTATGGAATGAAGCTGGAAGTACTGGTGGATTGCTGTCGAGCAAGTACCAGACTTTCACTCCAAACAGGGCCGCCATTTGCTTTCTTTATATACTTTTTTGCCTCTCATGATAACCAAGACCGTCAATACCATCTGAAGTGCCGGCTAATATGGATGAGTACCGAAGGTTAAATTCGTATAAGTGAAACAATCTCCACTACTCCAACCCCAGAGTCCGGGGAAGTCCCATATCGTAGCTGATCATCAGGCCGGGATTCTATGCGCTTTGAATCAATTGGTGCGGCTCGTCCGAACGTTTCGCTTAGTAGAGGACTTCTCCAGATGGCAGTGCGTTTTTGGACTTGATTCAGTGCTTCCGGACGTGGCGATCCGCCTAATTCGGCTTCGAATGCTACCTTCCTCGTTGTTTCCAAGAATATGTCATTCGATGGAGATCATAGCTGACATGGTTCTCCTCACGACAAAGCTAGGTTTGCTGGAAGATGACGGTCTCTCAGATTCAATTCGAGCGGGTTGAACTTTTCCCGATAGGCTATTCTACAAAGTTCCCGTGGCAGTTCTGCATAGTACAAGCGGGCCAAGGACGATGAAGTCGTGAAGATGTTGACTGCACGTCTGCCCCAGAAGAATGTTTAATAGGCCTTGATATTGGCAGGGATTGATCTGATGAGGGCAATATATGCGAACTGCTAGCCATAGTATTGTATTTTCTATCGATACGAGAAGAAACGCAGGCATGATTGGCTGATGTATTGTGGAATATCAGATATATCGGATGAGAATAGGTTGACGGATACAGATACATTCAAGACGCCAAGACTCTTGAGCAAGGCAACGTAACGATCTAAGATAATGAAGGGATAAAAAGAAGAAACTGGGTTTGCACTGAGTGTATAATTATCTCCTTAATTCAATACAGGAATTTGTCTTTCAAAGGCTTTACTAGTTGGTCCCTCCTCGCTGCGAACCAACAAGTAGTTGAGATTGTTGACACTGGGAAAGCCATAATCGCAGCTTGATTAAGGTCTGGGGTAAGTTGCCCTCAGGGTATCAGAAAAGTTGACCGCTGGAAGCATATCAGACGAAATTAGTAGGTCACTTTATGCTCCTTAGGTAGGCTATATGTCTTAGACAACTTATTTTTACACCCTAAGACTTAGGAGGCCAACATTTTTGCTACCCACTAGGTTGCTCAAATATGAGGGAGTAGAGTATTTTTAATGCAGCCGTCTCGAATGATGATACATTGACGGATTGTATGGGTTGAAACATATCCGTGCTTGATTTTATTGCAGTTTAATTCATTTGTGTCTACCTGTCACTTGACTACTTCTTTGTTATTGTTTCTTGATGCTGCGCCAAAACAAATATTTTCCTTTAATGTACCTGTATAGTCACATCCAAACAGCATTTTTATGACAGTGTCCGGATGTAAGTCTAAATCTCTAGTTGTTTCTCAAAGCATCCGATAATATCTGAGAAATATATTGCTTTTTGTTCTCCAACTTGGCAATTTAAATGTTTATCCAAGTCAAGCATTTCCCGAGACGCTCGGCATTCCAATTGCGGTTTGACGTCAGATTCCCATCTTGAGCCCCACCAAAAAATGCCCCGCGTGCCCCTCCAAGATGTTTAGTTGAGATCTCTAGTTACTTCCTGACGATCTTCTATCAGCAGAAAAAAGTTGTCAATTCTCTTTTCTTTACAATTTACAGTAAATACACAAATCAATATGGAGCACGACACCAAGACCCGTATGTGCTTCCCGAGTCTACCATCGTACACGACTGACCCCACCGACAGCACAGTACAAGACTAGCGATCCTACGTCTTTCGCTCATGAGTCTGTTAAGAAGCGATGGCCTGTCATTCTGGTGAGATGGAACAATATGTCTCATTGAAGCAATCGCTGACTTTTGTAGACCCAAGGAATTGACGATGTCTACCGTGCCGTTACCAAGACCTCCGACCCCGAGAAACTAGCCGAGGGCAAGAAGATCATCGAGAAGATGGCAGGTCTCAAGTACGAAGTCGAACACGATCGCAAGCTTACGTACGACACAACTATACCTCGATGAAGCCACCTTTGACTGACTTAAATAGTCCCATCCCCGATGATGGCTTCACTGAAGAGATTGCGACCTACAACAAGGAGATCGAGGCTCTCGGGCCTGATGCTCACTGGTACGATGTGCCATGGCTCTTTTCCGAATGCTATTTGTATAGGCGCATAAGCTCCATTTTTCGTATGAGCGAGCACTGGAAGAACTACGATATCTTTGCCCGACAAAAGATGGATACTTTCCGATCATCACGGCCCGCTGTCCTCGAGCTCGCCAGCAACTACAGACAATTAGTCGAGCAACTCCGCGCCGATAAAGACTCGACCCACGACCCCGAAGCCGAGGAGACGCTCTTCCAAGAGATGTTTGAGATTTGCCTGTGGGGTAACGCGACTGACTTGTCACTACTCACCAACTTGACCTACGAGGATATTCAGAAGCTGCAGGGTTCCTCGGCTCGTAAGGCGGCCGAGAAGAACATTCTCTGCAATGATCTACCCAAAGCATACGAGATCCTCAAGAAGGCCCAAAATGAAGGCAAGAAGGAGCGCCGTGTTGATATCGTCCTCGACAATGCTGGTTTCGAACTGTATGTTGACATGATCCTGGCCGGCTACCTTCTCTCGGCCGGTCTTGCTACCCAAGTCGTTTTGCGACCCAAGTCCATCCCATGGTTCGTCTCCGATGTCGTGCCCAGCGATTTTAGCGGCCTCCTGAACGCTGTTGCCAACCCTCGTGCACTGTACGACACACCATCAGAGGACGAGGATCTTCAAGGAAAGAAGCCTGAGCCTCTATCCGAAGAGGGAGAGAAAGACCTCCAGTTTCTATTCCAAGAGTGGGCCACATTCCATGCTGAAGGACAACTCATTCTCCGACCCAACCGCTACTGGACCTATGGCGGAAGCTTTTGGCGCTTGCCCTCCGAGAACCCTGAGTTGCACGAGGAGCTCAAGCCTGCTGAGCTTGTTATCTTTAAGGGAGATCTGAACTACCGCAAGCTCACAGCTGATGTAAGCCACCCCTACCAACGTAAGAGATTTATCACTAACATAATACAGGCTGCTTGGCCCCCCACCACACCCTTCACTGAGGCTTTGGGTCCTCTGGGACCCTCTTCAGGTGTCAATGTTCTGTCTCTGCGAACTTGCAAGGCTGATGTTGTCGTTGGCCTTCCTGAGGGTAAGGATGAGGAGTTGAGGCAACTTGAGGGTGGCGGTGGTGATTCTGGTGCCAGGAAGTGGGCATGGAATGGCAAGTGGGCTGTCGTCAACCTTTCTCAAGGTCACTAAGCAATCTTATTAGATAAATTCTGTTGATATGATGATAGATTTGATTAGACGTAAAAACGAAATGATAAAGAATAACATTAGAAGATGTGTGTCCCATTTTTAGCACCTCATGGTACTCAGACTATTCTGCACTTATCGCTGCACACTGATAAACCCGGATCTTAAAAAGAGATAGGAGGGACATTCTTGTATCAAACTATACTGTCAAGTCGTCTGTGCCTGACTGCAACCAGCGGCGAACCATTGCGAGACCCATACTGTCAGTTACTATGACATCTCGAAACACTCGAGAGTCATGTATCATCAATTTGAACATCCCCTAACATGTTTCCCACTTCAATTTCACTTAGTAGCAATCTCGGACTGCTTTCTTTTGTTCTCAATTGCTTCCGACTCCTTTCGCTCTCGCTTCGCTTCTATCTGTGCGATGATATCAGCGTGAATGGTGTTGGGTGTACGGGCACCATTATTACGAACGCGGTCCTGTTTCCCGCCATTAGCCCTATGTTCATGAAAAGCTGCAATTCCTGGGGTTTATACCTGGCCAGGCTCGAGACGTCCATCATGACAGGGATGCATACATCCTTCGGCGTTGGGTCGTGCAGCGAAACACTCGTGCATGGAGACCAAAGACTGAGCAGCTTTGCGATCGGTCAGTACAGTCTGAAGAAGAGAGCTATCGAGAGAAACTAACGGGTGGTTCTGCCTTGGAGGGGGCCCTCGCCTTTAGCAGTAGGGGAAGTGGCTTTCCACTGGTCGAGCACTTCTCTTGTAGGCATGATGGAATGATCGTTTAGGGAAAAGGTAAACTGGGTGTTGAGTGTTTGAGGCGTTGAATTGTTGGATGTATTTGAAGGTGTTAGGTTATGAATGTCTTGAATTCAAGTGTGGAAAGACAGAAATAAGGCGTAAAGGACAGATGATGCTGAACCTTCTATAAAAGTTTGACGTCACTTGGATACTCTAAGTGTTCATAGAGTGTAGGAAATCATGTGGCTTTGTTACGCATCGTGGTTGCACTTGTACAACAGAAAGTTGAGGTAGGTAACGGATGTATGTGGAAGCTCATTGGAGGTTTGTAAGTCAAAAGCTCGGGTAAGAAACGGTAGTGACGATAGGGAAGTGACTAAATCGATCGACCAGGCAGTTACCAAGATACTATTAAATGCCCAAAATGGAACTAAATATGAATGGAATTACTAGATGACGCTCAGGTAAGGCTATCATCTTATGGCATGGGGTTGAATCAGTACCGACAGCCTAGGTCATGCCACGGGTATCAAAAAGTATGGCTAAGAATGACTTTCCTGAGTACATAGAGCCATGCATTAATATATAAAAAGCCTCAAAATGGTATATGATAGTAGAAATATTTTAACACACTGGAGTCAGATTGGATTGTAGTCATTAATTAAATATTAGCCTACTAGTCTTAGTATTTAATTAGAACGTCAGGGTACTTGGGGTAAATGTGGACTACCTGTCAGTTGATCGTCAGTTCCTGATTCTCGGGAGGGAGCCCCACAAATGAACTTACTTCTCCGCGTCAGGTGACGGATGGCTTTAGTTCCCCCATCCTCTTATACAACTTCAAGCTTCTATATTCAATTGCTACATAGTATAATCGTTGACTCCTTTTTGTTTCTCACAACTCTAATGGATATGAATGGAGGGAGACCTCTCATCCCACGCCTTTCAAGCGGTGTGAGTATCCAGAGCCAGAGTACATCAAGTACACGCCCTACAGTCGCGGCCAGGAGGCAGATTCGCTCACGCGATGGATGTTTAACATGCAAGTACGTATAGTACTTCGATTAATGTGCTTGTCCCTGACCGAAAAATAGGAGACGAAAAGTCAAATGCGACGAGCAGAGACCTAGATGTTCACATTGTGAGAGGCTTAATATGGAGTGCAAGTGGCGCCCTCAACAACGTTCAGGAGCTCAAAGGAGACAAGCATCTACCACGGGAACGCTTGCACAGTCTCTTGAGCAAAGTTTGTCGCCAACAGATACGTCACCAGGAACATCTGTGTTCCAACCGGGGCATGCAGTAGACGAAGTGTTTGATTATGCAAGTTTCATGTGGGATTACGGAGACTTTTGGCAACAAGCTTCACCTGAAATGCACCAGAATCAGGGGCTAGAAGCACCCATGCTGGTAGGAAAATTTATGGTTGCACTACGAAAGCCTACTGACACAAACAGACTGCTCAATCGCAGGTCGCATTTCCGGATAGGACGACATTTGTGACACCGTTACAAGCGCCTTCAATGACGCACAGCAATGATAGTCGGGCGACCGATACTAGAGATGGAAGCGAAAGGTTGATGGAATTTTTTGCCAGCTCTGTCAACCCTCCCATTATCGCCGAGGTCGAGACTCAGAAGAAATGGATTTCCATGCGACAAATTGTCATCGGAATGGCCAATGTCTCTCCCATGGTCCGTCACGCAATTATGGCTTTTTCGAACCTTTTACTTTCTAGGAAAGACGGCAATTGGACTATGAGCGATGATGATCATTACCAGCGTGGCGTTGCAGAAGTTGCAAGCCATGATGGTGTGTCCATGTCTGAACATAGCCGTGGACGCGAGCATCTCCTTGCAGCCTTATTCTTTCTCAGCTATATCGATATACTGGAGAGTCGTCTCGATGCCGCGCATTCGAACCTAAAGCGCGCGTACACTCTTTTCCAAGCGAGTAACAAGCATGGCTTGACGCAGGTGGAGAAGCAATTGCTTCTCTGGATTCGACTCCTCGATGGGCGGGCAGTATCTGCTGGGGGCGATGGTTTGTTTCTTACTAAAGACGACGAGGTCCTTTTAGTGGAAGCATCGCCGGCAAGCTTCGATGGGGAACCCGACGACATCTCGAAGAATGACCCTGCGGAAGATATCGAGGACGTACTATTCCAGGTGTTATATCAACCAGGTGTTGTATTTTACCAGAAAGTCCAGAGCTTTATGGGCAGGATCTCCAAGATTGACCCATGGCATCGATCACGTGGTACGGTTGAAGACGAAATCGAGGTTATGAATATCGGTGCTGTCATAGCGGCTGACTTACGCACTCTGTACGAGCATCGACCACCACTGATGGATTATGCCGTAGCAGGCAAGTTGACGCAGCCTCACGTCTCGAAACACCTGGCATTTGTCATCACACGAGCCTTCCGGACATACCTTTCAAACTATTACGCCAGCAAAGTGCATCTTCATCGCGTTGCCTACAAGAGCCTGCCTCTAACGAAAGAGGCGTCAGAAGCTTTGGACCAAATCCGGAAGCTCGCTCGGCAGATTGTGGCCGCCTTGGATACTGATGACACACTTCCCATCAATATGCTATGGCCTCTTTTGATGTTGGGTGTAGAAGAGCAAGACGCTAGCGAAAAGGCTTGGATCAAAACACAGATTCTCAGAATGGAGAAGGTCGCGGGTAATGCACGCATCACGGCGCAAGTGCTAGAGGAAGTCCAGGCTCGGCAAGACGCGGCCAAGGCACGTATGGACATCCGGTCTGTGATGCATGAGGTCTTCAACTCAAGCTTTGCCATCGTCTGAGATCGGGTCGAGATTGGATTCCGATAGCTTGTTCTGCTGCGACGCTGTCATGGTGGTTTCTGACTATCAATTCCGCGACGTCGGTGAATATTTGTCAGACACTTCCAAGCTCATGACACTAGTTGTCTTGGCTTTTGGAATACAGACTACTGACTTGTCTCGGACCATTAATGAATGTCATGCGAATGATCCTGACTGTTCTACTTAACGGTCGGATCGAGGCCCCACACACACTTGTCGAGCCGATCGGATGTGGTGATCTCCAACTTCCCCGCACCAGGCTAAAGTGGGTGAAAGCTGGGGATGACCTCTCCTAATGCATTTACACGACAGATGTCAAAGCCATGACCAGCGAATCGCAGAACTAGAATATGACATGATGCCGCTGTACCAATGGATCCGATGGGAATACAACCAAGACCCCCACTAAGCCAGCGTCAGGCTTGGAACAAAACCCTCGAGGCAGCTCGTTCTTGGTTTTGCAACAATCAACAACCTCTTACTCCAATTCTGTCTTCTTCGACATCGATATTTTCACCATCTCAGCCTTGAGTATTTCAGTTTATATTATATTCATTCAATATGGGATCAATCTCCGCAAAGGGCAAGGCCTTCCCCCCAGGCATTCACGTCCCTTCTTTGACTTGGTTCCAAAATGATGCCAACCAAGAAGTCGACTGGGACCAACAGAGTCGCCATATTGAGTTCCTAGTCAACTCTGGCCTGGATGGCAGTATGTATATACGTAAATTCTCGTCGGACTTCAACTAACAACCTCCAGTCGTAATTGCAGGAACAAACGGAGAGGCGGTCACACTTTCAGCAGCCGAGAAGTCACGACTAGTCCGAACGACGCGCGAGATTGCAACCTCTTGTGGTCGCCCCGATATCACAATCACAATGGGAACCTCGTCCCAAACAACAAGAGACGCCATCAACGAGACGAAACTTGCCAAGGAGGCAGGTGCCGACTTTGTACTCGTTCTGACGCCCAGTTACTTCCACTTCGCTATGACGCAAGATGCTATTGTCGCATTCTTCGAGGAGCTCGCAGACGCTAGCCCTGTCCCCGTTGTTATCTATAACTTCCCTGGCGTTGTAGCTGGTCTCGACGTCAACTCGGAGATGCTGGAGCGTCTGGCTAAGCACCCCAACATTGTCGGCGTGAAGCTTACATGTGGTGGTATCGCAAAGGTCGCCCGTGTGGCAGCCCAATACAAGCCAGAAGAGTTCACTGCTCTTGCTGGTCAGAGCGACTGGCTTGTCCCAGCACTATCTGTCGGTGCCACAGGAGCAGTCACTGGCGTTGCAAACTTGTACCCCAAGACTTGCTTGCGAATCTTTGACCTGTACATGGCTGGCAAGACAAAGGAAGCTGAGGCCGCACAGCTTGAGTTGGCCAAGATGGAATGGGGATTCGCCAAGGGTGGTATCAACGGCACCAAGTGGATTGTGGCCAAGCTTCTGGGATACCCCTCTGGCAGCTGCCACTGCAGGAAGCCCTACCCTCAGTATGTTGATGAGAGTAAACAGGACTGGATTCATAGTGTTGTTGAGCCTCTTTCGGCTGTTGAGAAGGGTCTCGGCAAGAGGGGTTCTGATATCTAGATGGGGTTATAGATGAGCTTATGACATATATAAAAATTTATTACATTACAAAATTTGGCATTCGTATTTCCATCTCGATGAGTTACTATGAGATAGAATGACTATTTGAATTCTGCAATTTTTCCCTGTGGCTCTATATGAGTACGAATGTGTTGTGATGTTTTAGAGAATTGTATTCACTACTCGAATCGCATATACAAATTTGGTGATTTACAGTCGTTGCTCGGATCTTTTTAGTCATGTCTAGCTAGCAAATAATTGTCATAGCAATTGCAATGGCCAGATCTTGTGAGTCTTGTGCCAATTCTTGGCCTTGGTACCTCGCTCCAATTCCGCGTCTCAGGCAATTGAGCGAAAAGAAAACGGAAATCATGAGATATGATATCTTGATTTTGTTTATAGAAGTGGACTAAGCTGTCTTCCCCCGCATCGGCAAACTCAATCCTCCAATCGCCTCTTCCCCTCGCATCGGCTCGCCTGTCGGGTTTGGTACATTCTCCAAGACTTGAACCCTGCATCGTTCATGCATGAGACCATGACTCGTAAAAGAGAGAGAAAAACATGTTTGTGATGACTCTGTTGCTCCACACAATCCCCAGGTTTCCGTTTCCCCACGCCCCCGGATTTGTCAATTGGAGAGATTATGCTTTAAATACCGTTACCGATCCTGGATCAACCAACGCTCTTGAAGACATGGTTCCACAGGGTTTTCTCCTTATCTCTTAATCAATCTGTCTCAGCTTCAAGTATAACATTTACTTGTTCACGATATAGACATCACTATGGGTGGCTTTCGTGCTGTCGAAGATCGGCCTACGCCAAAGGAGGTGTACAATTGGCGTCTCTACACCGAAGCAGCAGTTATTGCTACAGGATCTCTACTGTAAGTTTCACATCGTTAACCCAAAGTTCAGGCCACTAACAGGATGGAAGATTTGGTTACGATTCCGCTTTCATTGGTACCACCATTGCTCGCGATAGCTTCAAGCGCGATTTCAATATTCAGCCTAGCCAACAGGCTGATATTTCGTCCAACATCACTGCGACGTTCCAGGCTGGTGCCTTTTTCGGTGCCATCATCTGTTTCTTGAGTATGTTCTCGTAGATTGAAATTTGGAGATACAATTGCTGATACATCTGGACAGTCACTGAAAAGATTGGTCGAAAATGGGCTCTTCAGGCTAACGTTGCCGTCTTCCTCATCGGCGCTATCCTCATGACTGCCGCAACTCATCAGCTGTCTTATATCTGTAAGCCAGCCTTACAAGCTTGATAGTATCGACATCTAACAACTTCAGACGCCGGTCGTGCTCTTACAGGAATCGCATGCGGAGCCATCACAGCCACAGTACCCAGCTACATCGCCGAGCTTTCCATCGTTTCCATCCGCGGTATTCTCACTGGCCTTTTCGAAGTCACATACCAGACTGGATCTCTGATTGGTTTTTGGATCAACTATGGCATCAACCAGAACATGAACCCCAACTCTGCAGCGGCATGGCGTGTCCCCATGGCTGTTCAAATTGCCCCTGCCGCTGTTCTGTTCGTCGGTGGCTTCTTCCTGCATGAGAGTCCTCTTTGGTTGATGCGCAATAACCGTGAGGAGGATGCGACAAAGGCTCTTGAGAGTCTTCGACAGATTCCCCGTGACCATAAGTGTAAGTTTGGCATCTCGCACTTACAAAAAAGAGGACACTGACAACGTGATAGATCTCCAGGAAGATCTCGATATGATTCGCAAGCGTCTCGCAGATGAGGCTCGCGTTGCTAGCCGATTCGGAACGGGACCTTGGGCTCTTTTCCGCGGCGCGATTTCTGAACTGACCAAGAAGGGCATGCGAAACCGTGTCTTGCTTGTCTTTTGCTCTTTTGCCCTGCAGAACATGTCTGGTGCTGCCGGTACGGTCCTTCATCTGCTTTCTACTATGATAAAGCCAACTAACAGTTTGTAGCCATCAACTACTACTCTCCCACTCTTTTCGGATCGCTTGGTATCAAGGATGTCGCTTTGTACACTGGAGTTTACGGTCTCGTCAAAGGTATGCTCAACAAATATCTATTCACCGTGCTTTCTCTGACTCCCTACAGCTGTTGCATCCATCATCTTCTACGGTGCCCTTATTGATATCTGGGGACGACGAAACCCGACCATCATTTCATCTGCCTTTTGCTCAGCTTGTCTTTGGATCGTGGGTGCCTATGTCAAGATCGGACATCCTGCTTCTATCATCGCCGAGGGCAAGGAGTTGTCTCCATCAACTGCCGCTGGTGGTAAGGCTGCCACAGCCATGATAATGGTCTACTCTGTCTTGTAAGCTCCCCTCCTCGTTTTTGGTGATGAAATCAGTATGCTGATTCGTTATAGCTGGTCTTTTGGTCTGAACGGTATCCCCTGGATCGTTTCTGCTGAGATCTTCCCCGGTGCTCTGCGTACTTTGACAGGCACATACGCTGCCTGTGTGCAATGGTAAGGCATCTTCACTACTCCTCTTGGCCAACAATGATCTAACTTTATATAGGCTCACTCAATTCGCCATCACAAAGGCCCTCCCCTACATCTTCAAGTCCTTCGGCTATGGAACATGGTTCTTCTTCGCGTGCTGGATGATCATCGCCACTGTATGGGCTTTCTTCTTCCTTCCTGAGACCAAGGGCAAGACCCTTGAAGAGATGGATGTCATGTTTGGCTACGTGCACGACCGTGCGCCCACCGAGAGCGACGATATGGGCGGCAAGCTTGGTGCCAAGGCATCAGTTACCGAACATAGGGAAGATAGCGTCTGAGCAGGTTTGTGTATAATGTAGATTTATTTTGAGGAGCCTCTCTGCTCGTCGGCATAGTGCGTTGCTGCCAGTTGCACCGCGCCTTAGATTCAGTGCGGTAATAAACAAAGTTTCAATGTTATTTTATGGTGCACAATGGTACACTATGGTGAGCTTGCAGTCTATAGAGACGATGGCAAGAGATGAAGTTATTAGGTCAGTATTAGCTATTTAGACTAGACTTCTCAGGCTATTTATTCCTGTACCCCAAACGTGGAGGCCAGCCTTTCTACCAGTCACTCGACCAAACGAATTCGATAAACGAATGACCCGAAAATAGCTACGTCTCGCAGTTTCTTTGCCTTTGAAAGCGTGGCCGGTTGTTATTTTCGGCATCTTCAATACTAGCACGCACACATGCACACACAAGGCGATGATACCCCTGCCAAGAGAACAAAGAACAAAGAAAACGAGTTGTCTTTGAAACAGATACGAGAATCTCTATGTCAATTTATTCGTTGTTGGATGTTTGTTTCATGCTTTAGTTACAGATACCTATTAAAATAAATGGTGGCGTTTGTTGGTGTGATATAACTAATACTCATGTTCAGAGTTGCGATATAAGAAGGCAGGACAACGGCCATGTATAACAATATCCGAAAATAAATTACTGTACCTATCTTTGAAACACTTCTAATGACTATAGAGTTCCAAACCTCTCACCAATTTTTCTTTGCAGTTACATACAGTCAACTACTCCAATACACATCAGTTCAAAATGGAGACTGTCACCCCGGTACTATTGATGCGTCAAGCATCTCAGGCTCCTCCAAGTCCAAACAGACCCTCAAACCCAGCTATTGCCAGCCAATTCACCGGGTCAGTTCAACAGACGACTTCTTCATCCTCACCATACCCCAGTAGTGGAAGGCAGGGCGCCTGGATGGGAAGTGTCGGCTTCACAACTCGTTTCACAAGAGACACTATGGGCTACGGCCGAGTGACGCAAACACCAGCTATCGTTTATGAGCCCGAACCTCTCCAACCTCTTTTTGGAGGCATAGTTCCTTTGTCATCATTACCGGAACCTACAAGCGAGAGCATGAAGATGCCGCCATCGGGGCATAGAATAGGAGGGGATATGGCATGGCTCTTTGGGCGGCCTCAATCTGGATACGTTGAGAGACCAAAAATCACCACTTGCAATGGTGAACAAAGACTAGTGGCGCAAAGAATGTATATCAGCCGCGGCTTTAGAGACGCTGGAATGAGTCGTTAAATGGGTATAGATCAGGATCAAGATTGTCAACGGGGCCAGTATACTAGACTAATGGGTATAGACATCATAAGTACATAATTCATAACTCGTTTCAATGATTAGCCACTTTTTCCTGTCCCTGAACCTCGACGACGCTCACATTTGGAGGGTTCTGTGCTTCAACAAACGGTTGCTTCTTCCAGTGACGCGCAGGAATACCATCTCGGAAGAAACCGTTGATCTCTTCAATGCTACGTCCTGTGACTTCACCAACGCAAAAGTATACATAGGTCAATGACACGAAGCAAAGGCCTGTGTACACAAAACCTGTCTTGGGACCGAGATCGGCAGAGTAGTACAGATAGGGCAGAGTAAAGACTGTGACCCAGACCGTAATCCAGAATGAGGCAACGGCGACAGCATAGATCTTGTTGCGGTTTCTTCCAACTGCCATTTCAGAAGCCTAAGATATCATGTTAGAAAAGCATCGGCAAGGGGGAGACATACTCACAATCGTCCAGCCAAGAGGTCCCCAAGCAAAATTAAAGGCCACAATCTCAATGATGACAAAACTGATAATCACTTTGCCAACTGTCTCACTTGGTTGTCCACCAGGAATACCCAGACATCCAACTACAAAGATAGACACAGTCATGATTCCCGTAGTAATCAGCAGAAGAGGTCGTCTTGGGATCTTGTTAGCCAGCAACACCGCTGCAAGGACAACAAAGACTTGGATAATAAAGACAATAAGCGTCATGAGGAATGGGTCGCGCAGACCAATTGCCTTGGAGAAGATGGTTCCGAAGTAATAGAACCACTGGATCCCGTTGATTTGCTGAGCGACCAAAGCGCCGGCGCTGTGGATGACTTTACGACGCTCGACGGGGTCTGTTATAAGTTGCATCCATGCGCTCTCTGCGTCATCGATGTGATCCTTCGCAGAGTCTTTTTCGATGCTCTGAATCACGGCTTGGCAATCGTACTGCTTGTCCTCGCGGTGAAGTACGCGCAGAGAGCGCATTGCTTTATCGTGTTGTCCACGGCGTAATAACCATCGCGGCGACTCTGGTAACCAAGTGATACCAAGCAGCAGTATCAGTGGAAATATCAACTGGAACCCAATGGGAAATCGATACGCAAAGGTTGTGTCGTTGTGGATCACACTTCGGTTTATACCAGCTGCGATGATCTGCGATATAGACAAGACGAGCTGCCAGCACATAAGGAGTGGACTTCTCAACCCCTCTGGCGCAACCTCCTACAAGTTGACCACTGATAAGCAAAAACCGAGCATATTTCACAAAGTTTCAAAGAGACATACTCCCATGTACAAGGGCGAAGTAACGGAAAAGTTACCCACGCCAAAACCCGAGATGGCTCTACCAGCCGTGATGAGAGCACGGCTCGAGGTGGTGGAAAGTTGCATTACAACACCGATGATAACAGTGATAGCGCCGGACATGAATGCTCCCTTTCGGCCGAATAGGTCATTGATGGGAGCTGCCAATAGCGATCCCACCAATTCGCCCACGTTAATCATGCTCGTCATGACAGCCAAGTCGGTGGGGGAGATCTCATATTCGTCCTGGGCACCAGACACTGGTGTGGCAAAGTCGCGTACAAAGACATCTTTTGATGATATCAGCTAAACAACACTAATATCTGGTGTAATTTAGTTTTGGAGAAATCGAACAAAAAAAAAGTAACATACCGAGAGTCGAAACCCCGGTAAAGTAAACGCCCTCATAACCATACAGGCAAGCACCCAAAGCTGCAAAGCCGCAGCAGAGCCAGACATAGGGATGTCTAATCCGGAAGAACATGTTCCGACTCTGTAACTTTCTCTTGATTCAGTTTCTGTTCGTTTTGTAATTAATATTTCTCCGCGGGAAATAGAACGAAGTCCGGCGCGCGGGCGTCGACAGGGCTGAAAGGGAGGGGAGGATACTCTTTCTTCCCCCCGTGCCTTGGTCTTTGCTCTCTGTCTCTGGTTTCTGACACAAACCGGCAAAGGCTTTCTGGGTTTAGTTGACTATGGCTAGTTGGGTTTTAGATGAGGGGGGGAGATTGCAATTTGCGGTTCCGATGCAGTAGATTGATTAGTGAGTGGATCAAATGGAGAGGGTATCCTTGAAGAAAGAGACTGTGATGGATACTTTGACGTTGTTGATGAGGGAGAAGAAGGAGGAGAAAAAGAGAGGCTCCGGAAAGAATACAACGTCACATACGAAAAATGACTGAATCACGAGTTTGTCTTGGCCTGATCATGATGTCTACCAACAAAAGTTCCCTTGCAACTCCCCCTTTTTTTGCCTGCACCTACCTTGCAATGGCTTTTGAGGCTTTGGCTGATAAGCTGATGTTTTAATTCTAGAACATATTCTCCCGTAAGCCTCATTGTTGTTCAACCTAGTCATGTATTCATAGTAATGTCTCTGTCTGGGTCCTTACTATTCAGGATCAGGTTAGGGGCCCGGGACTTGGGCATTCTTCATCGAAACCTAAACTAAACCCGTGCGAGTTAGGATCATCGAAATAAAGTTTGAGCAAGGGTCTAGAAGCTTGACTCGTTCGGGCAGCGCCGTGCCGGGGCATTTTCTAAAAAGGTTCATTTTGATACCTTGCTGCCGACGCGATAAACTGTTGAGCACTGGTATAGCTTCCAATCCTCTCTTTTATTTCTGAATGATCCCCGCCTGGTGCCTGCCCAGACCTGTCCTGCCTTGTTATGTGATCTTCTTCTTTTTACCCCTCTTCAGAAGTGACAATGTTCCAGTTGGAGAGTCATGTTCCAAGAGTCAATCCGCCGACGCCCTGACCATGTACATGAATCGGGGAACTCCATTCGATATCTAAACAGCGTAGAAGCTTCGACCATATCTATACCCATACCTTTCCTATACCTATTCATATGCCAAGGTTTCTTCTAAAATGGATATAAACAGAAGACATTACTTTACTTTATTATTCCTATCATTCATTTTAGGCTAACAAACAGTATCGTGTCTACCTTGATAATCAGATTACTCCTCACTTATTATACTTCATATCAAGACAGCTCACTACAAACAATTATGCGATCCATACTCCCAGTCCCAACTCCACCACCCGAACTATGCCCTTACTCTCGCGCATCAGCCAGTCAAGCATCCGCCGATGTCATCCCACTGCTTGTTGACGATACATACCATGTCTTCCACCTCAGCACACCACCATCCACAAAACACCATCCTCAACGACTGAGAACAACATGGTCACGCTTGCGATCAACGAACCTTCTCGAATGGGAACGGGACCCGCAACCTGTGATATCCCCTGGAGAGTCAAGTACCGACCCTGACGCTGATGGCGTCTGGACGGGATGCGCCGTGCTCGACTTGGATCAGAACATGAATATCTTCTATACGGGATATAACCTGTCTCGGAACGGCCAACAAACAATCCTTCACACCAAGGCCTCTGACCGTCATGGTACAAGGTTCGACTCGACATCAAAGCCAATCACTATTCTCGGCAATGGGCTGGACAAGTTTGAGCGTATCGATTTTCGCGATCCGTTTGTCTTTTTCAACCGCGCCGAAGGGAGATATTGGATGCTTGTCGGCACTCGCCTCGCCAATGGCCCGTATTGGAGTCGTGGGTGCATCGCCCTGTTGACTTCACCCGATCTTGAGGCTTGGACAGTGTCACCGGAGCCTTTGTATGCCCCCAACGACGTCTTCTGCCCCGAATGTCCAGAGTTGTTCACAATGCCAAATGGGAAGTGGTACCTGGTATATTCACGCTTCCACGCACCAAATGCAGGAACAGTGTATCGCATGGCCGACACTCCATATGGTCCGTTTCGCGTCCCACGCGATGGGTCTCATGGACGCTTGGACGGACGCCGTTGGTATGCAGCCAAATCATGCCCAAAGGCTGGAGACCCTGACAAGAGGATCTGCTTTGGCTGGATTGGTGACTATGCGGACGACGAGAACAAGTGGCTCTGGGGAGGTGATCTCGGCATCACCAGAATCATGTGGGCAGATAACAACGCCTGTTTGCGCATTGACGCCTCTCAAGAGTTTCGAAGTTATATATGGCGAACTTCTAGACCTGTGTCGCCCGGTGATGCTGCTCCCAGTTTGTATCTTTGTTCTCTCGGGACGACAGCGACGCATTATCCCGAACTAGGGGCTGCGGAGTGGAAGAGACATCTCATGGTCGACTTTAAAGTCGCAGCCTGTGATGCTCACACTTTTGGAGTCATGTTGCAAGTCGATAGCACTGGAAAGGGCCATCGCTTGCAATTCAGCCCTCAAGGAAATGGCCTCTTTTCTGTCGCGCTCATGACGGATTTCCCTCCCCTAGATGATTTCTGGGCTGACCAGTACCGTATGCACATTCCACGACCTGTTGATGGACCCGAACTGGTGCGACATGACAATGTCAGCCTTGTCGACGGAGTCTTCCTCTTTTTGAGAGGTCAAATCGTGGAGGTATTTTGTGGAGGGCGAGCACTAAGCTTTCGATTACCTATACCACCCAACTGGACAGACAACGACCGCTGTGGCGTCCGCAGGTTGGGGTGGTATGTGGAGGATGGCATGGTTGATTTAGTTGACATAAATATGCGTCATTCGATGTGCAGCAAGGACGGCTCAGCCGAGTCGGACAATCTTGAAGACGCCGAGTAATTCTTCTATTAACCTTCCTCGCCGCAAAGTTATTTTCTTTGCAGCTCTCATCCTAGATCGTCCTGTGGCATCATGGGATTCGGCTGGATAACCAACCCGCTAAGAAGATCATATGGACCTGATGCGCCAGCCAGGTCCCAGTCGCCAAAATCGGTGTATTCATATACATCTGAAGCATAATTCCCCATCATGGGGCTAACTTTGTCATTGAGCGGTTCGTTTAAGTTGACCGCCAGAGAGTGCTCTAGACCACGCAGGATGGCACCCTCGAGACGATTCACAGCATATTGCATAGGCTGATGACTTTTGCTCATCATACGAAGATTCCAGAGATACGAGTTTAGGGTTTCTTGCCAGAAATGACGTTCTTGAGAAGATAGTGAGGTGACGAGAAGTAGGGTGGTAAAGGAGCCGAGGAGCGAGAAGAGGTAGGGTGATGTAAAGTACCAAAATGCTTCGAGATGGTCGGGCCTCAAGCTTATCACGAAGCTTATCGCGCTTTGGGCTGTTTGGAGAGCAATCTGGCGGATGCTGGAGAGTACGCGATCGTCTGAACAGCGTGGTGGGAGGGCTGTAGAGCGAATCAGGCGACGCAGAAGGGTCATGACAACGCCATAGTATGAAAAGTGCAAGTATCCGTGAAAACACAGCTTGCGCTGGTAGATAACATTCATCTGCAGCGTTGGCGGGATGTTGTGGTACCAGTTCGTCAACATCTCGAAAAGAGGCCGGGCCTTCTCAAAGAGGATCACCGTGTCCTGCTCTCGACAGGCGCGAGCTGTATAGAAGGTGGAGTAGACAACTGATAGAATCTGCGTCAACCGCACCATCTGTATATACTGCGTCATACCAGTGTAGGCAATCGATCTCCGGTCATCGTCGGAGCCAGAAACAGAAACGGAACTAGAAACAGACCCCGTAGCTGAGGGAGCGTTGGGAACCTCACTTTCGAAATCCGAAAAATCAGCCGGAGTAAGATCACCAACTGTCCAGTCATCGTCGTGAATGTGAACAGGTCGTCCGTAAGCCAATGCAGTCCAGCGGTCCTGCATGAATAGCGCCCAACTGAGACGCTTACGAACGTTGCGCTCCCATTGGGGAATAGTCCAGTTGCTGGCATCAAGGTGAAGACCAAGACATTGACCGATAGCAAGCGCCTGGCATGTCAGGCCCCATTGGAAGGTATGGTCCGGGTTGAGGGGGTCCTCAGGCTGGCATTGGAGGAGGAGCAGGGCAGCCTGTATGGAACTGAGCTTTGGGCGGTGGTAGGACGCCGGGATGGCCGTCCGGAGCATCCTACGCAGTAGGGCAGCATCCGGGGGGCTTCTGATGGAGAGTTCAGGGTCATAGGTCCACCAGCGAATCGCGGATAGATAGATTGCTCCGAGGAGGGCCGCGGGTATGCGCCGGTAAGACTGGCTATAGGCAAGGGTGAAGGGGTCCTTGGAGAGGATGGGATAGCACGGCTGAACGTGTCTCCAGAAGAGCTCAATGAGACTAGGACCATGGGGGCGAACGCAGCTCTCGATAGCGTCGACCTGGGAAAAGGTGGGATCACCGTCAACTGCTTTTTCGTCTCGAGCCATGTGAAACGTCAAGGGATACTCCTGGCCGTCGTCCCTCTCGAGCACACGGCGGATGGCATGCGTATCAAGGCTAAACTCGTGGGTTTGAGGATCGTAGGGACGATGTCGCATTAGTATGGGCTCCATGTCACTTCCAAGGCCATAGAGTTCGGCGAAGCGCGTAGACGAGCACCCCATAGTGCGATCTAGGGGACCAAGCTCGGGAACAAGCACCGAGGGCTGAGCAATAGGCATACCACTATCAGCAGAAGCGCGCGTCTCGGCAGGGGAGAGGAATGGCTGGATCGAGGGGACGGAGTAGACGGACTGAACTTCGTCCCGAGACTCTTTACGGCTTTGCTGGCTCATACTCCTGGCTGAAGGCTGGTTCTGGTTCTGGGACTGGGACTGGTTCTGAAGCGGTCCTGGAATCTCGTCTGGGCTGATCTCTTCCTGAATTCCCGGGGCGGTGGCGGTTGTGCTGCTGCTATTCCCGCTGGTGCTTGCAACCTGTCGCTCTGGGGGATCGTGCTGAAAGGTACACGGTGTAGCCCTCAGCTGACAATGGACACAGTCGCCGTCACCATCCTTTGTGACGCAGCGAGTCTTACGCTTCCGACAAGCGTCACAGGGACGAAGGCTACGACGTTGTCGTTTGCGGGAGTTGTTCTGGTAGTCCTGGGGTGTGATGATTTCCATTTGAGGGTGTCGTGATGTAGTGTTGATGTGGGAGAAGACGAGACCGATGAAGTGGGTTCAAATCTATTTGCCATGTCCTTATTTTTCAGAACAAGGCAGGCGTGTGTGGGATGATGTGTTGTGTATATGTATATGTATGTATAAGCAAAATGTATGGGGACGGGTATAAGTATAAGTATGGGGATAGGTATGGATATTAGTATATGCAAGACGAGCCAAGGTAAGAAAGAAGAGAGATGATGTGTAAGAGGTTTTTGATGTTTGTGTTATCTTGTGTCTGGCCGGGCAGGTTGTTAAGAAGAAAACCCACCCCCCGCTTCTTTTCGTCTGCTTGTCCCTGTCTCAACTTGTGCAAGCAAATTCTTGTCTTGGTATGGATTGTGCTTGGACTTTTTTTTCTTTCCTTTCTCTTTCTTAGGGTCTTGGGTCTTGGTCTTGCCTTTCTCTAAAAAAGGGAAGAGGGAGAAAAAATACCCAGTCTACACCTAGGGCATGTCCCTATTAATTGGCAATGCACTGAGGCACTGCAGTGCACTGTTGTATAGAGAGAGGTATGCAAATGCAACTACCGATCCGCAGTATAGTGTATAATCTACAGTGCCGAGCTTTGCTTACTTGATCGAGTCCTTGACCCCAGGTAACAAGCTCTCTTGGTATGAGGCTGTGTCGATAGATGTGGCAGTCTTATACTCTGTATGTACTGTACCGTGACTGTATCTGTGTATCTTTATCGGGGGAGATAATGGATGATCTTTTGTCGGTGGATGGTGACTGTCAGTCAGCCTTAAAGTCAAGTCTCAGCTTGTGGGTTCGTTGGCTCGATTCAGTCAGTGCAGTGGAGAGGGAAGAGGAGATGATGATGAACCATGTCGATTTTGATCAAAGCTTCTGGAGTGATTCCTTTTGGTTCAGCTCCCTCAACGTACCAACGGGGCCCGAGCCATTTACATAACACCCGTATCGAGTGTGTTGGAGTGTCAGAGTGTGCAAGGGGACTGGCCGATCTTGAGGCCATCCCTCTGTCCTCGGTCCATCCATCCATCCATTCGTGTTGTATCCCTGCTTAGTCGGTCAAGGTTAAGACGGGAACCTGGTTGACCTGTAGACGCGGACGGCAAATAGAGTTGGGTCCGTCCATTTTTTGCAGGCTTTAGCAAGTACGCCGCCGCATCCACACACCAAGACGCCATGGCGCACTATAGTGTTGCCTCGTTATCCGAACAGTTTAGTTTTACGGTACGTTAGTTGTCGCTTTTTGCATTGCCCAGTTCCGTGGATTCGGGAGTTGGGGTATCGAGGTACCGTACTAAACCGGACCAGGTCCTCGTTGCCGCCGCCCAGTCTTGGCATGGGACCCTAGAGGAGGGTGACCCTGAAAGTCTTGTGCTTCCTTTGCGTCTTCTTTTAGTTATTCCAGAGTCAGATGACGTACTGAGATGCTCGATTGTCGGATTGATCCGAGATGACCTCATCTGGGATACCCCCTTTTAGAGCACAATGTACGGTATGTAGGGGAACGATACAATTCACGTGATGACACTGCATGATTTATTACATGCCAAGACTCGTTGTATGTGAAATTTGATCCGTCACTAACCAAAATGGTCTATGCGTAACTACATCCTTTGCCAAGACTCTGTAACTACAAACATGTCCAGAGTCAACAAGAATTACTTTACTATCAACACCTTTTAACCGCAGATCAATAATCTCAAATTATGTGTGGCATTTCTTGGCGCCAACAAGTCCAAAATGTCACTGTAAACTTTCCTACCCATGCATGCACATCATTTAGGCATTCCATGAAAACACACCAACGTTATTTCCACCAACCTTTAGCATCTCCGATTATTTAGCAGCTCATGATGGAATTCGCCTCATTCTGACACCTCATATCACTCTCTAGTGCTCCAGAAACAAGTTCTACCCACACTTCAGTAGGCCTCCCGTCGGCCAACTTAACTGCTTTGGACTACTGTGCTGTACCTGTGCGCCAAACGTGGCGTTGTCAAATTGCCTCTTGTTCCGAAAACTCAGGAATTCCTTCCAAAGATCGACATTGGAGCTTGATAACCATTCTGCTATTTCCGTTGATCGACCACCAGTGCCAGGTAGTCAGGGCAGCCACTGTCAATCCATATGATAAGTCCGCTAGCTTTTCGATATTCCCCTGAACAAGCGAGCGCGGTGATCGAGCATATCAGATGCTCTACTGTTACATACCCACATCGTCCAGTCGTTGAGCTCCTGCATCAACCTCATCTGAAGATCATTCTCAATTCTCGTACACGCAGCGAATCGGTATCAGCCCAGCTCACAGAGTGCCCACAACTACCGTCGGCTCCCTCCAAGAGAAAATCCTACGTAGGCAAACATCTAACTTGATCAAGTTAGATGGAGGAGCCGCGAACATACTGGTAACGTCTTGGCTTCCCCCTCCAAAAGCCAAGATTCCGTTTTCTCGCAACGGTTTCGCTTCGCTTCGTGCCCTCGGCCCAGCCCTGCGAAATCTAAAGCGCGAAAGTGACGAGGCCGGACTTACGGTACCATGCCCTGAGCTACAAGTGGCTACTGGCGCGCCGTTCCGTGGCGATTGGCAGCTTGGATGTTATGATCGTCGCTCGGACGTCGTTGCTATTTCCAACACGTCTTGGCACAGCAGCTGAACATTCATAGTTCGCAAAAGGCACTGATTTTCAAGACGCTTTGTTGTTTTTTTATTACATTTCCACCTCTTGGCGGGCAAAGTCGGGTCATTTCTGCATAATGGAGCAATTGAGTATCTGATGCCAAGAGAGTCGCTAGGATAATGGCAATCTTGAGAGACAATAAGTTGATGAATAATAGGACTTGATCTGAATTTTACATCCGATTATGTGATCGGGCTTGAGCCGTGAGTAGGCGTATCGAGTTATTTACACAATGTCGTACTGAGTGAAGATCCTATCGTCCTAGGTAGTGATCGTTGCAAGTGGATAACACGGCAAAGAATTTAACAGTCCGTCAGTTGATACCATTAATCAGTTGACAGGGAGATAGTTTCAAACTTGAATCGTGTAAGCGACTACTGGCCGAGTTCGGTCCGGAGTCCAGGCCTTTGATGACTATCTTTTTCATATGGTGATGCCAGTCTCTGGGGCTAACTTTTCTGTTACCTACTAGGGTGCTAAGTTGTAAGTGGATAACCATCCTGGTTGCGCATAGACTGTTATTGGTAACGATTCAGGTTTTTATGGAATGAATTAAATCAAGGCTCAAGACATGTTTATTGGTGAGTGTCTTGATATGAAGTTATTCGCGACAATATGACAGAGAGCAAGCTGACTCATGTGTATGGTCTAGGGTAGTCTGCATACCAAGGGATCCAATCAGCATGCCAAGGTTTGAAGTACACCGCTCACTCAGTAAACATGTCCAAAATAGTAACCGTACCAATGACGAGTATTACTAATCATATCGCCCGAAAGTAATCGGGATACGAAATAGCGTTTTTTTAATCTCCCTTGAGTTCTCTTGTCATCTGTAGACTCTATAGTAGTCAGTTGATCGAGGCAAGATGGTTTTTGTTAGTGCCCGCAGTTCAGTTCACGGACGTGGTTCTTCAAGCCACTAACGCTCCACTGTGTCCCACTGGAAGCGTTCAGTGGAGAAATATGCGCTTATGAATACATGACTATTGTCAACTACCCAGAGAGACGGGACGAAACTAATACCAACAGTTCCTTTTCTAGTTTATATTATTCGGGCCTGCTGCTCCGGGACCCGACTTGTCTACCTCGGTATCGATTTGGAGCTTTCCTGTAGCTTTTAGTTTACTATTATGATGAATAGTAATAACAAATCATCAACGCTTTGACTGATGATCAGCCAGATTAGCTAGCGATTGGATGTTTTGCAGGGATTACACTAGATCAAAATAGGCATCTCGATAAATCTACAGCGGTGGCCAAATTCCAGCCGCAACAATAAACATTAACACAAAAAGTCTTGGCAGTTGGCGATATCAAAGTGAAATCAGGGTTGCTCAAATGGGCAATTCATAGAGATTGGCTGCCTATCTGTCACAAGCCCATATTCCTTGACCCTAAGAAACACGCCCGCTTTCTGACGTAACGAACAGTTGACAAGCAAGCCAATGTTCAGGGTCAATGAGGCGTTTTATCTAGTACCTAGTCGCAACGAATAAGCTTAAAGGCTAACGCGTTGGCACTAAACAAATCGCCCCAGTTGTTCAGTTGCGGGTTCTGAGAGATCCAAGGGAGTTTATGTTTCTGTACGAGTCATTCAGTGGTTAGTGCTACCATCTTGATGATTGATGACAGTAAAACGGAACAACAGATTTACTTGTCTATGGCATTGAGCAGGCACAGAATTAGAGAGTACATACATACTGGGCATACTGGAAGCTGCGCACAAGGCATGTCTAGATTGGCCAGGCTAACCTTGATTAAAAACCGTTTGACCGACGCTATAAACAATAAACCTTCCTCATTTGTCTTACAACGCCGACGCGGCACTGACTACCCCGAGTCTTAAGTCTTGGCCTTGTTGGGGTCTCCAAGCTTATCAAGAGTCTGGAGTACTAGTATTACCTTGTTGGTAGATGGATTATCCAGTGACCACACAGTAATAGGTAGGTTGTGAGATAACCAACACAGATGAAACAAGAGCCTGCACACACGTTTCTATATACTGGCAGGTTACACGATAACAACTCCTGCCAAATCAATAATAGTTAAATAAAACAAAATGAAAAGGATTCACCTCGGCTCATGCGATAAGCCAGTCACATTGCCCACGTGTGGTCTTGGCGATCCCTTTTTATCATGGAACCTTTGCAAGACCCAAGACCTGTCATTATCAGCGACGATCAGGCCAAGGAACACCGACAGGGTCTGCTTCAACTGACGAGTTAAAGAGACCGGCCATGCACTCTTGATTAATTTCTCGAAATGTCTACCCTTTAACTCTCGATTCTGGGGCAATTGCGCTTTTTTGACGAGTCCAAACATCCATCATGAAGTCGTCAATTACTCTCACAGCTCTCGCTTTGACCAGCTCCGTCATCGCTGAAGATACCCTCTTCAGCAAGCGATTGACCAAGCGCTTCATCGACGATGACGGAAATTACAACATTTGTATGCACTCTAAACTCGTCGCAATTAACTTATGTATCACTAACATCTCACAGCCTTCTTCCACGTCAACGATGTCCATGCCCATCTCGACCAATTCGCAAAGTCAGGCACAGACTGCGTCGACCCCAAGAAGGGCTGCTTCGGTGGTTACGCGCGCATCAAGCACACCGTTGATGCCCTGCGAAAGGACAACCCGGATAACTTGTGGCTTAATGCGGGTGATGAGTTCCAGGGTACGCTATTCTACTCCTTCTACGGACCCTCCAAGATTGCAGAGAACCTGAATGCTCTCGACTTTGACGCCATGACCCTCGGAAACCACGAGTGGGATGGCGGCGATGAGGAGCTCGGCGAGTTTCTCCAAAACTTGACTTTCCCTGTCGTCTCTTGCAATGTCAAGAGTGAGTACGAAGGTCTTAACAAGACCATCAAGAACTACCAGATCTTTGAGGAGCATGACTTGGCTGTTATTGGTGTGACGACTGATACTACACCCGGAATTTCAAGTGTTGGAAACAAGACTACTTTCCTCGACCCCATCGCCGAAGTGCAAAAGGCTGTTTGGGAGATTCGCAACAAGACCGAGGTCAACCGCATTGTTGCGCTCACTCACCTTGGCTACGACGTGGACCAGGAGCTTGCCGCCAAAACGGAGGGTCTGTCTCTTATCATCGGTGGTCACAGTCACACTCCTCTCGGCAACATGAGCAATTCCGAGGGTGAGTACCCCACCATTGTTGACAACATCAATGGTGATGAAGTCTTTATTGTTACTGCCTATCGATGGGGCGAGTACCTCGGTTCCATCGACCTGACCTTTGACAAGGATGGCAAGCCCCTCGCATATCATGGTGCTCCCATCCACCTCACCAACCAGACCGAGATGGACAAGGACCTCCAGAAGAAGATTGAGTCGTGGCGAGGTCCCTTTGAGAAGTTCGCCGCTGAAGTCGTTGGCTACACGGATGCCGAGCTTGACCAGTCTACATGCCAAGATGGAGACTGTCTTCTCGGACAAGTCATGGCTGACGCCATGCTCGAATACCGCCTCAACCAAAGCCGCTCCGACGATGATAAGCCCAGCTTCGCCTTTATCAACGCTGGTGGAGTTCGCGCCACCATCGACGAGGGCAACATCACCCGTGGCGAGGTACTGACATCTTTCCCCTTCGGCAACGCCATCGTTGAGCTCACATTCACTGGTGCCGAGATCAAGGATATCTTCGAGGGTGCCGTGACAGGCATGAACCAAGACAATGACAAGGAAATCACCTCATGGTTCCAGGTTTCCAAGGGTCTCAAGGTCGAATTCAACCCCGACAACAAGAACGGATCCAAGCTGGTGAGCTTGAA